TTGATAATGTACAGTGTGTTAATTAATTAATTTATCGTACCCGACGTCATCATTGCAAGTATACAACCAATATCACAGTACTGGTATTGCAATACGCGATTTGCGCATTCAGATATATTCAGTGTGATATTGGTTGCATACTTGCAATGATGACGTCGGGTACGATAATTAATTAACACACTGTAGTTACAACACTAGGCTGTAATTTGCAACGTTGAAAGATTCGACGCAGAAGTAAAGATAGCTTTGGAATACACGAAAATATTACAAGAAAAATTTTATAGATATTGCAACTCATCAAGTCCTACAAGTCTAGAAAACTTTGTAAACACATTGTACTTCTTATATGAAATGTCTAAGCTATCGTTATAAAAGATGACAATGCGGTGCAGTATTCTTTGATGTTCAGAAGGCGTTCAATTTCATGTAGGATCATCGTATATGCTACAAAAGTTAAAAATCCTATCCTATCTTCTTAATCTGCTTAAAGAATTTCGTGCGGGCTGCTTATGAGCAATAAAACAGAAAAATAATTAGTCTCAATTTGCTCAAATTTCCTCGTGGATCACTCATTTTTCTTTCGTTCCACAACTTACTCTAATTCTATTAGCAACAACTATCCAGATGTCTTCAACATTGAAATAGCGTGTCCAAATAAATCTTTTCAAATCCATTTTTCCTATTGTCCAACTTTGCCAACACAGCCCATCACAGTCCTCCACTACAACCTCCTTTAGTCCTTAGAAAAGTAGTTAGTTTATTTGTGACATATGATTTTACATTACACTTGGGGTCAAACTGGGGATAAACTCTTTCAATAAACTCTTCTACGACTTCTCATAAATTGCTTTATTAATTTTATGGTGCGCTCATGACAGATCAGATTTTTCACTATTAAATTGTTCAAGGTTGTAGTGATAAATTTCCGCCATCATTGGACATGGATGCATTTCATGTTGTTTAGATTAGAACTCTAATTAACTTGAAAACAAATGTTTGATTACATGGTATTAAATATAACCACCACATACTAACAAAACTTAAAAGATTACTGCTAGTGATACAAGATTTTCCAACCAAGATGTTACACTGAAGCATCTACTCTCCACTAGATGACAACACTATATTTTTTATTTATGTTAAGCCAAAAAATCTGGTTTCCTCGAAATTCCAAACCAACTTACATCAATAGTTATGAAGATCTCTTTTACATCACAAACTGCCCACATATTCAGTACAATTATTTACACTATTCGGCGTTGTAAAGCAGCATTTATTTTGTCTTGGAAATTTTGCTTCAAATAGTTTATAGTAGTGTATGGTAGTGCATACAGGCCGCTGATGCAATTATATTGTTAGTAACATTGATCACAACTAGAAAAGTAGTGGTTTATTCCACCTCTAACACATCATCGATGTCTTCGTGATATCCCGAATTAAATGACAACCTCAACATTCGTCAGATTCTCTTGTAAGAACATTTGTTAGCTTATGAAAAGTGTCCTCTTCAAACTGAAGCAAAACATTTAAGTCTTCGACACATGGACATGAGCGTTAGTCTTTATCGCAATATTCTTGCATCATTATCAATGACCTATACATACCATGGGATTTGAAAGAAAAAGCAATTTCTATAGTGTTGTTTTAAATCATCGCTTTACTTGGAAACTTCATTTTAGCAAGAAACTTAATCAAGGATACAAGATTTTGCCATTACAGAACGTTTTTATATTCCGAGAGATATCAGCGTTATGGTTAGTAAGAGTCGAGAAACTATATGAAGTTCTAAATATGTCAACCATAAGCGAACCATATTATGTCTATATCATTCTATGTTTTGTATTGATCTTTAGTAATTTTCGAGTAACTTTATTTAATCTTCACTCAAAACAACATTACAATACTTAATTATGGATTTAGCTTTTTTTTTCAAAAACTGGAAAAAACGTATGTGATCCTCAAAGGTGAGACCATCCACTTAAAACTTAAAAAGGAAGTTTAGAAAATTTTAATTTAAAAAAGCTTGTTTCTGTAAGCAATGCAATTGAAGATAAGCTGCTATTGTGAGTGCAGAATATCCTCAAACCAACATTTATGTACAATGTAAGCGATTGCGATGTTACAACAAAAAAAACAGGAGTACTGTAGGTTTTGGCCGAATCCTTGTGGACTTAAACTTAATTGGAATTACAAATTGGTTGTTGAGCGAATTCAACTTTGTGATCAGAAGATTGCAAATTTTTCATTACTTGAAATTGTTCAACAAATTCAAATACCTTCAAGAATCCTAAACAGATTTAATGATTTCAGAACTCCCAACAGTAATTGTTGATAAATCATGTATATGTCATAATAGAAGTGATGCAGAAAATTGATCATCAGCTTATGCCATAAACTCTAGAGAAATAAACATGAAATTTTAAGAGATTTTAAGATCTGAAAAGTCAAGATTGTCAGCACAATCTTGACTTTTCAGTCAACCTTGAATTCTTGCCCAAATTATTTGTAATTATGAAATAACAAACTTGAGCTTTGACGGAGCTGAACTCCGACTCTTGAGCTTTTGATGGCTCCTAAAGAATATGTAATCAATAAAGAGTAATTATCGACAACTAGAGGTACGCTGAGGTTTTATTCAATATCTGCTAAACAAGGATGCATAAAATTCTTTTTGTTATGTAAACACATAGCCATTGTAGTTGTGTAACTGATGCTTAAGATTTCTTTAAGCAAGTAGCCAGGTAAAAATAAAACAGACAAGAGTGTTTCTAGAAACGTCAGTTTTGACAACTAAATCTTCCTTACCAGTGTTCCATAAATATTTTGTTATCTTGATTTCTAAGCACCAGGATCATCAAAACGTTTCAGAACACTCCAAAAAGATCAATACGTTGGGTTATGGGCCAATAATAATAGACCAATATTCTTAATGATACAGAAAGATATATGCAACATATGGTAATTGATGGATTGATTGACGCAAACCAACAGTCACATTCTTCGCGGATTGACACGCAAAAAAAAATAAGGAATCGAATCGTGGAAGCTGCAGCAACTATGATAAGAATCGCAAAAAATGCTCCAATATCTCGTTAACTAAATTATTTATGACATATATCAAGTATCTAATTTTTGAAACATTTTTTCTATTTAGTTCTATTAAATGTTGAATTACTCGGCAAATTGTTACGAAGTAATCAACCGGATTTTAGAAATCCATCGGGACGTCGTCTTCAAGTAGATCTTGTACAAACAATTAAAACGTTTTGTTTAATTTGTGGTGAGTGCATGTTTCAAGAATGTCGCTTGTACGTGTCTGACTTTGTGAAACAAGCCTACATGGACTACTTTGGGGATCCTTTAGAAATAGAATAAATCCCAAATTTGGTATGTAAAAGCTGTCTTGGGTTTTTGCGTTTATGGACAAACAAAAAAGATCTACTTTTCAAGTCTTATTTTTTGAGTAGTACCATTTTTTAACTAGAAACTACGAAAAAGAAAAAGTGTTCCATAAAATTAGTCATGCAAGTAAATTGATGGGCAAATAAGACATAGCAATAAATGGTGCAAGATAACTTTTTCTTCCATGCCACCATTTAATTCTAGATTTTATAAATTGCCATGTGGAGCCATTACCTACAAAGTTTAAATAAGGGTTCTTTCCTATGGCACTACAGACCAAATTGAACCCTAATCTTTTTTAATAGCTACCTCTATTTCTCTCTATCTGCTTTTCTTCGGCGCATTTTCACTCTCAGTAGCTCGTATGTATCATCTAACGCTTCAAAACGTATACCTTGATTTACAAATCTTATTTTGTAAGTAGTACCGGGTTAAATCACAAAAAATGGTTTTATGTGGAAGAATTGTGCAGAGTTAATATATAATTTCCAGAATATGGAGAAGAAAATAATGATAGTGATGATTGTACCCTTGCATGAAGTGGGTTCTTTGTCTGTTGGACATTAAACAAAATTAAAAATGTACGATATTAATATTTTTGAATAAAATAAATTATATAAAACATAACTTAATGTGTCCTTTATGGGGCAGCAGAGTACAACTCGAGCAATGGAATAAAATTGACCTACAGAAAAGATTAAAGCTGGATGATACCAGATCAAAAAGATACTAAATTAGTAAATTTCAGTTGTTAAAAAATTCTGGCTGATAAATTTTTATAAAATAAGAATTCGGTTCGGTACCATCAACATATTGAGTAAGTGAAGCTGTTTACGAATTCAACGAGTAGCAGGATTGGCAGTCTCTGGTGCGATAAGCACAACGCCAACTCTAGCAATTGATGTTCTACTTGGCCTATCTCATTTGCATATAGAGAAAGTGGCCATTTACAGGTTTAAGCAATATACTCAATATTGTTCCGACCAATTTGTGCGGAAGATAGTATTTGCACTGATTTTGTGCTATTAATACCGTTAGATTTTGCGGGATCACTATCAGTAATTAATGCTCGATACTAGATTGTCATGTCCTGAAGAAGATGACAATTTTTCGCAGATAAACTTTAAACACACTGAGTTGTGATAACAGAGTTTCTCTGATCTGGGTTCCAGGTCACTGTGGGGTTGCTGGCAATGAAACGGCAAATGAGCTAGCATGAAAAAGCGTTTGTGGGGCCAAAGTCTGCAGTTGGTGTATCATTTGCGTTGGCCAAATATAGGATTGGACTGTGAGTTGAAGAGAGACTTCGCCTACTGAGGACCAGATCTCCGGGAATGAGACAAGTTAAGGTCTTGCTAAGTTCTAATGGGTGTGTTTACTGGGCACTGCCGATTAAAGACACACCTCAACTTGTTGGGTCTATGTGCGGAGAACGAGGTTGAGCATGTTTTATGTCACTGCCTTGGTGTTAATCCTATAAGATTCTCGATTTTTGGGTCGCAGTTTATCTCCCCAAAGGATCTGAATGACTTTTTTACCGAACAATGAATTTCATTCGGTGAAAAGTTAATAGTAAATAAGTAAATAAATAAACTTACCGAAGACTGGACTATGATCTGGTCTGGTGACATTTTTACTTGTTGAATAACTTCCTCCTGATTTTTCCTAGAAAACAAATAAAAAAAATTAAAATTTCTAAGCAGAAATTGTATAAAAACCAAAACAAAAAAAAATAAGGAGACTTTTTTAGAATTTGACAAATGTGCGAGCTTCCAAGAAACCAATAAATAATGGATAACCCGCTGGGACAATTTCAAATTAGCTTGTTTTCATTTTCTTTGTGGACGGAAGAACTCCCAGGTAAACCAAAAACGTTTTGTGTCCCTCTCCGTATGCAGTCACCTATTGATCAGTTCAACGCAGCGGGGGTGAGTTTCTTTGCAATTTAATAGTCAGACCGTAAATTCTACCCCCGAAAACATCTAATTTACTCCACAATAAACCAATCAATGACATTTTAAAGAGATTCATTATAAAACTTAACACTCATCGTAAAAGTGAAGTTGTGCAATAACGATTAATTTTTGATCTAGATATATTTATCTGTAACGGTCTAAAAATTGCCAAGAGGAAAGGAGAGTTCGGAATGTAGCAGGTGCAACTCGCAGGTGTAGTAAAGCAAACATTAGGAATTTCACACCCAATTCAATGTAGCGTATGGGTTCCTCGTTTTTTGAGATTGTTTTGAAAGATGCCTATCAAACAATATTTTCTTGATCATTAATCATAAATAAATTGAAGTTATTATAAGATAAGTAAAAAAACTGTTTTATCAGCATCATCTTTTTAGTAATGAAATTTGATAAGAACGATTTTATTTATTTTTAGTAGAAGTATTTATTTAGTTAAATATATAAGAGAAGTTAATTTTATTTAAGTGGTACATAGATGAAACAAATATAGAGGAAGTTATGAAATCTGGTCGCTGTAGGCCAAAGCGATAGCGTTGCGATAACGAGAACGTTGACGGGAATCCGAGCCGTAAGCGGTTAAGGTTTTTATCTCTGCGTGTGTTTAAACGTACCTCAGATTCGGTGAGGTCGATGAGACTGCTCTTCTCCTCAGTGAGGTTCTCCGAGGATCTCTTTTCGTCCTCGCCGTCGCCCTCGTCCTTGAACACCTTAACCTCATCGGTGCTGCCGAGATCATCGCCGCCACTGGACGGGACGTGTGGCATGGTTCACACACAACGACGCGGCATTACAGCTCCGCTACATGGCACCACCTCGGCACGTCGGTGCTCCTCGGTTCGGCACACTCGCGCCACCGCCTAACGACATGCCACGAAAGAAGAAGACGAAGAAGAAGAAGAAGACGGAGCCTCCCCCGATCCGCACAAGAAGAAGAACAACACCGTCGCGAAACCAGGCATTATCGATTCTCGACGGCGCAATTCACTACTTGTTGCCGCGCACAACAAAATCAAATTTAAAACAAAATCATAATTATATAGAAATATCTCAAATATTATTATTCTTTATTATACGGAGTGTTGGAGCGTTGTTGTTGTTGTTATAACCAGTTGGGTAGGCGGCGATGAAAACAAAAAATTAAATCAAAAAAAAAAGAGGTATGTTAATCCAAAAACAAAATAGTCCACTCGCGTTATTATCCGTTAATAAATAAGTCGGAACCCGCGCGCGCTTTTTCGATATTTTTGACAGATTTAGATAGAGGGTCGGTCTCCTCGTGGGGCCCGTTTGCGAAGGTATCCGCGACTGTCACTTCCTCGCGCAAGTTACTCGAGTGACTGAGAGGGTTCTCTGCGTAGTTGATCGTCGACTCACGACTACCCGAACGGACCAATCGCGTCCTCCCGTTTCTACTGCCGAGGCGGCCTCGCAGTAATGGCAGCCGGGACGACTGCGCACGACGATCGACGGACCGCGCCGACAGAGAACCGCCCGCATCTCCCACCGTTAACGCCGCCGCCGACTGCCCCTCTCGTACCCTTACCGCCCCTAGTAGTGCCCTCGTTCCGTCGGCCACCGCATCATTTGTTTCCTGATTAATTTCTCCGGCCAGACGTTTATTCCGCTAATTTATGGACTGTTGTTCATAATGATCTACGGGACTACTTATGTCACGGACAACTTTTAACCTTTCAACTAAAATCATTTCTCGGAACGAAACTAAATGTTATCCTTTAATCCAGTGTTTCGCAAATTGTGCACCCCTAACAGTCTCGAAGTCTTAACAGGGGTGTCTCGAAATGCAGAAGCCTCGTAAATCCAAGATATTTAGCTTTACTTTAAAGATGCCGGCGCAGAATATTATTACGAAAGCAAGCCGGCAACGCTGCGTCTTCTCGATCGAGCCATATGATCCCACTAGGCACGACGAGGTACGTACACCTTTCGTAACAAATTTGGAACGTTCTCAATTCAATCAGTTGACTTATAATTTAAGCATATAGTGAAGTAAAGCATAATTACGAAACTAGTATGCACTTGCACTCTCCCACATAAAATAGCTTAATAGTACAGGAATTGGGTAGTTTTGCAAAAGTTTTGCTTGATTGAGACTAGACTTAGAACTAGAAGCATTCTGGATTCTAATTCTAGGTCTTGTGTTAGTTCTAGTGATAATTCTAGTGCAATACCAGAACTAACACTAAACCGAGAACTAGAATCATTCGGGTTTAGCCGCACGTCTCCTAAGACGGCTAAACCCGAATGTTTCTAGTTCTAGGTCTAGTTTATTTGTTTATTAGGAGACGTGCGGCTAAACTCGAATGATTCTAGTTCTAGGTCTTGTGCTGCAAAGCGCCCCTCAAATACGGATTGGAGTGTGGCTAAAAAGTCATCACTTGCACATCCGTGGACCAGGCGATTCAAACGTTTAAGCCGTTCAAATCGCCTGGAGAAGACAATATCTTTCCTGCTTTGTTACAGCAAGGAAGTTCATTGTTGTTGCCAATCTTGGTAAAAATTTTCAAAGCGAGTGTCGCTTGGAAATATGTACCGGCAGAATGGACTAGGGTAAGGGTATCTTATATACCCAAAGCGGGCCGTTCGGTCCCTACTCCTAATGCCTTTCGACCCATCAGCCTAACGTCATTTCTGCTGAAAACCCTTGAAAAAGTTGGGTATATCCGTACGTTGTACATATAAAAAACGGTATATCCGTACGGTGCCATTGGTATCTGGTCCACTGAATCGCCACCAGTCTCTTATCAAGCGGGAAAATCAGCAGAATTGGCTCTACACAACTTAATTGGTAGAGTATCCAGAACGCTGCAGGATAAAGAAATCTTGGTTTGTGCGTTTCTGGATATAGCGGGAGCGTTCAACAACGCAATACCACAATTTCTTGAAAGAGCTGCTCTTGACAGGGGAGTGGAAGCAACACCTCAACTTGTTGGGTTTAGCCGACGATGTTGAATGACTATGTGCGGAGGAAACAGAGACGGTTGAGCATGTTTTATGCCACTGCCCTGCCCTTAACCGTATCAGATTCTTAATTTGTGGGTCGCAGTTTATCTCCTCAAAAGATCTGAATGACTTTTCACCGAGCAAGGTATTAATGTTCGTTAAGAGCATTGGACTGCACGGTGAAATTTGATAACGATATCTATACAATAGATCCTTAGGGTCGCGGTGCAAGGTTGGGTTGTGTTCTAGTAATAGTGCTAGTGCAATACCAGAACTAACACTAGACCGAGAACTAGAAACATTCGGATTTAGCAGCAACAACAACAGGGATTCATATAAAACTGGGCAACTGTAGATATAGTCTCCATTACCCGGCAAATAACTGAGAATGCAAGATTTAGAGCTTGACAGACAGCTTTTCTGTGTTTCGTCCTTGCTAGAGAAACTGGGGGCATATTTATGTAAGAACAGACGAGGAACTCACGAGAGGTATACCAATTACAAATGAAGTGATGCCTCAGCCCAGTTCTATTCAATTTAGTGAATGACGTAGTTTCCCAGTCTTGGGAAACGTACGGCTCAACCCGAATGATTCTAGTTCTAGGTCTTGTGTTAGTTCTAGTAATAGTGCTAGTGCAATACCAAAAACACTAGACCGAGAACTAGAAACATTCGGAATTAGCCGCACGTCTCTCAAGACGGCTAAAGCCGAATTATTCTAGTTCTAGGTCTTGTGTTAGTTCTAGTGATAGTGTAAAACTAGCGTCTAAAGACGCACGGCTAAACCCGAATGTTTCTAGTTCTAGGTTTCTAGGTGTTGAGTTTTCATTTCTGTGATTTTAAAAAGCATGTCAATTCTTGTTTCGGAAAATCTGATCCTTCATATTACATCCCGGAGGCACCTCAATACCACTGCTGTGCTTGTGGTTTTGTATTTTGACTTCTTCTTTCAGGTATCGACGACAATATCGATATTTCAATCGCATAACCTGATTTATGGCACGACTGTAAGCTGTTAATTATCTTCTTGGTTCTTAGTAACTGCATTTTCTGTACTGAGATTTCCATATTGTACTTCTCTGCCGTTTCTTCTAACTTAAACAGCATTGCTTTAGGGCTATTTTCGTTAGTAGAGATAAGACAGCATCATTTACGTGTTCACACATCCTTTCTTTAATTATTTCGTCCTTAACTAAATTGAATAGAACTGGGCTGAGGCATCACTTCATTTGCAATAAAATTGTATGTTGACAAAATAGTGTATGTTGACAAAATAAATACCTTTCGTGAGTCTCTCCACTGTTCTTACAAAAGCCTGACCACCAGTTTTTCTAGCAAGGTCACCATATCACTTATTCTTACCCTATCAATAGATTGTTTAAGTTCGATGAAACACAGAAAAGCTGTCTTGCCGAACTCTAAGTTTTGCATTAAGTTATTTGTCGGACAACAGAAATTGCATATTACAGTTGCCCAGTTTTATCTGAATCCTTGTTGTTGTTCGTAGATTCTAGCTGCATCTATTTCTTCTGATAGCACTCTGATTATCATTTTTTGAATACAACTTAAGAGGCTAATTCTGCTATAATTGCTTCGATTTGTCTTTTCTCCCGTCTTGAGGATTGGTAGTAGTATGCTGCATTTCCATGGAGTTGGTATCCTTTTATTTGTGATAATTATGTTAAACAGGGTGTACATTTCATCTACCCGTGAGTCTTCGCCATATTTAATCAGTTCGATACCTACTAATTTTATATTTTTCATCTTCTGGATTATTTGTGGTATATTTCCTTTGGAGAAGCTGAATCTCGGTTGAGCATTAGTCTCCAACTCTAATTAAGCAGATTCGGTTTTCCTCGTTTTCTGCCATGTCTCTTCGTACATGTCTTTTGAAATATTTGTCCCACTCTTCTGCCTCTATCTTTGTGGTCTGTATGAGCTCGTTTAGTGGTTTCTTTCTGTTTCTCAATAAATTCCAGATTTTTCTCTGAGTTCTTTCCTAAACTTTTCTTAGCAGCAGAAATGCTACTGGTTTTCTTGATTGATTGGATATTTGTGTTTATTCTGTTTCTCACCAAAGTTTCTCACTACTTTGTAGTCTTCGTATATTTAATAAGTGAATCAGGTGGCTTTGTGTTAGGTTGCATTTCCTGATGTATTCTGTTCGTTAATATTTTTTCCTCAAGTATTCGTTGGTGTAGATACATAACCAAATCATCCTCCATTGATTCTATCTTTAGTTCCCTGCTTTTATTTGTAGTTGTTCTTCTTGCTGGCTGAATTATACTTCTTATTGCCACCAATACAAGGTTGTGGTCATATTCCACATTTAAAAATTTCAAAAAGTTGTGTTGTAGCATGTAGGGATAATATGTATTTTTAATTTTTTATTCATTTTGGGCGCTTCATTGAATCTGTTTTTGATGCCACATATAACCTGGTTGCCAATTCTCGTAGTTAAGTCTCTCAAGGTTATGATTTCATTCCTTTCTGGTACTCCATCCAGTTCGGTTTGTATTGTATAGTTGCAGTTTGCGTATACACTCACACGGCTCCATACACTCCATATTAAATTTACATCGATTCTTTGAAGTCTCCATGATATCTCGATTATGTCTCAAGACTTAATAGAACCAGTAAACTTCCATCAAATCTACTCCAAATCTCTATCATACCCACATCAAATTTTTAACAAGTTTTTCAGCAAGTCTGCTTCAAGATAACTTCCGCATAAAGTCTACATCATTTCTGCACAGATTTTTCACCATGGTTTAATCAAATCAAGTTTGTGCAGAAACAATTCGCCATCAAATCTGCATCAATACTCCGTCTAGATTCGTATCAAGACGTATTCATGACGTGCCATAACTTTCCATACACTTTGAACTAAAATTAGAACTAAACCTGGAACTGAACCAGTTTCTGAAAAAGGTTGCAACATGGCATCCGAAACGTCAAACCTTTTCTGAAAAAACGTACGGCAAAACCCGAAAGTTTAGTTCTAGTGTTAGTTCTAATTTTAGATTTAGCACTTCTTATTAAACCTGCATCAATTTTTTGAAGTCTGCATCATATCTCTACATCAAGTTTTCAACAAGATATTCATCAAATCTGCTTCGAGACACCTCCGCATAAAGTCTACATCATTTCTGCAACAAGGTTTAATCAAATCAAGTTTGTGCAGAAACAATTCAAGACTTGTTCATAATGTCCCATAACTTTCCATACACTCCTTATTTAATCTGTATCATTATGTCTCATGCCTAAATGTAGTAAGCATCCATAGAAATTACTTCAAAGAAATTTACCTGGATTTAAGATTCATTTATTCGTTCTGAATTTACTTCTGCAGAAGAAGATAATCTTATTGAGTTATCTTGTGCTAATAACACCTTGAAAGTAAATTTTGAAACATGGTTTTGATATAATTTTGGATTTCAATAAAAGATACGTGGAGTGTTTTGCTGGCACATTAGTTATTAATTAAGAATGATTAATAAAAAAAAGTATTTGAAATAATTTTATTAAAAAGTAATATAGTTTTTCTTATTTACAGTAAAATTGGATATTGCGTCTCGTTGTAAAGAAAAAATATTTTGTAGCTGTAGGATTTGTACGGCGTGAAACGGGTCGGTCGGCGATCGTGAGCCGAGATGACTTAACAAGATACAGCGGGTGGAATTCCTACACAGCTCCTCAGTTGGTTCTTTCTCGCTTATACTTGGATCGGAGTCGATCGGTTCGTCTCAAGCTCATTATCGCACCTCGTCTGCCCATTCAGCTGTTGGAAAACGGGCGACTGCCGAACCGGCGGGCCAAGACGACGTTCCCCGGACACGCACCGCCACAAATATTTACATACCGACGAGCACAACTGCTACCTTCTATTTGTACGTTCGTAATTGTTACGATAGACTCTTGGTGATAGCGAACGCGCTTCGACGCCTCAACACCGATACAGACCTCTTTTTGAGGGGTTTTGTTTGTTGTAGATCTTCGAAATTCTGAAATGGGTTTTCGCCTTGAGATATTTTTGTGTTGGTTTATGTCACGGTTGAGAGAAAGCGAGAGTTTGAACTTATCAACTTTTTCAAGTATGATATTTAAATAATAATAAATTAACCTAAATAAACATAAAACCACAATTCGGTCCATTTCTATAAAAACATTATCTCCGGTGGTGCTCCTCTTTATTTCCAGACGCGTCTGGTGCCGATTTTCTGTCTTTTAACCTGCTAAACCGAGTTGTTTCGCACGACCCTTTGTCCGAAGTGAGTCGTTGTTTGGAGAAAAGGAAGGCACCCCGCGTTCCGGGCACAAACATATAATAGGTCGAGTTAAAAGGGGGGTGGGCCCTTCTAAGAAATTCCCGAACCACCGGTCTACACACACGTATACTTACGTGTTGGACCTGTTGGTATTCATCCCCTAAAGGTTAACAAAACTATCCCTACAAGTTACACAAAAAAAAGGAAATAAAAAACCTCCCCCACATTCTTTTCAAATTCTAACCAACTTAAATAAACAACAATTTTTTTTTGTTTTAGTTTATTTTATTTAATAAATCATTAATTTTAATTATTAAAATAATTTTATTAAGGATTATACAACGTAAACAACATTTATGTTTATTTGGTTGCCTATATAATCAAACACAATCTTTTTATTCAAAATACTTTAATGTCATCATCTAATACTTTAGGCAAAAATTAAAAATAAAATTATAACTCTAAATAAAGCAAAATAAATCGGAATGTATAATTTTATATCATTAATGCATTATTTTTTTTTATTTCAAGATGATTACTTCTTGTAAACATAACTTTCTGCTCCACCTCGACCAAAACCTGTAAAATAAATTAATTAAATTAACTATTTAAATGAATATTTTTGATTACCTGTTGGTCCGAACAGTGCGTTATAACAGGGATGATTACAATAAGGTTTTCCTTCGTGTTCGGCGTGAGAGCCGGGAGTAAGCGTTTTATTGCATTTTTCACATCTCAGACAAGCCGCGTGCCAATCTTTACCCAAAGAAGTTTTTCTTTCGGCTAAAACAAAAAGATAAGATTTTTTATATAAATAAGTTTTGATACGATTCTAGACGCAGTATTAATGCAGACTTGATGAAGAATTGTTTCTGAGACTTGATTAAACCATGGTGAAAACTCTATGTAGAATGATGTAGACTGTATGCGGAGTTCTCTCAAAGTATATTTGATGGATGTCTTGTTGAAAATTTGATGTAGGTATGATAGAGATTTGAAGTAAATTTGATGGTAGTTTACTGCTTCTATCAAGAGACATAATGAAGATATGATTTAGATTTCAAAGAATTGATACAGGTTTAATAAGGAGTATATGGAAAGATATGGCATGATACAAATAAGTCTTGATACGATTCTAGACGCAGTATTAATGCAGACTTGATGGCGAATTGTTTCTGCACCGACTTGACTAGATTAAACCATGGTGAAAACTCTATGCAGAATGATGTAGACTTTATGTGGATTTGTTTCAAAGTACACTTGATGTGAAAACTTGATGTAAGTATGATAGAGATATGAAGTGGATTTGATGGAAGTTTACTGCCACTTTACTTCAACGAATTGATGTAAATTTAATATGGAGTGTATGGAGCCGTGTGAAACCGAACTGGATGGAGTACCAGAAAGGAATGAAATCATAATTTTGGGAGAAAACGATTCAATGAGAGACTATAAACTAAAATGGTGAGAGACTAACACAATTTTGTGCCCAAAATGAATTAATACTTAAAAATACATATTATCCCTACATGCTACAACACAACTTTTTGAAGTCTGGAAATGAGGTAAGTGGCCACAACCTTGTATTGGTGGCAATTCAGACAGCAAGAAGAACTACTACAAAGAAAAGCAGTGAACTAATTGTACTTAGGTTGTAATGAATTTTATTTTAGTAAATTTTTAAATCAATTGAAGTGGTCTCAACTTTCTCACATTTTTATATGACACTGACGTTATTATTATAAACATCATAGATGGCTGATGATTTGATACCTAGGATAAAGTACAGCAGTAGTTATACAATTGTTGTTGTCAAAATCGATTATAACTTAAAAACTGATAGGGATGCAGAGAAATATTTTGTACATAAATTGTTCATAATGAACCAAGAATACATAATCCATAACCGGATATCGCTCAATTACAACCATGTTCTAGTTAGGATGTGGATATCGCCAGAATATCAAAATTGGTAATTTTTGTAATTAATGTCAATAATAACTAAAAAACTAAAAGGGATGGAGAAAAATATTGTGTACATAAATTGTTTATAATGAACCAAGAATACATAATCCATAACCGGATGTCGCTCAATTATAGCCATATTTTAGTTAGAAAGTGGATATTGCTAGAATATCAAAATTTAGTGATTTTTGTAATTAAAATCAGTAATAACTCAAAAACTAAAAGGAATGGAGAAAAATATTGTGTACATTAATTGTTTATAATGAACCAAGAATACATAATCCATAACCGGATGTCGCTCAATTATAATAATATTAACATATTTGTAATCATATTAAATATTACTTTAAGGTTTGCGTATATAATAATTATGTGGAGCAACTTTATTGGGTTTGTCCTGTTGTTGCTCCCCGATATCAATAAATAAATAAAAATAAATAAATAATCATATTCTAGTTAGAAAGCGGAAATCTCCAAAATGTCAAAATTTAATAATTTTTGTTATACAAGGTGTGTCAAATGTCTAGAATATAGCCATTAACTTCGCCATTTGTGGTTTTAAAGAAAAATGTTTCAAATAAAAATTCTTTATTAATTGTGGCGCATTTTTTAGCGATATTTGCTTGTTTACATTGTTTCTTGTTTCGTTGCTATGGCAACGAACATTGTTATTTTAAATGGTATGCGTATGTCTTATTATAGTAGACGCCACGAGAGCTGGCAGTAAATCATCGTTTTCCGCTCTTACAAATGCCATACGTAGTTCACAAACCGCTAGAGAGTAATGTGTGTTAGAAAGAGATAGCATTAGTTTAATATGTCTGCTGTACAATTCAAATAGCCACGTCGAAAAAGTACGTCTGTTCTTCTAAGGGATGTGCCTTTACAATTATAACCTCAAATCGAAACGTCTTGTGAGCGTTGTCATGAATCTGTTAGTGTTTTCACAAGCCGAAAATGTTTTCTTTGAAAGGAAAATCATTAAATAATATCTTTGACAATGTTTGACATATAACCTCACATTTAAATGTATGTAGTGAAATAATCTAAGTCGTACGTCCATATCTTGATTCATACCATTTTTAAGCGATCTGTCACTGCCAGCTCTCGTGGTTTCTACTATATTTAGAATTTTTAGTCAAAAATTAGCTAACTACTACTACTAGTTATAAAAACTAATTCTATTTCGATAATTTAAGATAGATAAATGATCGAAAAATGTATCTNTTTTGATTACCTGTTGGTCCGAACAGTGCGTTATAACAGGGATGATTACAATAAGGTTTTCCTTCGTGTTCGGCGTGAGAGCCAGGAGTAAGAGTTTTATTACATTTTTCACATCTCAGACAAGCCGCGTGCCAATCTTTACCCAAAGAAGTTTTTCTCTCGGCTAAAACAAAAAAAAATTTTTTTTATATGAATAAGTCTTGATACGATTCTAGACGCAGTATTGACTTGATTAAACCATGCTGAAAACACTATGCAGAATGATGTAGACTTTATGCGGAGTTGTCTCAAAGTTTGGTCTCAAAGAAGTTTGGTCTCAAAGAAAACTTGATGTAGGTATGATAAAGATTTGAAGTCGATTTGATTTAAGTTTACTGCTTCTATTAAGTTTTGATACATAATGGAGATATGACTTCAAAGAATTGATGTAAATTTAATATGGAGTGTATGGAGCCAAATCGAACTAGATGGACTACCAAAAAGGTAATCTTGGGAGACTTAAATACGAGAATTGGCAACGAGGTTATATGTGGGATCAATTCAATGAAGAAATTATAAACTAAAATGGTGAGAGACTAATACAGCTTTGCGCCCAAAATGAATTAAAATGTATTGTTAATATACATATTACCACTACAGGCTACAACACAACTTTTTGAAGTTTTCAAATGCGGAAAGTGACCACAACGTTGTATTGATGACAATAAGAAGTATAATTTAGCCAGCAAGAAGAACAACAACAAAGCAAAGCAGTGTACTAAAGATACAATCAAAGGACCATTCTTTTAAATAATTTTATTATTAATTTCTAGGTTGTAATGAATTTTATTTTAGTAAATTTTTAAAATAATTGGAGTAGTCTACATTCAACTTTCTCACATTATTATATGGCACTGACGTTATTATTAAACGTCATGGATGATGACCATTTGATACTTTGGATAAAGTACCGCTGTAGTTACACAATTGTTGTTATTAAAATCGATTATAATTCCAAAACTGAAAGGAATAGAGAGAAATATTTTGTACATAAATTGTTTATAATGTACCAAGAATACATCATCCATAACCAGATGTCGCTCAATTATGACCATGTTCTCGTTAGGAAGTGGATATCGCCAGAATATCAAAATTGGTGGTTTTTGTAATTAAAGTCAATAATAACTGAAAAACTAGGAGGGATGGAGAGAAATATTTTGTATATAAGTTGTTTATAATGAACCAAGAATACATAATCCATAACTGTATGTAGCTCAATTATAACCATGTTCTTGTTAAAAAGTGGATATTGCCAGAATATGAAAATTGGTGATTTTATGTAATTAAAGTCAGTAATATCTCAAGAATTAAAAGGGATGGAGAGAAATATTTTGTACATAAATTGTTTATAATGAACCAAGTATACATAATCCATAACCGGATGTCGCCCAATTACAACCATGTTCTACTTAGGATGTGGATATCGCCAGAATATCAAAATTGGTGATTTTTGTAATTAAAGACAATAATATCTCAAAACTTAAAAGAGGTGGAGAGAAATATTTTGTACATAAATTGTTTATAATGAACCAAGAATACATAATCCATAACCGGATGTTGCTCAATTATAACCATGTTCTAGTTAGGAAGTGGATATCGCCAGAATATAAAAATTGGTGATTTTTGTAATTAAAGTCAATAATATCTCAAAAATTAAAAGGGATGGAGAGAAATATTTTGTACATAAATTATTTCTAATGAACCAAGAATAGATAATCCATAACCGGATGTCGCTTAATTATAACCATGTTCTAGTTAGAAAGTGGATATCGCCAGAATATCAAAATTGGTGATTTTTGGAATTAAAGTCTATAATAACTGAAAAACTAGAAAGGATGGAGAGAAAGATTTTGTACATAAATTGTTTATAATGAACCAAGTATACATAATCCATAACCGGATGTCGCTCAATTATAATCATATTTTAGTTAGCAAGCGGAAATCTCCAAAATATAAAAATTGGTGATTTTTGTAATTAAAGTCAGTAATAACTCAAAAACTAAAAGGGATGGAGAGAAATATTTTGTACATAAATTGTTTAGAATGAACCAAGAAAACGTAATGCATAACCGGATGCTGCTCAATTATAACTATGTTTTAGTTAGGAAGTGAATATCGCTAGAATATCAAAATTGGTGATTTTTGTAATTAAAGTCAATAACAACTAAAAAACTAAAAGAGATGAAGAGAAATATTTTATATGTAAATTGTTTATAATGAACCAAGAATACATAATCCATAACCGGATGTCGCTCAATTATAACCATGTTTTAGTTAGGAAGTGAATTTCGCTAGAATATCAGAATTGGTGGTTTTTGTAATTAAAGTTAATAATAACTAAAAGGGGTGGAAAGAAATATTTTGTACATAAATTGTTTATAATGAACTAAAAAAACGTAATGTATAATCGGATGTGTTATTTTTATTTACTTCTCTAACACTTTTATTTAATAAATCACAGTTCTAATTAATACAATCTTTATTATTCGAAAATATATGGACTCTTACAACCGACATTTTCTACGACTTCTAAGATTCTTACCGCCAATACTCATTACTACCACCTGTTACATAACAAAACTACTCAATTCTTATTCTATTACTAACAATTATGCCCAATTATAAACATATTTTAGTTAGAAAGTGGAAATCTTCAAAATCTAGAAATTGGTGATTTTTGTAATTAAAGTAAGTAATAACACAAAAACAAAAAGGAATGGAGAGAAATATTTTGTACATAAATTGTTTATAATGAATCAAGAATACTTAACCCATAACCGGATCTCGCTCAATTATAACCATGTTNCGACGCTTTTCATCCGCATAATTTCGTCAAATTTGCTATTTATCTTTCTTTAGTTACCTTTAATTGGAAGTTGGAGTTCTGTTTGAGTTCGTATTATTGTTTTTTTTAAGAATTGTTTTTAGTTTCCCTTTGTGGTAAAATTGTTGTTCGGATTTGAGAATTGTTCAACAAATTGCCGAAAACAATATACCTTTAACTCTTAAGGAAAAATATGGTTCAATAGCTCAGTATTTTATTTATGCTCTATTTACAAGTTGTGATGTTGAAAGATTATTTTCTAGGTACAAACTCATTTTAACGTCAACTAGAACGTCATTTACAGAAGAAAATTTAGGGATGGTTGTTTCAATATGCGTTAACAGCAATTTTTTTATATCCGTATCCGATTTGTGATTGATATTACAAATCGGATCATGTTTTTTTGAATTAAAGTTATAAAATATATTTTTTTTAAATATTTTCAAATCGTACTGACAGTTGACACTGACGTGTAATAAACCGATTGTCGGTCGTCAACAACAACCGATGAGGTGAGTTGACTTGACGCCACCGCCTTGTTTTCTAGGAGAACAAGTAGTGGGGGTAAATCGTATCGTTCCGTTACAAAAGTTCCGTGCCCTATTAATAATAGTACATTTGTACATTTAGGTAAAATATTTTATTGTTAAATGTATGTAGATAATCAGACTAGAACAAAATAGACAAAATACCAAATACTTTAGGTAACTAAACTACTCAACTAGTTTCCATGATGTAGTTTTTTTTTCTAAAAATTTGTTATATCTCCTCAGTAAATAGATAAATTAACTATCATAAATTTGATTAATTAGAATTGTATATGTCAGCTAAATTACGTTAGGTAAATGAATAAATTTTCTAGCAAAAATGACTACTTGTCTAACAATTAAATTGATTTAGTTCAATTTTCCATATCATTTTTCTCGGTGTACGCGATGTACGCTTTTACATATCTAATCATATGATTGTATAAAAAAAAAATGGAAAAAAAATGCGTACGTCAAATCGTTATTCATACATCTGGTTATTACAATACCTCCAGGCATCTCCAAAGGCTATAGAAAATACTTACATCTGCCATCTGGAATAGTTTTAGCGTATTCTAGCACGAATGCTAGGGAGTGTCTCTATACCTCTCCAATTGTAGCCCCTGTGTTACAAGCGACCTTGGCTTAAATCATTCATGACTAACAACTATGTATGTCAAGATTGCTTGTGGTTGAGGCGTTTCAGTGTTAACTATTTCTATGCTCGTGTATCATTAAAGGTTATTAGTTAAGCAAGTTATTGTAGCACCTCGGCCGCAAGAGACCTCAGCTTATGATCAATCGCAAAGATTCAAGGTGTGGTTGTTCAGTGGCAACTATCTCTATCATGAAGGGTTATTATTCCAGCAACCTCTGTCCTAAGCGACATTGGCTTAAATCTTTTACAACTAGCAACTATGTATGCCGAGGCTACTCAGTGGCATCTCTATTCTTCTATATAATGAAGGGTTATTGTTCCAGCGCCTCGTATATAGTTGTTAGTCGTAAAATATTTATGTTTGAGACAGAGGGACTTCAGTCGTAAATGTCTCTTTCGTTCCCTATTCGAGTTATCATTATAGCCAGGGTGTTTCATTAAGACATACTTCCTCGGTACCTAGGCATAGCCTTTAATTGATCAATTCAGGTTACATTTTCGCCAAACCCGGAGATTGAGAAGAAAAACTGATTATTTTTCGTAATTATAAAGATTAATACAAAATATTATTTGTTTATGTCTATGTAAAGTTCAAATCTGTATAAAAAAGTTGTGTGTCACTTCCGGTTGATGTCCAAATATTGACACAAGTGTGCGATTGTGATTTAATAGACACATAATGTAGTTAACGAATTCCATTTTTGAGTTATTGTGGTTGCATACATATTGCAGAAACAATGATAAAACTTATGAAATATGTTGTTTCTAAACTTGATATAGGCGAAAACGGGAATTATATAATCGAAAACTTATTTGTTGTGTGTTAGGGTTAAAACAATTTCACAAAAATCTTTAGAAATCCAACAATTTCCACCAAAACACCCAGTATATTATTTAGTTTAATGAAACATTATGAATGAGGAAGAAGTGTCTATCAAATATAATAATCTACAGCGTCATATTTAATAATAGAAATGACGATAGAGTTTTTCTAACAAATCTTATTGAAATAGGACAAATAAAAACTTATCGCTCATTAATTAAACTTAGAATTATGATTTATTTATTTTCTAAAAAATCACTAATTCAATTATTTAATAATATTGATGTAATAATCGCTTAGTTATTTTCATAAGTGATATAAAACGATACTTGATAAGATAATTTTTTTGTAAGATAACGATCATAAAATTATATATCTTATGAATATAAAAAAAATAAATAAAAATACCAACCGTACCGTTAATAGGAAATGAAAACTCAATGTTCTTTGCATTGATAAGTATAAAACATTAAAATTCTATTCGCATCATTAGAAACATTTCCATGGTATTGTTCCAACGGCGACGAAATAAAATTTTGATTTTTTCCAATAAAAATACATTAAACAAATTAAACAAACCAAATAAACACGTTACGAAAGCGATTACGTAAAAAACATGTTGATTGATATATGTGAGAGGTACACAATCTGTGTTACGTTGGGAAACGTTAAAATTTACGATCGATATCCATATCAGGACGAAGGTAAGTTCAATCGACGGAGCAAAACCACAGAAAAAATGCACACAGATGGGAATAAGATCTCTTTAAAAGTGTTGAATTTCAAGATTATTTACAACATTTTTGTAGCACTTTATTTCAATGTTAACAAAAAAAATGTAGTAATAAATTAATAATAAGTAATTAAATTAATAATTAAAAAAATACTTACCGAAATAAACTGGCTTTTCGCATTTCGGACAATTAGGCATTTTTATTTGGAATAATTTAATTCGTGGAAAAACGAACGAAATCTGGCTTCAATGGTGTTCACCGTACAAACGTCGTAGAAGGTCTGTTTATTCCGTTTACTCGTTCCTGCTTTTAGTGTTGTCGCGGCGATGAACTTTAAATTGAAAGTACGCAACTGGTAGATGTCGCTTACAAAGTTTTTTAAAACTGTGAGTCATAATTAAAAAATTCATTCAAATGTGACACTTTGTTAATTAATTTGTGCCACGTTTTAAAGGAATACAATAACACCATTATTCTATCAACTCATATTATTTTATGGTAATGAGAGAAATGGGAATTTATGAGATATTGAAAATAAAATAGGGTTTATTGTACGATTTAAAAATTTTAATTCGATGAAGAAATAAATATCACGCAAACAAACCACTTGAAAAATGTAATAAATTACAATTTATCAGTTATTTCAAGTATTAATAAGAAATGCAGTGTTTGCCAAAAAGTCGCCAATTTTATTTCCACAAAATCAAAGTATACTACAAAATCGTTATTTTAAATCGAATGCAATAATTTTCATTACATATTTAAATTCTCTATACAAAAATAGATTAATTGATAAGTATCGTTGATACCGAAAGCTATTCCATTTAGCATTTCTCAGCCACTGTAGAAGCAACAAAGTTGAAAATTTGTATAATTACGCTTCAAATGTTCACAAATGAAATGTACACTTGTACAGTGTGTTAAATAATTATTGTTCCCAACGTCATCATTGCAAGTATGCAACCAATATCACACTGAATATATCTGAATACGTAAATCGCGTATTGCAATACCAATACTGTGATATTGGTTGCATACTTGCAATGATGATGTCGGGTACAATAATTAATTAACACACTGTATTGGTCTATCTTGTAGAGAATGAAGTAGATATATACAAAATTGAAGTAGATATGATATTAATCATAGGATGGAACATGGATTATGCACAGCATAGATTTCCAAGCATATGATCCAAGACTCTGCATATTAAGGATAAGAGGAAAATTCTTTAACTCCAGCATCTCTAACTCCCCAACTGAGAAAAAGAAGGCGAGATTAAAGATTTATTCTACAAACGGCATCCTGAAACGACGTCAAGATTATATATATTAGATCGATCAGGCGATCTTAATGCCAAAATTGGAAAAGAACCTCAATTTTAAGGAACAATTAAAGGAACGATAAATCTGGCAGCATCCCTTAATATGGATACCGCGAGTACGCACTTTGAATGATAACATATATGCAAGGAAATCTGAATATCTCCGGATGGTAACACCGTTATTATCATTGATTGTGTAGTCATTGATGCGAGACAATCAGACGTTATGATTGTTAAAAGTAGACGTGGACCAAATGCCGACTTCAAGCACTATGTTATGGAAAGTATAATCGAAGACAAGAAAAAGAAAACAAAAAGAAAACATACAGCAGCATAAAGAACTAATTAGAAATATACTTTCTAAAGAAACTAAAATCCAAACAAAAAAGGTTCATACTGAATACGAAGGAAGCAGTATTGATGAGGAATGGGAATCATTTAGAAGAGATGTACTCGAAGCGAAAGAAAAACCAAAGAAAACCAGAACAGAATGATTTGACGAAATTCCTATAGGAAAATGCAATAATGCAGGAGAACAAGGAGAACGGAAGAGGAGTATAAGTTATTTCGGAAAATAGAAAAGTGAACGCATAAAAGGGAGAAGGGAGAGTTTGAATAGGGAATACCAAGAAATGTAGACTTTTAGGAGCTAATCATAAAGCAGAAAATTCTACCAAAAAATAAGTAGTAGTTGAAAAAAATTTAAACCAAGAATAACAATGTGTAGGGATGAGCATAATATTTTGCCAGAACATGACAAGATAATGCAACGGTAGCTGGAACATTATAGAAGTAGATTGATAAGTAAATGATAAGGAGGACGGGAGTGATAGCGTTCCACTCAAAGAAATTGTATCTATCTCCGCCCGTGTACGAGATTGAAGCCAATGTTCGAGTGTTTGTTTTGGTATTCGACCCACTGACAGTGGCGTGTATAGTTTCGGCAAAATCAGATATCACAGTGGCGTACATGAAGAAATGTAGATTTTCTTTTTTATTGAGCAGGATTTTCAAAATTTGATGTGCGATTTATACGGTATATTGATTGAAATGTTTATTAAGGAATGTAAACCTTGATTTTTTCTTGACTTAAGGGAAACACAACCACCCACAGCGAACGACGTATTGATGGCAATAAAGAAAACGGGAACTGGTAGAGAATATATCTGGGAAAGAAAGCAGCTCCCTCAAGCAAAAATCTAGGAATTGTAGTACCGTTATATAAAGAGAGCGACCATCTCTAATTACAGAACCATCGCGTTCCTGAACTCTGCGTATAAATTACTATGGAACATTATATGTGAAAGATTGAAGCTATATGCGGAACGGATGATGGGTAACTATCAGTGCGGTATTTGCAGCCAAAAATCAACCTCTGAACAAATATTTGTCTTTAGGCAGGTACTGGAAAAGCCGAAAATCTCTCTACGGTATATCTAATCAGTGCAATGGAAGATCGCAAGATGCTCACCAACCTTATTTTATGAATCAGAGAAATGGTCAAGGTGAAAAGTGTAGTTAGGGTACAGAATGAAACAACGCAACCTTGAGAAATAAATGAGGATCTCTAACAAGGTGACCCTCTAACTTGTATCCTTTTCAATAGATCTTGGCCAGATCATGGATGATGTCGACATACCTGCTAGGACAAGAAAGGCTATAACAGAAGCTTTCAACCTCATAGAAAGACAAGCTATGAAAAGTGGACTAAAGGTAAACCAAGCACGCACGTAATACGCCGACATTAGGAACACGACAGCTGCAAAACCTAACGGTAGACGAATACAGTTTTGAACGTGTGTAACAGTTCGTCTATTTTTGCTCATTGGTGACCTCCGAGAATGATACCAGTGCATAGATTATTATGGTCTGATTAGGCACTTAAGATTGGACGGCCTATCAAGAGCTATAAGTATCAACAGTACAGGACTCTAACGCGATATAACAGATGGACGAAAGGCTATTGGGAGCAAAATACTGCACCATATACAGGTATCCCGAAACTCAACGTCAAGCGGGCACAGGTTGAGAGGACTGTTTCAAATAAGGTTAACCTAAAGACAAAATTAAACAAACAATAGCATTATTTTCTTAAAACTAAAGCAAATGCTCAAATTGTTTGCCGTCGGCACTAATACAAGCTCTGCATTGTCGCAGAAAAGATCTTCTTACTAGTTGTGCAAATCTCTTTGCATTTATTTCTTCTGCTGCTGTATAAATGTTGTGGCACAGTTCGGCAAGATTTTCAATCGGTTTTTAATACCCTGTTTCTTTTATGCAATCCTAATAAAAAAATCAAGGCGATTTATGCCCAGAGAATGAGGAGGCCACTTAATCGAACCAAGACGCCCGATCCATCTTTCTGGCTATTCTGTATGCAATACCGTACAGGACAAGCATAATTAGCTGGGCAACCATCTTGTTGAAACCACATTTCTGTGTAGATATTGAGTGGCACATCTTCGAAATAAAAATAACATACGAAGGTATGAATTTTTAAATAACGCCTTTTTTTGCAGAAAAACAAGCAATATTTTTTAAGGAAAAGAAAAATGGCAAGTGTTATACCATTTTGGAATCTTGACTAAACAGGCTATCTTTTAAAATAACTTACCAAAGGTGTTGTACTACTCCTTTGTTTAGAAATCGTGTCTCAAACTAAATAGACATAAATTCTTTCAACCTTAACTCAATCAAACTTATACATTCTTTTGCAAAACTAACGACTTTTGTTGTTTGATTTGTGACTGCTATAGTAGCATGGTTCATATGGAATACATTATTAAAAAAATCACTATTAAACATTTCTGACCGAAATACCTAAAGATATGATGTACGGAAACGATTTTTAACATTTTCAAAAATATGTCTATTTCCACTTAACTTTTATGAATTTTTGTCTTATTTTTACCAGAACAGGTATGAGTTGGCCTCTCACCCGGTGCCCGCTTGACGTTGAGTTTCGGGACACCTGTATACAGGAAGGTGTTTTAAAATGGAGATTGGCGCAGAAGATATAATTTCGAGCTGTACTCAGCATACAGAGATCCTAATTTTGTTACATTTATAAAAATCAGTCGCCTGCAAAATCAGAATGAAAGACCTACGACATCCCAAAGAGAATATCAAACCAAACTCCCGTTGGGACAAGTGATAGGGGCGATGCAAAACAAAATACTTGGATCAGGTGGAGGACGACACCAAAACGCTTGGCATCGTCAATTGGAGAAGGATGTTTTGTAACAGATCCGAATAACGGAAAATGCTGGAATAGGCTATGGCCTACACAGGATTTCGTGTTATTGATGATGATATTAATCGCTGAGCCTCGGCCGCAAGCGACTTCGGTTTTATCACATGAGATTGTAGATGTATTGACTAATTAACCGCCACAATATGATGACCGATTTCAGATTGATATAATCTTAATTATAGCATTCCATTTAAAATAACGATTTTGAAATCTACTTTCGCTGTACCGGAAGTGCCGACTATCTTGAAAATGTGTTGTGTAATGAACATTCAATATAAACAAAATTTCAGAACCATAGGCACAATGGAACCAAAAAAAACTTTTTGATGGATACTGTACAAAAGCAAAAAAAAAAACAATATGTAATAATAGATCAAATAATTTTCACACTTTTTATAAATAAAGAAAAAAAAATAAAGGTATACACACATATCTAAAATATTTCAAAATGCAAAAAAATAATAAAACTTCACACAATCACATATATCATTATTTTCTACTAATTCTTTTTGCTTCCTTTTGATTTTTCACTTCCTTTACTTTTGTTGCTAACCTTGCTGTGATTACTAGCATTACTTTTATGTGATTTAATACTTTTGTCGTCGCCGTTTTTAGGACACCCACAAATTTTTCTCGACTTGACAGAACCATCGCGAGAATTTTTCTCAACCTTTTCAATATCATTAATATTTTCTACGGCTTCACCACCGGTTCCATCTCCAGCTCCACCACCATCTCCAACCTCCGTTTTCGCAGTTTCATCTGGTTTAGCTTCACCATCGGGAACGTTTTCGTCAGATTCCAGAAAAACACGTGGTACAAATTTCGGTACACTCCAAATAAAAATCGAGCCACTCGCTGAAGTTGAAACAATGTACTTCCCATCGGGGCTAAAGGCGGCTGCTGTTATAACAGCAGAATGTCCTAAACCGACATGCGTTGTAATCCCCGCTTCGTAATCCCATAATTTTATTATTTGATCGTTACCACCGGTTACGAAACGAGTACCATCGTCGATTATATCTATACAATTAATTGCGCCGGATGTGGATCCTTCTAATTCACGTACTAAAGTTCCATCTAACACTTCCCAGTAAGCAACTTTTCGGTCAGAACCCGCGGTCACGATTTGAACGCCAGTGGGAAAGTATCGAACGCACATAAAGAGAGTATTTCCAAACAAAATTTGTTTTCGAACTTGTCTGATTACGTCCCAAATTATACAAGTACCATCAGTACTTGCACTCGCAGCTTCATCATCCGATGCGTTAATGTGAACGGCCGAAACTGGCCCTTTGTGTTCTTTTAAAACACACATTAATTCGTTATGTAACGGGGTGATCTTCCAGAGCCTAACTTGTCCTTCGCAACCACCGCTTATCAAAGTTCTACCGTGATGGGTAACCGCTAAAGCAGAAACGCCTTTATTGTGAGAATTTGGGATGGCGAAAATTAATCGGCCTGTTAACGGTGTAAAGGCGCGAATTACACCATCATTCCACCCAGTGTAAATCGATTTTCCATCGTGTGCAAAAACCACTTTACAACAGATAAAATTTGGTACGCATATTCGAAGAAGTTCCATTTGGGTTGCCACACTCCAGATGCGCACATCGTCTTGACTTGCTGTTGCAAAAACCTCTGAGAAGTGGCTAAAAATAATATATATTTAATAAAGAATAAGGTATAATAAAAGGTTATCAACAAAGAATTAATAAGTTATCAAAGTTTCGCAAATTAATTGTATGTAATAGCGAAATACTTTATTCATCTGGCATACACATTTATAAACAAAGAGAAAATACATGGAGAAGAAACTATTACACCAAAAGTGGCTATCAAAAGATGCAGTTGAAAGGTTGTACCAAAATATGACAGATGTTATAAAAAAAGGCAACAGAATATCTGAAAGCATATATGTATATTACCAAAGGCCTCAAATAAGGATGCAACAAGGATATATTATATTGAAAACAAGCCCTAACAAAATTGTGGGAAGTGTCAAAATATGAGAAGCTAAGTAGACATTCGACAAACTATTTATTTTGCACTTTGCGGATGACCAAGTTATATTGGTAGAAGACGCAATGGGCGCAGAATATATACTTCATAAATTGTGTGAAGATGATAACAGTTGGCGGGGTTTCAATAAATCCTAATAAAGAGAAATAATTGGTCATAGGAGTAAATGGAAACCTAAGCATCTTGGAATTAAAACATGGAATACCGGCAACGATAATGCTGAAATTGTAACTAGGATTGGGCAAACGAAAGCTGCTACCAGACAATTAAATGGCGTTTCGCGAACTAAAATTCGAATATACAGGGTTTCCCAAAACTCTAAAAATCGAAAATAAAATATTTTCATGCTTTTTTGCACTTTTATTACGATTTTTATAACAAATGTTCAAATTGTCAACCTTCTTCGGTCTCGCAATAACCCAAACGCTCATAGATGGAATTTTGAACCATCAGGAGCATATCCCAAGTGATATTCGTGGTTCTTCAAGTATGCGATTTTGCAAATCATTGATTGATTCTGGTTTTGTTGCATACACTCTACTTTTCAGGAATCCCCAAAAGAAAAAATCAAGTGGTGTTAGATCAGGAAATCGTGTTGGCCACTCAATGTCACCTCTACTACCAATCCAACGGTTTGGAAACCTACGGCTTAAAAAGTCTCGGACTGCGCGAGTAAATGTGGAGGACTACCATCTTGTTGGAACCACTTATTGTCAATACCATTAGGGCATACGGCACGTACACTTGGAACCACTTGATTTTCTAACAGATGTAGATATCTGTCTTCGTCCAAATTTCCATTAATAAAAAATGGACCAATTATGCATGGAAGTTCTAAACTATCTAAAAATGTAGTTTTTATGATTCTTTGAACCCTGTATAAGACGGTCGTGAAAAGTATAGGCACGTATGGATCCTAACTATTGACCATGAAGAAAAGAAGCAAATCAAGAACCACACTGGAATGGACCACTGAAGTAGATGTTGCCAGAAAACAAGGATGATTCGAGTGAAGAATACCGATATTCGTAAAGAAAATGAGAATACAGATTAGCACACTGGAAACCATAAAAATAAGCTGTAAAAAAGCCGCCTAAAATATACAAGTGTTTCTAAATTGATGCGAAAGATTTTAAAGATGATCAGCAAAAGTTAAGTTATTTTTTTTTTGTTTAACTAACAATTTTAGGAGAAAATGTCAAGAGGCAAAAAAGTTACAGATTGAATGCCTCTATTTAAATCATGTTTAGAAATAGAAAAATGTAGACCCATTAAAAAGTTCGGATCCAAACTATTATAGTGGTTGATTGACCCCTTGTAATAATATATTAGGGTTACAAAAATCAGTTATCTGCCAAATTTAATTCTTCTACATTCTTCCACTCTCAAGTCAGCAGAAGAGTCTGCAACTTTAGAGTTTTCAACTATAGAGAGCTGTAATTTGGAGAGCTCTAATTTTTGCAGAAAAATTTCGTATCAATTTGGAAACAGTCTATATATAGTAGAGTTTTGTACAGCTTATAGCCCTTGCTCGCATCCTGGCTTTCATATTTTTCTATTTTGCCAGTCACTTAGTCTTTTCGATTCCGTATTCTCCTCAACTTCCACTCTCCAAGACCGCCATGGTCATCCTCATTTCTTCGATTTGGCGGTATCAAGTTTATCATTCGCATCAATTTAGAAACATCCTATCTATATTAATAATTAAAAACATAGGAGAATACTGCAATTATACATTTTCATCTTGAATCTTCATATTTTTATGATAAGAGGACAATTTTGTGTTTGATCAAAACTCTGGGAGAACTTATTCATACTCATTGTTGATTGATAACTGTGGGGCCGCCTTATGAGTTATAGCACACCATTAAACAGCTTTATTTATTAATACCGGGTGTCCTAATAATGATACGGAGGGGCTACATCTCAACAATGGTAAGACTTAGAGGTTTGGTAAAAAGATCCTTATCAGCAAAGTGGGCAAGAGAAATAGTTGGAAATTATTATGGAAGTTATTGTCATAAACAAAAACTACATGATAAGCTATAACTTTGACAACATCATTTGACAGCTTGGATAATACCGCTTTTTTTGCTTTGCAACATTTCTAATATCTGTCATAATAAGTCATAATTAATTTTAGCCACAAATGTCCATCAATGTTGATGTATTTATTTAATATAACTCTAGACTCGTTTCTAATGGCATTTCGTACTCTCTCTGTCATATTTATCCTGGTTGTTGCTTTTTCTTGAAAAGCCAGGTCTTTTAGTCTACCCCATAGATAAAAATCTAAACAAGATAGATCGGGCGAATGCACTGCCTAGGTAGTTCAACTTCCTCTTCTAATAACGCGTTATAAATATTGCTCTTCTAAATGCATGTTACTTCTTATTTCCAAGGAGACGTTTTTTAAAATGGGTTGAAAGAAAACGTTTAAAAATTCCAAAAACCGTTCTCCATTAACTGTCCTTCCACGATTCCGCACCATACGTTCAAACTCCAGCAATTTTGATGCACTACCTGCCGCATCATGTAGGTTTTATCTTCGAATCCATAATGCATATTGTGCAAATTTACACTACCTACGCTATTAAAAGATGTTTCATGCATCCATAGTATTTGTGATAAAAAAATTTGGATTTGCCCCAATCATATTTAGCCTGATGTAAAACAATGTGGTATGGATGTATATTATTCTCTTGAAGAATCTTGTGGATAATTGTTTTCGGGATTCCCAGGTTGTGGGAAATTTTTCTGGTGCTTAATGTGTGATCAATATTTGAAAATATATTGGCCGCTCCCTCCCTTATTATGGCAGATATGAGAAATTTCGCAGAGCAAAAGCGATGCAGTATTATCCAAGCCATTCTTCAGCAACTTTCCGAGATAGCGCGAATTTTAGTTATGGCAGTTACACCTCCTAGCGGTCGGATTACAAAGCTCTAGGCCTTACCATTGTTGAGATACAGCTACATATTTATACATACTTAATTTTACTTACTATGGAAATGCAACATCAAAAATAGTAGATTTATGACAAGTAATCAAAAGAACTGTTTGAAACGTTGTTAAATTGATCGAATATAGTTCGCAACAATTCGTGCCAACAAATAATTGATCATTTTGAAATATATTAAAAGAAGTTGGAATTCCATTTATTTTAGTCGATTTTAACTAAAAAGAAACTTTATCAATTTAAATAAAAAGTAACAATAAAAAAGCTTACGACAAATAATTCTGGAGTACTACACAATTTATAAGCGACAGTTTTCGCTGGTTTAATATGTACCCTTCTTTCTTGTACAATATCAATAGTGCCATCACCACCACCGATAAGAAGTTCCTCCTTACCAATTAACTTAATCGCTCTAATTCCTTGGCTGTACAATTCAATACAACCCTCTGGTAACGGTTTTTGGGGATGCTTTGAAAACGATCCCATTAAAATAGGTCGCTTAACAGGATCCAAAACTTCCACATCATGATGGAAATTTAATCGAATCTTAAGAACATCACCGGTACTTGTTCCGCAATAACAAATTTCATCGCGCTCGTTTAAATCGATACACATGATTAGGCGTTTAAGTTTGGCTAGGGTTATGTTGATTCCGCGTACATTACGTGCCTCGCGGTCAATTTTCCATATTTGTAGAGTGCATTCGCCTCCTGATATAAAGCAAGCTTCGCGTTTATTCGTTGGATACACCACGACTGCATCCCCTTGGGTTCCGCTACTAGCTTGGTTTCCGCAAAGTGGTTGTCTTGATTCCACATCCCAAACGACAATTGATCCACAATCTCGACCGCCCAATGAAATTAAATAACGATCGTTTATTGAGAAACATATTGATTCCACGCGGACTTTGTGAATTTCATGCTCAGCAACGAGACAACGCTCATCAAAATCCCAAAGAATTACTTTTGCCTAATACAAAAATTTTGAATAAAAAAAATTATTCAATTTTGATAATTTTACCTTGAATCCTATATGATTAATCTGCCCTGATGCTATATATTTACCAGAAGGTGAAACAGCAACAGCCGATATAGTGTTGGTGTGTCCAGATAGAAAGTCTTGTTTCTTGGTCGCCCAATGTTGGATCGATATCTTATTTCCTAATGGATAAACAACGTGTTCTCCATTGGGATGGACTACAAATCCTCTAATGATACCTCCTAGAAGTCAAAAAAAAATCAATTCGTTTTAAATTGCCAAAAATTTCAAAATGATCGATTCATTTTGATACTTTACCATCAAATCCTATTATTGAGTGCAATTCTAAATCCTCAACTGTTATTTCTTCGGACTCCTGTTCGCCCATCGTCGTAATTATAATTACGATAACTTAAAAAGAATAAAAGCAAACACACAAATATTGCTACGCACCAGAACATTTATTGTTGTTTTTTCGTTGCGGTAGTTTGTTTTCAAAATCAACGTTTCGTTACCATGGAAACTAAAAACTTGCGCAATTAAAACTTAAATATTTACATTTATTTATCATATGTTACTACATTATCAATTTAGTATCATATTTTTTTTATTAATAACAATAATTTAATCATATTTGCATTTAAATATTAATAAAAATTATTTTTTTGATCAATAGAACACATCTTAAACGTCAAAATTATTGTCAATCGAAACAATCGATATAAACCAAGATACAACACGTGACAGTTTAAATATAAATGAGGTTATGTTTACGTCAATTTAAATTTCGTTATTTATAACGCTCAAAATACGTTTAAATTAAGATATGGCTTTATGTGACGCCGAAAAAACATTTATTTTACATGGAGTTGAAGTAAGTTTAATTAATAATTTAACGAAAAACGAGTGTATAATTCGAAATTTTTAGGAAAACTTTAGAAATGATGGTCGAACGCGAGAGGATTATAGACCGATGGAATTAGAAACTGGAATAATATCTCATGCCTTTGGATCTGCAAGATTAAGATTAGCCACGACGGATGTATTAGTTTCTGTTAAATTAGAGGTGGATTCAACACATCCCGATAAACCAAACGAAGGAAATATTGAGTTTTTTATCGATTGGTAAATTATTTAAATAATATTTATATGTATTAATATAGATATTTATGTCATATTAATTAATTTTTTAGTTCAGCTAATGCAACACCTAACTTTGAAGGGCGTGGTGGGGAAGATCTTGCTACAGAAATAAGTAATTGTTTAGCTGCAGCTTATAAATCTCCCAGTGCTTTTGATAGTACAAAATTATGTATTTTGAAAGGAAGAAAATGTTGGAAAATTTATGTTGATATTTTGGTATGACTTAATTTGCAGTCTATATTCTATTTTTAAATTTGGGGGAGTAAAATGAAAAGTCGGTGTAATTTTTCAAAGATATTTTTTGGTGTGAGGTTAAAACCAGAGAGGATTTTAAGTAAACTGTAGTTACAAATTCAATTACTTATTTGTTTAAACATAATAAAAACCAAGGGGTACCTACATACTTACTTTGTCCCACATAAAATGTAATATATCTATACAGGCTGGTTCGTTACTAATGGGACACAGAGCAACAATGAATTCTTTACATTAAATTATGATTTAACCCAATTTATGTTAGTCCAATTGTTAATAATAACGAACATACAGATAGTTAAAGTTAATACTTTATTTTCGTTTTTCTTTAATAATTTCGTGTAATAATTTCGTTTAATAACATGAAAATTTGTACATTATCATTTTTTAAGGCGATAAATATTGATGTGGTATTAGTTTTGATTTATCTTTCAGATGGCGCTGCCTGCATTAAAAAACTCCCTTAAAGTAAACTTAGAGAGTTACTTTAAGTTAGAGTTGTTTACTTTAGTGAGTTACTTAAAGAGTTTTATAACTCACACAACTTGAAACAGTTTCTCAGACGTTTTTACATAAATTTGGTATACCTACCAATCTTCTTTAAAGTTCTTCATTTATTTCCAAGATAATCACTGTTTACGGGCACGTCGCAAAATTTAACTAAGCTCCGTAAACATTAGTTGGCGTTGAAAATGATTTTATTTGGTCAAACACTAGACTAACACGGTCAATTGGCATTAATACTAGAGTATTAATGCTAATTGACAGTGAAAATTTGACAGAATTTGTAAAATATTCGACAGGTCTTGTGTTTTACTTAAAACAGTAGTCCATTTACAAGGGGTACTACTATTTTTAAAATTATCATCTTGGAAAACTGTATTTAAACTTTTGTTTAAAATGTCTACTTCATCAAAGATTTGATTAATGTTTAAAATGAGCTTTGGGTTTTGTAGCTTTTCAAGTAAATTAACAATGTCTTGAAATTTAACTGGACTATTTAGCTTTAAATGAGACATTAAAGATAGTAAATTATCAGTACTAAAGTCGAACCATTTTTTTTTGTACTGTATAGCAAACTTAACGACTAATTTAAAGTTATTTTCAAATTTTTCTGCCTGATATCTGTCTAAATATTTTCATTTTTGCGTAACAAGATATCTAACGTAATTTTGATCTAATCGATTAGAAAATTTATCGTCTAATGTCTTACAAATATCGTATACATCGATAACTGACATTTTATTACTTTCTAATGTCAGAATAGCATCATAAAATACACTTAACCGCAAAATTAACGCACCACTTATTTATCAGTAACTAGTGTTACCACCTCTGGCTGTTATTGTAGCCTGACATCATCGTGGCATACTTTCAATTAGAGAAATAAGAGTCAATAAGACTTTGTGCAGCTCGTCTAAGTTGTTAGATGGTGGATGCTGACTTCTAATCTTCCGTCCCATTATGTCCCAAAGATGCTCGATTGGGTTCAGGTCTGGACTACAGGCTGGGCACTCGAGGACTTGAATATTAACATAATTTAAATATTCAGTAACAATATGTTCCGCATGTGGCCTCGCATTATCCTGCATAAGAATGAACCCATCGCCAATGTAAGGTGCAAAAGGTATCACAAAACGTTCTAAAATGTCTGTTATGTATCGTTTAGAATTCAGACGTCCACCATCAACGATAAAAAGTTCCGTGCGAGTTGTTAAAGATATTCCACCCCATACCATCACTGAACCGCCTCCGAATAATGTGGTTTCTCGAATGTTAAATGTGGAATATCTTTTATTAAGGCCTTCTATACATGCTTGGACGACGATATGAACTTACAAAGCAGAACAGTGACACATCCGTAAATAACACCTGCTCCCAATGATGGATTTCCCAATCCACGTGACTTCTTGCAAAAGCCAATCTGTTTCTTCGGTGGTTTGCAGATAATCTGGGACCAGTAGCTGCTGGCCGAGGTCATAAATTTTGAGTATGAAGTCTTCTTTTCATGGTATCTTGACTAACAGCAGTGCTATGAACCTCGCTTAGTTGTATTTGGAGGCTTCGTGCAGTAGTGAACCGTTCCCTAAGTGCTCGAAGCATCAAGAATCGATCCTCCACCGCATTTATAGCTCGTGGCCTGCCTTGGCCACGTCGTTTAGCATAATCGTTGGTCTCTACAAATCTCTGCAGAACCCTATCGACCGTTGTATGAGGCACGCCAAACCTTCTACCAAGGCCGCGATTTGTTAGTTCTTCATTGGACAAAGTTACAATTTGAACACATTCATCACTATTTAAATTTCGTCTAGCACGCTCCATTATGTATTGCACGAATGACAGTTATCTTATCAATTGGTAAAACAATTAATAAACAATGCCTACATTTATTTTAGAAGTGAGGCTTATTTACGTAAAAACAAACCCGTCATGAAAAGCTGCTATGATTTCAAAATTTAATAAAGAAGACGGACAAATCCTATACAAAAGGCATAATAATGAACAAATTATTATAACTGATATTAATGAATCGGAAATATATAATATTTCTCGAAATAAAACCAAAAGTCAGAGTGGTGCATTAATTTTGCGGTTAAGTGTATTTTAAGAAAATTTTCACACAATAGCAAGTAAATCTCTTGGATTTTATTTTCTGGCGTATCTTCATATGTATCATCCTTTATAAAAAATAATTTTTTGATTTGATTGGGACAATCTCTCATTCTTCTGAAGTAGGAAAGCAAAAGGCGGTTTTACAAACTTAACCACCTGGTGGTGACATGATGTAGTATGCTTGAGCACTTTTATGTCACAGTCGAAACTATTATATGACAAATTTTGTTTTATGTTATGATGCAGTAATCCTAATTCAATTGCAGCCACATTATCTTCTTCTGGTGAATGATTTGGTGTGCAGAAAGTTGTTAATAAATTGTTATTTACTGCAACACTTGATTGTGTGATATGAATTTTTGTCAATTCATGCTGTTTTACCTAAAAATATGAATATTTAATTGTTATTACTTCTTATTACATTTAGTTAGTTACGGAAGTTAATCCTTGACTTTTAATAGAGAAATCTTTAGTACATAAAGTACACTGAGCATATTCATCATTAATTTTAGAAGGTTGTAGCCATTTGTATGTGTTAGACCACTCTTTTCAATAAGTAGATTTATACTTCAGCTTCTTAGTGGGTGGTGCTTTAATTTTTTGGTTCTCGTCTATATTTGTATTTTTTCTTTTTTTTCGTAGAGGATAATAGAGGAGGATTAAAGAAATTAGAGAAGGTAGGAGATAGCGTGTTAAATAGAGGAAACTCCTCTGAAATAGAGGAGAGTTGGCAGTCCTAGCTGGTAGGTGGTAGGTAGCGCTAGTTAGCATAAAATATCACTATGTTGCATATTTTTATTGACCTAAAACTAACACCAGACCTAGAACTAGAAAGTATCCCGAATATTTCTAGATCTAGGTCTATTAGTTCTACTTTTAGTTCAATAAAAATGTACATCTACCTACCACTGAATAATAAGTAAAACTAGAACTAACACTAGACCTAAAACTAGAATCATTCGGGTTTAGCCGTCTTGAAAGACGTGCGGCTAAATCCGAATGTTTCTAGTTCTGGGTCTAGTGTTAGTTCTAGCTTTACACTAGCACTATCACTAGAACTAACAGAAGACCTAGAACTAGAATCAAAATCCTTCTTTTTGGCGCTTCAATTTGAAAATACTCCTCCGAATTAAAAAATAGAGTATAAATAAAAACAAAGATTGTTAACTTCAAATTAAAATTAAAATTATAGCTCCTTGAATGTGGTGGGAACCTTTACGATGCGATATCGATAGCTGTTAAAGCTGCTTTATGGAATACAAGCATACCTCATATTAAAAGCACAGCTATCGATGGTAATAATGTTGAGTTAGATATTTCCGAGGATTTATTCGATTGTGATAAACTTGATATTTCTGGGGCACCTTTGATGGTACTTAACTAAAATTGAAATTTTTACGAAAAATAAAGATATTAATTATTTTTACAGGTTACTTTGTGTAAAATTGGTGATCAATGTGTTGTTGATCCAACAAGTGCTGAAGAAGAATGTTCTCAAGGGTCTATTGTTGTGGCCGTTTCCAAAGGGAACTTTAGCGCCGTTTTACAAAAAGGAGGCGGCTCTTTACATCCGATTTCATTAATAGAACGGCTTAAATTAGGGGCTAAAATCGGTAATAGATTAGAAGAGGCACTTCAAGTTGTTTTAGCCAGGATTCCAGATACACAGGAAGAGATGGGTTTCATAAAATAATTGTTTATTTTAGTATGGTTATAAATATTTTTTTAATTGAGTCGTAAATATATTTGTAAAATTAATATTAATCCTAATGATCCGATAATAGATGAACTAGATCCGGTTCCTCTAACAAAAATCGTCTTTGCCACTCCATTATGGATTGAAGTAGTCAATTGTGATATCCCCGTTCCTGAACCGCCATTACAAAGATCTTGATCACACGTATAAAAATAAGTTCTAAAAGTAGTATCTTCTGTAATATCATTTTTAAGTTCATCAATACAAGTTCTGGATATTGAAGAAACTTTTCCTTTTGGATCCTTACAAATTATTTATTTTTTAAATTTTTGTAACAAATATTTTAGCTTGGTACTTACCACAAACTCAATTCTCTGTATATAACAATATTTTTTATTACATTCTGTAATTGCGTTGGAAGCAGTTACACTTTCTGGGTCGTTTATGCAAGCATTATTGACGTCTCCATCGGTACTTGTGCAGGTATAACATTTTATAGCTAAGAAAAAGCATTAATAAAGGATTTAAAAACTTGAATTGCTTACCTTGTGTTGGTGACAATAAAATAATGAAAATTGCTAATACAAAGGTAAAAGTCAAAAAGAAATTCATTTTATTGATTAAAACCAAGCCGATTCTCCTTGAAAGAGGAATAAGACTAGTGCATGAGTTCTGTGTTTTATTCTAGTTTTGATAAGGTATCTTCCATCAACTAGGATTACAAATTAATCCGAAGATTAATTTTATATTACTACAAAAATAAGTTAATTCCACTTTTTTTAATTTTAAGATAAGTATTTCCGTTGGAATTGAAAGTGATGAGATGCAGTGTCAAAGTTATTTCAGTTATTAAAGTAAGTGTGATAAAATGAAAGTGTTGTATTTATCAATTTGAAGTTGTCTTTAGTGGTAAATTGTAAGTTTATATTGGTAATATATGATTATATAGAGTATCTCAAAAACTATGCTTAATTCACTGAAAGATAATTCAATTCAGATCAACAACAATGCAAGAGATTACGATGAAATATTCTAGATTATTTAAATCGAGACAATGCTTATACATAAGTCGAGATAATGATGATTAAGAAATAAAACATCTTGTTTAAAGGCTAAATTTGTGACTAATTTGTATATTGCAATTTAAATTCGTTCGAATACGAGACCCCCCATTCATTGTACACTTCATTTAACACGTTCGGCATGGCGTGGTATAGCATTAGTGCCTCACTGGCTGCTCTACTTTGTCCGGCGTGGCATCAGTCAGTTCATAAATTCAAAAAGACTCACTTTTTTCTATTTGCCTCACTACAATGTTAAATAAATAGACATTCAAAATCAAAAAGGTCTCGTGTTAGTTCTAGTTTTACACCAGCACTATCACTAGAACTACTAGAACTAATACAAGACCTAGAATTAGAAACATTCGGGTTTAGCCATCTTGAGAGACGTGCGGCTAAACCCGAATGTTCTAGTTCTTGGTCTAGTGTTAGTTCTACTTTTACACTATCACTAGAACTAACACAAGACGTAGAACTAGAATCATTCGGGTTTAGCCGTCTTGAGAGACGTGCGGCTAAACCCGAATGTTTCTAGTTCTTGGTCTAGTGTTAGTTCTAGTTTTGCACTATCACTAGAACTAACACAAGACCTAGAACTAGAATCATTCGGGTTTAGCCATACTGAGAGGTGTGGTATAGCATTAGTGCCTCACTGGCTGCTCTACGTTGTCCGGCGTGGCATCAGTGAGTGTCTCAGACTTCACTATTTGCCTCACTACAATGTTAAATAAATAGACATTCAAAATCCACCGTCTGTACGAACAATTTATATTACCTGGTCACGAATATTTATACATGTTTCATAATTACAGTGTATTTTATGAGGATTTATGACAAAACTTCAAAATAATAAATATTAGAAAATAATTATTTATTAATTTGACAGAAAAATTTAGTTATTTTTAAATTTTTTTTTGCATTATGAATAGAAAAAAATATATGGAACACAGTTCTTATTACAAGCAGGACAGTACCATATGCTTCTGGTTGTTTTATTATGAGCTATATTTTTACCAAACTGTTCTGTATTGTTGGCATAGCAAACCACACGTCGATATCTCTGATGTTCAATTTATCTAAGTTATTTGTTTCTTCAGGCTCCATAGGCAGGTTACTCGTAGATAAAAGTATTTCGGCAAGCTGTTCTCTAAATTCAGTGATGATATTACTCTGTGTATTTTTTTTAATAATAAAAATACAGAACCTAAAATTAGTTCAATAGGTAATTTTCGTACCTCTTCTCAGGCAATGCGAATATGCTTGTAGCTGGTCAGATAAGTCAATATAAGCTTTCGACTTACTGTTGTCAAGAATAGCTAAAGGATTCTTTATTTCCTTTCCACGTTGTTGACCTCGAATGATCTCGTCAGTATGTTTAGCTATGAGTAACAACACATCACGAGTATGTTTCTATTTTAGCATTACAATACCACAAGTGCTTTCTTGCTGGGCTATCATTTTATGTTTTTTCAGTTTTCGATTCAAACTTCTTTTGAGAGAAGACGAGATGTGTATACCTTTCAAGCAGTCTTCTGGCTAAATAAACGCAGGTGTAATAGTTATAGACTGTTCATCCGGAATCTAGAAGGTTCTTTAGTAAGGATAAAACAACATTTGAAGAAGCAGCAAAGAGACCAACCTTGGTCATATTTTCCACGGTACATCTGGAAATCATATGTGTATCCACCGGTGTTGCTTAATTTGTATATCTTTATGCCAAATTTATGTTTCTTGTTTTTTATGTACTTTTTGAAACTTAGACTGCTTATACAGCAGTCGGGCATAAAAACTTCTTGAAATCTTTCTGCTATTTTCTTTTCATTAAAGGTGTTAACTTTTGGAATCTATCATTAGAAAAACCACATCTGCAATAGTTGTTCAAATCGATTTCTTGGTATCACATTTTTAAAATTTTCCATTTCTTTATTGTTAGTAGGCACTCAATCTTTCACATGGCCTTTGGTTTTCTTTTCATTGCACAAAGTTTACTCAGCATGCAGATTCGTCTGGCTGTACCTCTAAAAGCTCCAATTATGAAATTTTGGAATGTGAGGCTAACAAAATATTTATTAAGTTGAACCAAAATGTGTTACTAGAAAACACGAGAAATAGTCGAGTGAATTGTTATAAAGAAAGGATGAAAATAGAAAAAAAATCAATTATTAGATTATCGATTAACTTCTATCAATTTATATTTAATTGAGTATACAAAGGGAGTAATTTATTAGTAATTTCAAATTTTGACAGTGATTCCACATAAAAAAATATTTATTTAAATCTATTCTAAATAAAAATAAAGATTTAATTTAATCGTAAATACATTTGTAAAGCTAATATTAAGCCTAACGATGCGAATATAGTTGAACCAGATCCAGTTCCTCTAACAAAAATTGTAATTGCTTTTCCATTATCGATGGAAGAAGTCGTTTGTGATAAATCTGTTCCAGAACCACCATTACAAAGATCTTCATTACACGCACGATAATAAGTTCTAAAAGTGCTATCCTCTATAACCATACTTTTGTATAGAGGTTCATCTACACAAGTTCTGGACATTGATGAAACTTTTCCTTTGGGATCCTTAAATGTTTATTATATTTTATTTAATAGAAAAGGGAATTCAATAAAAAACATACCACAAATTCAACTCGAATCGAATAACAGTATTTTTTATTACATTCCGTGATTGCGCTTGAAGCAGTTACACTTTCTGGGTCATTTATACAAGCTTCATCGACAGCTTCATCCGTACTTGTACAGGTGTAACATTTTAAAGCTAACAAATAAGTTAATTAATCTCAAAAATTAATAAATATATTTATTTAAATTTACCTTTGGTTGGTGTAATTACACAAAAAGCTAAAACGAGGGTTAAAGCAAAGAAATTCATTTTAACTATAAGTATAATACTGATTTATTGAAAGGAAATACAAGGATCTTATCTAAAAATCTTATCTTATTGATATTTCTAGAAAAGGTGCATGTTTCATATTAGATTTGATAAGATATTAATTATTAACTATTAAATAAAAACATATTGGAATAATTAAATTATATTCATAAAATAAATTATGGATTTATTTAACAAACAAGAATTAATTTCAAAAACCAAATTTGATTTAAATTTGTTACCAAAAAATTCCAACAGATGTCTCATTTAATTACATAAAAAAATAATCTGGATTAAAATTAAATGTTAAGTTGTATTTTCTATGGAATATTATCGTAACGATGTGTTATTACTAATTACATAAGAAATTCTATTAATTAAATAATTAATTTAGAAAATATTTTAAATAAATAAAAATTTATTGTATTGCACCGATAGATGTCGCAACAAAAAATGTTATCAATAAAAAATCAATACAATTCGTTTTATCAACTTGATGAGACACAGGATGTACTTGAAATTTTTATGTTATTATCAAATAAAAACATCGAATTGTTTAAAACAATCTTTTATTACGAAAATTTTTTAATTATGTTAAGTTGCATGACAAGGCCAATAGATGTCACAACAAATTAATTAAATAAAAATGAATCATCATTTTTAAATTATTAGCGTCGAATATTTTTGGATTATTAGATTATTAAGCGACAATAATTATTTGTAAAATACTATTAAATCCATTTAATAATTTATAAGTATTAATAAATTTTAAAAGGTTGGTAATCATGAGTAACGTCTTTTTTGCTTTAATATGGCGGGAATGTTCTAAACAGGCACCGACTTGTTCGTTAACTATCTCAGAAATTAATCTGTTTTTTTAACAAATCATTTGTGTTATAATAATTATTGTTAAATCGTATTTGTTTTTATCAGCATTCATATCGGTTTAAGTATGGATTTACCCTACAGAGCAGAATACGCAAAAAGCGGCCGGGCTTCTTGTAAGGGTTGTAAATCGGCAATAGGACAAGGTACGTTAAGATTAGCCGTTATGATACAATCTCCAAAGTTTGATGGTAAACAACCAAATTGGTACCATCACATGTGCTTTTTTACCAAGCAAAGACCAAAAAGCGTTGACGATATTGAAAATTACGAGACCTTACGGAATGAAGACCAGGAATTCATTAAACAAAAAGTTGATTGTAAGTTTCTTATTGACTGGTTTATAGGATAATTGCATGATTAATTGTTTTATAGCTACTGCTTCCGGTAGTTCTACAGTTGTACCAGCTAAAAAAGGAAAGAAACGCGATGCCGAAAGCAATAATGCTTTAAAAGACTTTAAAATTGAATATTCTAAATCGTCGAGAGCCGCTTGTCGTGGATGTGAACAAAAAATTCTTAAAGATGAAGTAATTATACATATTTACATTTAGAGTTTATTTTTATTATTATTTTAAATCATTAGATTAGGATTTCTAAAAAAGATTTTGAAACGGATGTTGGAAAACGTTACGGAGGTCAAGATAAGTGGCATCATCTTACTTGCTTTGCTAATTTGCGCTCAGAATTAGGATATTATGAAAATGGTGATAAATTACCTGGTTTTAATGCATTAAAAGCCGATGATAAAAAAGAAGTTAAAAGTCAACTTCCGTAAGTAAATAAAAGTTTTTATTAGTAATTGAAATTGGTTAATAAAAATGAATATATTTTTTCTTTCTATTTGTTAATGTGAATGAAATTTTTCTTGAAAGTTATAGTGTAAATTGAAATAATTGTTTAGTGATTCTTGAAATTGACATAAAAATTCAGGTTGCAACAACATTTTTTAAGGTTGTAACTTAATGAAACATTCCAAAACATAAATATATGTTATATAAATGATTAATATCTCCCATAGTACAAGAAGTAGCTGTTACATTAAAACATTTACAGTTTTAAAGTCAAATTCCTTATTATAGATTTTTTGATAAGTCATTATAGAATACAGAGAATTGATACCTTGGGGAACTACTTTAAAAAAGATTGTTTGATTCTTAAAGGTAACCTAGAGGTGGAGAATCAAACGCAAGAAGCTATTCAAGAAGTTTTTGACATATTAAAATGATATGTAATGGAAGGGTAGCCCTCTTAGTCTATGATGGACTGCTATGATGATAAATCACAAGTAATTCAATTAATTGGACAAAACAAGAGTCAGCTAGATTTATCTGAATATTTTATTATTGAATTGTTATACAGCATATGTCTTGGTAAATATTCAAAAAGTATTAGGGGTGGGACGGTCTAAGTGAAAACTGCTGATGAGAAAATGTATCACATTTTTAATATACAGGTGTCCTAAATTCGATGTTATAAAAAATCATAATTATTAAAAAGTAGCTAACATGTGATGATCTCGTTTTTCTAGAAAATGTTAAAGCCTTATCGAAATTTTGCGAATAAACGCGAATAATGAACTCTTCTCAATATCCAGCCATTACGCTATCTGACTGCGTTTATTGTTGTTTTTTTAATTCAGTGGCTAAATCTTATTTGAACTAATAGGTGATCTGAACCTAACCCTCTGCTTTTCACATATTCATCATATTTTTCCTGATGGCGAAATTAATTAAGAATTTCTCTTTTTTGTTGGTGTTCTCCTGAAATAAGTGCCTGCCTATTGTCTCTATAAATTGTGCTATTATTTTTGAAAGTGGTATAAGTCCACTTTTAAAAAAGAATGACTTAACGGTATTTTTAGTAAAATATAGAAATCTTCTCTCCATATTTATAATCATACATTCAATTGAGTATGTTTTTCTCATAAAATTATTTTGATCTACAAAAGGCACTTCCATATCCTAAATTATCATTTTCTGTTGCATACTATAAGCGAAATATGTATGTTCTTAATGAAGGTTTCCATAATTTTCAAGATAATGGAATTCATATGTATGCATGGGAGTAAACTTGTAGCATCTAGAGCTGCGGAAGAAATAGCATCTTGCTGCATGAAACATAGGATCAACAACAAGAAAAAGGATCAGTTATATACTGCTCAAGGCTATTATAATGCAATAAAGATTTGCTGGAAAAAAATAGTTTCATTTTGTATGAAATGAAAAGAGAAGATTTTGTCTCAACCAAATCTCGAGAAGAGGAAATATCCATGTTTCTTTGTTGGAGTCGATTTTTTAAGATTTGTCCATACTTCAGGCTTCGCAACTATGTAATTTCACGCCTATAGCCTATTGCCCAATCCCCTACATGGAAGTCCAGGGACCTTTCTACAGGGGTTGTTACTATTCCTTAGCTAATTTGTTCCAGTAATAATAATAATAATTCATTTTATTGCCCAGCAAACATCAATTACACGACAATATTACAAGAAAACAAAAGAAATAGCACATGCTATAAAACAACAATAACTCACATATACCTACACTATTACTGTTAGTTCATTTACACATCCTCTGCATCGGAGAGTTAGCTAAAATATTGGATTTGCAATTCCTCACATAAAACTTATTGGTACTACGTGTTGTACGTAATTCTTTCCAATATAAGTCTATGACACACATATTGTGGTGACCAAATTACAGAGCCATATTCCATTTTGGACAATACAAAGGTCAAAAACAGGGACTTGTACACACTGATGTCAGAAAAGGCACACGAGGTGCGTAAAACGAAACCAAGTATCCTCGCTGCAGAAGATGCAATATCTTCAATGTGCGATGCAAAAGACAATTTGCGGTCAAAAGTAACTCTCAAATCGTTGATTGTAGATAGTTTCTCAAGAAGAACACCTTCTATATCATAAGAAGATGGAGGAGATAGCTTGCGTGTAAAGCTAACGGTACCGCATTTATTACCATTAATATTTAACTGATAACGGTTACACCATTCCATCAAGACGTCCATGTCCGACTGAAGACTGACAACATCACAGTCCGAAAAAATTAGTCGGAATAGTTTCAGATCATCCGTATCAGCTACTACGCTAGATGAGAATCAGAATTTGTCTAGAAGGTCATTCAAGAAGATAACAAATAGTAGGGGCCTAGATTTGAGCCCTTAGGAATACCATACCTAGCCATAGACGCATAACCGTTGCTACACATAATTCATACGACCTAACAGGTAAGAGGTAAATAGTTTCATAAACTTAGGAAATAAGCCAAAAGCACAAAGTTTAAACAAGAGGACGTCATGATGAATCATATCGAATGCCTTAGAAAAAATCTGTATACCACATCCACCTGACCGTCCCTATCCAAAGATTCACAAATCAAGACTTGATAAATTCATATTGATATGGTGACACAAATGACTGAACCTGACTGAATCATCATGTAAATAATCTGTTCAAATACTTGGTCGAAAATCAGTAATGTTGCTACATTCGTCATGTTTGAACACAGGGACAATGCGTGAGTGCTTCCAAAGTTTGGGAAACGAGCAAGTGCTTAAGGATAGGTTAAGTATTAAATGAAGCAAAACTGCAAAAACTGTACAGCAATCACGGATGAAAAATGCAGGGAGATCATCATCGTAAATTTATTAGGTAACCTTTTTAGAAAATGAAGAACCTGTTCTTTAGTGACATCGACAACAAATACTGGAGTATATGTAGAGTGTACATCAACCATGTTGTAAGCAGAGACACCAGTATATATTTTAGAGAATTGATCAGCAAAAGCATTACCTATTTTATCAGGATCAGTGTCGAGAGGTCGTTGTTTTCTATCTTATATAACTGCAAAAGTTACGGGGATCAGAACTAAGCGATTGTTCAGCACTAATAGTAAAGAAAGTATACGCATTAGAGATTTTCTGTTTAGTGAAACACTTCAATCTTTTATATTCCGCTGAATAGAAAACACTATTGCTTCTCCTCCACTTCTTCCTATAATACTTTTTCAACTTTAATAGCCGCTTAATTTCTGGAGTGTAGTAACCTGCACATTTAGAAAAGACCAATCCGTAAAAAGTAGCTCATCATACAAGCCAGGAAAGTTGGCTCTTCAAAATTATATCGAGCACCCAAAGACGGAAAGTTCGGCAAATCATTATTTGTCGTCAGTAAATTCATTGTAATATTTAAGGCGGGATGGTACTGATGCTCGTAGACGAGGGGACAATCATCAAGAACAAGATCATACCGATGATCAGTATTTGTCAAAGCCAAATCCAATAGACGACTGTCACTGTTTAATACATAATTGAGGTGACGAAGGTCCAGAAAGTCACAAAAATTACGAAATATCTCCGTTTTTCCATGTTTGATTGATATACCAGGTGTCTTAATATGTTCAGGTAACCTCATCGAATCACTAAGGATAAGGACAGGATAATTCAAAACTTTATGTTCTAAGGCATCCAAGAAACAGCAAATCAGGTTGCGGATTATCAGGAGGTATGTACAGTCATGTTCACGGGAAATGCACACTCAAGGTCACACGAGCTTCGTGTGCGCTCGGCTCAGCCCGTTTAGCCAGCGGCATGTCGGATCTCACAACAGCGCTTGACCTTGAGTGTGCATTTCCCGTGAACATGACTACAACATATGGTACAACACTACGATATATGGGATACCACGATAACTGGTCACTGACCAATTGGCTGCATTACTAACATTTGCTGTTAGGATTCGTTGGTGCGTCTTGAGTAGACGTTTTTCAGTGTTTTGTACTGTCCAAGAATTATCAACCATTTGAGATTTTAGCATTACACTTGACTCCTCTTCTTCCTTACATACAGTCTGTTATATTGACATTGTTATTTCTTTGCTTTTAATTTGCTGATGTCCAATGTGTTAATTTCACTATTACATTAACATATTCAAAGACGTCAATGCAGACATAAAGACGTGGAGGCTCCAATCAAGCAACAAAACTGGACCAACAAGTACGATGATATATTCCTATAGAATTGAAAACAAAACAAGCATTTAGCATAAAACGACGTCCTCTTGGTGTAATGAAATGGATTTAGTATCTGATGAGAGGATACTTCTTCAAATTATTAGAAAAAATGAATATATCAAGCTTACACTTCTTTGAAATGAATTTTTTAGTGTTTAAGACTATCTTAAGTTTTTAATAAATAAAACTTTCTTTTTACATAAAATTTTTCTTTAATTTTTAGTGCTATTAAACAAGAAGATGTACCTGAAATAAAAAAAGTCAAAAAAGAAGAAGAACTGGACCCTGTAGATGTTGAAATGAAAGAGCAAAATAAAATTATGTATAAATACAGGGATGAACTTAAAAATAATTTGAATAAGAAAAGTTTGCAGCTTCTATTAGAACGTAATGAGCAAGAAATTCCACCTGGAGAAGATAACGTAATAAACTAAAATTTGTTAATTATTTTTAAATATTTTTTTATGATTTTTTTTAGATTTTAAATAGATTAGCAGATATAATGACATTTGGGGCTTTGGAACCTTGTAAAGAATGCGGAGATGGTCAATTTGTGTACAGTAAAATTGGTTATGTATGTAATGGTGATAAAACAGAGTGGACCAAATGTAATTTTACTACAAAAGAGCCAGCAAGAAAAAAATTCGTTGTGCCAAAAGAAATGAAGGAAGAATATCCTTTCTTAAAAAAATACAAATACGTTAAAAGGACGAGAATTATTAAAGATGTTGCACCTTCCACTGCAGTGAAAAAAGAAGATGAAGTTGATTCTGGGTAAAAAGAAATTTGATAATAAATAAAAATAAAATTTATTTCTTTTAATTTTTAGTCCAAAAGTTGAAAGGGCAAAACCCGCTTTGTACGAAATGAAATTTGTTATTTTAAAAGTAAACGGTGATAAGCAAAAAATTAAAAACGAAATTACAAAATTAGGCGGTAAAATTGTTACTAAAATTGATAAATCGATTATGGCGGTTATCTCAACTGAAGAAGAAGTGGAACGAATGGGTTCGCGTATTGCAGAATCTCAAACTGAAGATATTCAAGTTGTTTCTGAGAAATTTCTTGATGAAGTCCCTAATTATCTTGATCGTATTCCAGAACTTATTAAAACCACATGCATTTGCAGTTGGGGTTCTGATGTAACTTAATTAATTTATTTATTTATTTTTTTTTTATTATTAAGTATGTTTTATTTAGCCAAACATTCGTCTTCAAACAAATAACGCAAAATCGGAGAGTCTCAAATCGAAATCAAAATCAATGTTTGCAAAATCGGGACCAAGTAAAATTAAATTAACTGTAAAAGGAGGAACAGCTGTTGATCCAGAATCGGGTTTAGAAGGTTCCGCTCACGTTTACGTCAACGGATCTGATAAATTCACCGCTATATTAGGATTAACGGATATTCAAAAACAAAAAAATTCGTTTTATAAACTCCAATTATTAGAAAGCGACAAAAAAAATCGATATTGGGTATTTAGGGCTTGGGGTAGAATCGGAACAACGATTGGAGATAATAAATTAGAACCCATGGATTCATTGCACGCGGCAAAAACTCATTTTTGCCAATTATATGAAGAAAAAAGCGGGAATCAATGGGAAAATCGCAATCATTTTGTTAAAGTACCTGGAATGATGTATCCAATTGATGTTGAATACGTTGAAGATAACAAAATGGAAATAGATACTGAAGTACCCAGTAAATTAGATACTCCCATACAGGATCTTATTAAATTTATTTTTGATATAAATTCAATGAAAAATGTTATGTTAGAATTTGAATTAGACACCGAAAAAATGCCTTTGGGTAAACTAAGCAAAAAACAAATCCAAAAAGCCTTTTCCGTTCTAACAGAACTCCAAAATTTCGTCGATAAAAAATCAAAAAACATCTCCGACTTTTTAGACGCCTCAAATCGTTTTTACACCTACATTCCACACTCATTTGGAACTGAAAATCCTCCAATTATCGATAAAACCGAAATGATTCAACAAAAAGTTGAAATGTTAAATAATCTCTTAGAACTCGAAATTGCGTATAATTTAATGAAAGGAAGCGGTTCCGATCATGGAATTGACGCGTATTACGATCAATTAAAAACGGAAATCGCCGTTTTGAACGATGAATCTGAAGAATTTTGCGTTATCAAAGAGTATCTTAAAAATACTCATGCAACAACCCATGATAATTATGATTTAGAAATTGAAAGAATATTCGAAATTAAACGAAGTGGCGAAGAAAAACGTTACAAACCATTCAAAAAATTACATAATCGTAAATTACTTTGGCACGGTTCTCGCCGCACTAATTATGCGGGAATTTTATCTCAAGGGTTGAGAATTGCACCCCCGGAAGCTCCCGTTACCGGTTATATGTTCGGAAAGGGTATTTATTTCGCTGATATGGTGTCGAAATCAGCTAATTATTGTTGCACTGATAATGTAAATAGTACTGGGTTATTATTGCTTTGCGAAGTTGCTCTTGGAGATGTAAGTATAATTTAACTTTTGATTTTAAGGTTTATGTTGATATTTTTGTTTAGATGTTGGAAAAGGAGCAATCATATTATGTGGAAAAGTTACCTAAAGGAAAACATAGTTGTAAAGGTGTTGGTAGAACTCATCCTGATCCAAACGAAATTAAAAAGCTTGGTGAAGCTGAAGTTCCGGTTGGAAAACCAACACAACAAAAAGTTAAGAACAGCAGTTTGTTGTATAATGAGTATATTGTTTATGATGTTGCTCAGGTTCATATGAAATACTTATTACAGGTTAAATTTAATTATAAATATTAATATTTGTAGTTTGTGTTGTATGCTTTGTTTCGTTTTCCATGCGTTTGTTCTTTTTTTAGTGGAAAATGTATTGTTAATTAGCTTAATATTAATGATATACTTTAATATTTTCATACATTACAGGTTAATAAAATAAAACAAAAAAATAAAGTGAAATTATAGCTATATTTTTAAATATTAAGGGGAAATGTATTTTTTTTATAGCAAAATCTTGTAGTTTAGGGTGTAGGTTGTTATAGTCTTCCACATCGAGATCGGTTTTCATCAAGGTCTATAGAACATAAGGTTACCTGGGGGCAGTGCAAAGCTAGGCAGGAACGAATGGTGGGATGGTGAGTGCATGAGGGCGAAGAGAGAGGCGAGAAGGAAGTTGAGACAGTAGCGGAGAGGGTTGGTGGGGGCGGTAGAATATAGGGAAGCATTGAGGGGATATAAAGAGATATGCAAAAGAAAAAAGAAAGAAGTGAGGGAGAGGGAGGCGGAAGAGATTAGAGGGGTGAGACAAGAGGGTGAAGTTTGGAAATATATAAACAAAATAAGGAAAGTACGAGAGGAAATAACCAGTGAAATACAAATGACGGAGTGGAGAGATTACTTCAAGGGTCTGCTGGAGGGGGAAGAGGAGAGGCGGGTAGAGGAGGTAGATACAGGGGGACGGAGAGGAGAGGAGATGGCCGGGGAACAAATGGAGGCGGCGTTGGGGGGACTAAAGAGGGGGAAGNATGATCTGTGTTATTTATGACTATAAAAACCGATGTCGTTTGAAATTGTGGTACACTGTCGCAATTGTAACAATTCAAGGTTCGGTTTAATTACTAAAGGCTGTTCTAAGAACAAGATTGAACTTGTCTGTAGTACTTCAACGTGTTTACGAAAACAAGAATGGATAGAAAACATTCAAAAGGAAGTTCTAAATACGCGGATAGACAAAAAAAATATACGCTGCGAAATTAGCGGTAACTAGAGATGAAGAAATTGTAGTGAACCTAACTTATGGTTACCGAATTATTGCATTTTTATCTGTGTTTACCTCACTTTCGGAATTAGTAATCTGTAAAATATGTAAAAAACAAAGCAGTTTTGGTGAATCCAGTGTTCGTGGATTAGGATTTAAAATATCGATGGAATGTCAATGTGGTGTTCAATATATACTTTCTTCTCCTATGTTTGAAAACAAATCGTACGAAGTAAAGAGAAGGTTAGTGTTAGTCATGAGATTATTAGGAGTTTCCAGAGAGGGGTTAAATTTATTTTGTGGTCTCATGGATATGTTGCAAGGGTTTAGTTCGACATTATACTATGTTGCTTTAGAAAATATATACATAGGATTTCTGATAGGCTGAAACATTTACCTACTGGGTGGGTATTCATACGGTATTTACCAAAATTTTATTTATCCACTCGCACTCTGGTATTTATTTGGGTGGCGCGGTAGGTATAGGTGTACTGAGCAAACAAAGTAGAACTGGAACCTTCGCATTTTGATTGGCGCGGCACATTGGCTCTCGCATCCGCTCCTGATCATCAATCAGTAACAATGCAATAGTGTTAGTACTTAAACTCAGTAGCGAGCGACCGGATCTGCTGTGCGCGCAACAAAATTTGACGACATAAGAGTGCAATATGGGACTTATTCACAGTTAAAGACAAACATAATGCATAAAACGCTGGCTCTTGCCATATATGCAACTGGTTCTCCTTTATCTACGGTTGGATACCCACAGTGGGAGAATTTTTTTTAAATGCTTAGACCGTCATATACCTTGCCAACCAAAACAAAACTTGTCCACAATTTTTTTGGATACAGAAATTGCGGATATGAAAAGTATAATTGATCAGCAACTGAAACAGGCTGAAATTCTTCATTTGCAATGTGGTGGATGGAGTAATTTACGACATGAGGGCATAGTAAATTTTGTGATATCAAAATCCGAACCGGTGTTTGTGGATTTTATTTCTACAGGTTCTAGGAAACACATCAGAATATCTTAAGAGTGAAATAAAGAAGATCGTTGATAAATTTGGCGCCGAAAAGTTCTTTGTGGTAATCGGAGACAATGCTGCTAATATGTAAAAGGCATTTAGGCTTCTACAAGACGACTATCTTCATATCGTACTACTGGGTTGCACGGCTCATACTCTTCATATTCTGTGTAACGACATCTTAAATTTTCCACCTATACAGAAGTTCATAACAGACGCTACACATATAGTTAATGCAATAAAACGATCCCAAATCTTATCTTTTCTACTTGTGGAAGTAAGCAAAACGAAGTAGTGTAAAGTTAGTTTGAAACTACCACGAAAAACGCGCTCGGGAAGCCATCTTTACTGCATGGAAAGCTTAATATCCAACAAAGTTAGTCTCAAACGTTAGTTGTTCACGAAAAAGTAACGTCGTTGGATAAAGATATAAAAACTCGTTTACTAGATGACACTTTCTGGGCGCAATACAACAAATTCATGACATTCTGGATCCTATTGTTTCACTAATAACAATAGGTATCCGATGATCCACAAAGTGCACTCTCTAAAATAGAACTAAAAATTATACGTAGCATTTAAAATTTTTGCACATCAGAGGAAGATACAATAACTCAAAAGGTATTTAATCGCAAGGAATTTACTGCAAGTCCATGAATCCAGTTTAGATATTTAGCTCATTTTCGTGGATACATAGCAAGAAAAGGAATAGGCTGGAAAAATTACTTTTATTGCCCATAATTAGAAATTAACCAATTCTGAAGTAACAGAAATGGGGGAACAAAGAAAGGCAACTACAAACGAACCCATCGAAGGAAGCACAGAGGATAGTGATGGTGTCTTTGCCTCCGATACCGAAGATGAAACAGAATGCAGGCCGACGACTGTCCATGAGCCTGTCATTAGACTCCAGCGAACAACTCTAGGTCAAGAAATAATTATTTGGAATGGCGATTCTTATAGGAAAGTATAGTGGAAAAGTGATCTATCTTATAGTAAAATCGTCGTACTGTCAGGATTGTCAACTAAGGAAATCAAGATCTGGGACTAAGACTAAGGAATACAATACTTGGATGGATGAATATCAAGAGAATTGTTCGGCAATCATGAAGGATCGGCTGATAAGCTGGAGGTGGATGGTATAAAAGAGATGTTTCAAAGATCTTGGGAGTGGTATGAAGTGAGGTATACAAATTGTATTGGCGATGGCGACACAGCAACTTTTAAAGCTTTGTTGGCTACGAATCCTTATGGCGATAACTTTACATTAATAAAAAAAAAGAATGCATAGGTCATGTTGAAAAGCGCATGGGCGCACGACTGGGAAACGTGAAAAAACATAAAAAACTTGGTGGGGAGAATAAGTTGACAGACAGATTAATAAAAGGACTAACGATTTACTATGGGTTAGCTATAAGGAGACATCCATATTCTGTTGAAGATATGTATAATGCTGCATAGTTTTTTTAAATGGAAACAACCACTGATTATTCGCTTATTAAATTCGTTATTTTTTTCTGATTACAAAAATATGGGATTAGATAGGTCTATTTCTTATTGTTTTAGAATAAAGCTAAAAACAAACTTTTTTTAGTGTCGTCAAAGAAATTAAATTTACAGTTTCCTGTAAATTAAGGTACTATAACTAGAAATTATTCTACTAAAAATGTATATAAAATTTACTTCATTTTCTAATATGTAACATTCTAGCATGTTCAAATTTTTGTAATCCATCTTAAAAAACAGGATTTTTAATTTGACCCTTCAGAAAATTTTTGAATACAAACAAATGTTGCTGTTTATTTGAATTTAAAAAAATATATATGAGCGCTATCTATCTATAATATGTTAAGTCATTTAATAATAATATTCAATATTAATAAAAAATGTGAAATAATGCAATCTATTTCAATTTTTGTGTAAAACAAATATAAATTAAATAGTTCAACAAATATATTTGTTTCAAATATCAGAAATATGGTTTTTTCATTTTTAATTATAATTTACAGGAAACTGTAAATTTAATTTCTTTGAGGACACTAAAAAAAGTTCATTTTTAGCTTTATTCTAAAACAATAAGAAATAGACCTGTCAAACCCTATATGTTTGTAACCAGAAAAAAAATGACGAATTTAATAAGCGATTAATCAGTGGTTGTTTCCATTTAAAAAATCGAACATTTTCATGATATCTCAACATCTAAAACCGAAACTTTTTTTTTGGCTACGTCATCAAATTCTCTGTAAAAAAGTGTCCATATAATGTCTTAGTTATAACACTCCACCTATAATAATAACCAAGATAATAGCACTTATTGGTTTTACGATATTTTCAGTTTTGGCCTCTAGGTGAAAAACAAAAGACGGTAGCGCTTTAAGATTTTCGGCATTAGCAGTTTCTTGGAAAACGAGATCATGACATGTAAGCTACTTTTTTCTAACTCTTATAGTTTCCGAGTTAGCCTATTTTCGGACGTTGGATTTGAACCACCCTGTATCTGTATATAGAAGAGAACACCACTTGATGAATAGTGATCATCTCAAAGGTAGATATCGTGAAACTTCACGCGACAATGTTGTTGAAAGATATAGCAGGCATTATTTTTTATAAACAAATTTGTTTTTAAATAAATAAATATATGTTATAAATTTAGGCAAAAGATTAAATTGGAAGAGCACATAGTTTGGGAGCTAAAAATTCTGAAAGATATTACTTTATTTAATAGAAAAAAAGATTCCCCCCTTAAGTAGATTTATGGAGGAATATTTAACCTAACAGACTCATTATGAATCACTCTTATCAAATCTTGATTAATACAAAAAATAAATCTAAGTGTAGCTATTTCAATAACCGAATTATCGTAAAGTCGAACTTTATTTCCAGTTGTAATCGGACGACCATCAACGAAAATCGGCCTCCTTCCTTCGGATGATAAATAAAACTCGCCGGTATTTCTCAACCTAAATTAAAAGAAAAAATTAATACAAAAATATTTTTAATAGATTTAAATTACCGTAAAGTTCCTTGTCTTCTACTAACTTTATGAGCAGCCCCTTCCAAAAATAAATCGATATCAACATTATGCCCCTTCGCGGATCTTCCAATAGTAATTTCACGGCTACGCATTAAATATCGAACCATTCGCCCCCTTAAAACCGCCAAAGTTTTACCATCCATTTCTCCAGGACAAACCCCCGTGACACTATCAACCAAAACGTTCCAACGACCAATTTCATTCTCCAACTGACGAATTTCTTTAATACTACGTCTTTGTTGTAGACGCATTTCCCTATCTAAAGCTTCGTCTGGGGGTTCGCTTAATTCCTGATCTTGAATCATATCTTCAGCGTCGCTAAATGCTAAACAAGGCTTTGTAGCAGAAGGCAAAGCAATTAAATTTTGATCGGGAAGTAAATGATAGAGACGCATGCTTCCCCAGTGTCTTTGAAGGGCGATCGGGGTTCTAGCTGAATGAAAAACGTCTGGATGCTCAGCCAAGAGATTTACAAAAACTGAAATATCCGGATTTGCCTGCTAAAAAGAAATCAAATTTAGAGTAAGTTCTAAAATTTTAATTTTAATAGTGATCTTTTTATAAATAATAAATTGATTAACCCTTTGTGTTCCAAGAAGTCGAAAATTTTGAAACTTTGTGAAAGAATTAAAACGCTATCAAAATACACTCAGTAGAGGCCTTTGGAATCAATTTTAGCAAAATATGCAATCCCCCATTCCAGGGGGATAATGGTACTTGAGAGTACCGTCAAGCATTAAAATATATTTTCAGTATGCAAAAACTATTATTGCTAATATAAAAATAATACATTTTTTATTACGTTAGAAAACAAGTAACACTTGCTTTATCTAAATCACATTATGGCATTCAAAAAAACAGTTCTTTCTTTCATTACAACATAAATAAACGTTGCACGTGTGGGGTCTAGCTTTGGCAGAACAGTTTTCACAACTTCGTCTTTCTTTTGAACTTGCGCAGCGACATTTTCGTGGACGCAGTAAATTTGAATATTTATTTCTCAGACCAGTATTTACAGAACAACGAAAATCTGATAGAATATTGAGAAAAAACATATTGAGCAAAAACTAACATTTTCGCGTAATTTAAGTGTCAAAAAAGATGCAAATTAAAAAATTCCTGAAAGCCGTATTTATTGAAATTAAGGAATGAGGCTTATTCTAAATTAAAGCTCAAAGCTTTCTCTTTAAAATAATGTATAATAAGTGTTGGGTTGGAGTGGAAAAATATTGAGAAAAAAATGTTGACATAAAACTTATATTTACGTATAACCTAAAAGTGTCAAAAAGATGCTAATTTAAAAATTCCTGGAAGCCGTATTTATTGAAATTAAGGAATGAGACTTATTCTAAATTAAAGCTCAAAGCTTTCTCTTTAAAATGATGTATAATAATTGTTGGGTTGGATTGGAAAAATATTGAGAAAAAAAATGTTGAAACAAAACTTACATTTTCGTATAACCTAAAAGTGTCAAAAAAGATGCTAATTTAAAAATTCCTGGAAGCCGTATTTATTGAAATTAAGGAATGAGACTTATTCTAAATTAAAGCTCAAAGCTTTCTCTTTAAAATGATGTATAATAATTGTTGGGTTGGATTGGAAAAATATTGAGAAAAAAAATGTTGAAACAAAACTTACATTTTCGTATAACCTAAAAGTGTCAAAAAAGATGCTAATTTAAAAATTCCTGGAAGCCGTATTTATTGAAATTAAGGAATGAGACTTATTCTAAATTAAAGCTCAAAGCTTTCTCTTTAAAATGATGTATAATAATTGTTGGGTTGGATTGGAAAAATATTGAGAAAAAAAATGTTGAAACAAAACTTACATTTTCGTATAACCTAAAAGTGTCAAAAAAGATGCTAATTTAAAAATTCCTGGAAGCCGTATTTATTGAAATTAAGGAATGAGACTTATTCTAAATTAAAGCTCAAAGCTTTCTCTTTAAAATGATGTATAATAATTGTTGGGTTGGATTGGAAAAATATTGAGAAAAAAAATGTTGAAACAAAACTTACATTTTCGTATAACCTAAAAGTGTCAAAAAAGATGCTAATTTAAAAATTCCTGGAAGCCGTATTTATTGAAATTAAGGAATGAGACTTATTCTAAATTAAAGCTCAAAGCTTTCTCTTTAAAATGATGTATAATAATTGTTGGGTTGGATTGGAAAAATATTGAGAAAAAAAATGTTGAAACAAAACTTACATTTTCGTATAACCTAAAAGTGTCAAAAAAGATGCTAATTTAAAAATTCCTGGAAGCCGTATTTATTGAAATTAAGGAATGAGACTTATTCTAAATTAAAGCTCAAAGCTTTCTCTTTAAAATGATGTATAATAATTGTTGGGTTGGATTGGAAAAATATTGAGAAAAAAAATGTTGAAACAAAACTTACATTTTCGTATAACCTAAAAGTGTCAAAAAAGATGCTAATTTAAAAATTCCTGGAAGCCGTATTTATTGAAATTAAGGAATGAGACTTATTCTAAATTAAAGCTCAAAGCTTTCTCTTTAAAATGATGTATAATAATTGTTGGGTTGGATTGGAAAAATATTGAGAAAAAAAATGTTGAAACAAAACTTACATTTTCGTATAACCTAAAAGTGTCAAAAAAGATGCTAATTTAAAAATTCCTGGAAGCCGTATTTATTGAAATTAAGGAATGAGACTTATTCTAAATTAAAGCTCAAAGCTTTCTCTTTAAAATGATGTATAATAATTGTTGGGTTGGATTGGAAAAATATTGAGAAAAAAAATGTTGAAACAAAACTTACATTTTCGTATAACCTAAAAGTGTCAAAAAAGATGCTAATTTAAAAATTCCTGGAAGCCGTATTTATTGAAATTAAGGAATGAGACTTATTTTAAATTAAAGCTCAATTCTTTCTTTTTAAAATGGTCTGTAATAATCACACCTAATAACCATTTATCAAAGAGATACCTTTTTGAACAACAAAATTCAACAGACCACTTTTCACTAAACTTCTAACCTCACATCTGGATGAATAAGTAATATACCTAAAAACTCTATCATTTTTTATACAGATTCTTTCTTATATAATAGAAAGTACCAACAGCTCTAAATGCGCCAAATAGATGACTACAGTTTAAAATGAGTGTTTAAAACTACCGGTACTTTAAAGTACCTTCGGGACACAAAGGGTTAAACTAAAAAGAACATCAACAAAATGATAACTAACAAACTTGTCTGAACTAACTGATTTGATTGAACCGAGCAATTGCTCTTCCTGAGTACTCCAAAGAGCTCTCTCTTGTATAGCAGCTACCATATCAGGGTGTAAATTCCTCATAGCAGCCACAGCAACACGAGAAACAGCATGATCGTACAATAAAGCATACCATCGCTGTTGAAGTTCTTGTACAGTAAAACGACACGAAAATTTCGTCCCCAAATGAACCATTTTCAAGTCATTAGTTTGCTGAATTCCAATAATTAACGCCAAATCATCTGTTGGTTTCCACCGCCCCAAATCTTTAGTAGCAACTTGATTTTGTTGGCGACCTTTTCTATTACGTTTACTGCTAAAAGATTTAGATGGAGGACGACGTTTTATTTCAACTTGAGTTGAGGTGCTAGGTACCGGAACTTGAGGCGTTGTAGGTGCTGGTAATGGTGTTTCAGCTGTGTGAGAAGGCTGAGTTCTTGAACGAGGTGTCTACAATTTTATTACATCTCATAAATTATGATTTTAAACTCAAAATTAATACCTTAACAGCAGCAACTTGAGAGGGGAGCCCAAGGCTGTATTCCACAAGTTCATCATCGAATTTCTTACGTTTAATCGAACGATTTGAGCTGTAAAAATTAAGAATGTATAAAGTGAGGTTAGATTTTTTTTTATTTTTACCTTCTACGTTTTGTAACGTCTGAAATATCGTGGTAGGATGGCATTTGTGGTGAATAAACTTCTTGTTTATCAGGTTGAAGATAATCTGATGAATCTAAAGTGGAATTCATCGAAAACAATACTGACCTTGCTCTTCTAATTTTATTATAAAAGGGTTTTGATTTTTTTTTAAGTTGGTATTTGTCTAAACCCTAAAAGTTAATAATTATATAAAATTAATTTTTAAAGGCAGAAATTATACTATATTAAATTTAATTCAATAATTTAAACAAAATTAAAAAAGGTAAGAAATTGTAAAACGATTATTACTTAAATTTTTGGTTTTTATGAAAATAAAGTTTGCCATCTATCGGGTGATATCTCTATTAATTATGGGATCATATCATAACAAATACATTATTAATTTATATTTGTTTTAAATAAATAAATAGATAGATGTGTAATTAAAAATAAAACTCTTTGTTATAAAGTTTTAACGTGTATTAAAATTTAAAAAAAATCGTAAAATTCTTAACCTCAAAAATTAATTTTGACAAGCACCCATTTATTTATATTGTATATTTATCGCAAAATAAAATGAATTGGTCTTTACAATTAAACCCTGAAAGTCAAACATTTAAAGATAAACAAAAAGACCTATTCGCTGAATTGGATAAAGTAAAAACAACCATCCCCCTCGAAAAATACATAGACCATAAAGATAGGGTTGGTTCAGGGCATAAAGAGAAATCGTCAATGAAAACCTACAAAGGTAAAAAAAGTATATTTAAAACCCCAGAAGCACCAATAAGAAGATGTTTACCATCCCGTCGTCGTCCTGATTATCAAATAAATCCCAAAAAATGGACTAAATATACATTGAACGATGTCCGAGATGAAGATATGTCAGAAAGGGCTAATAAAAGTGCTGCGTTATCGTTTTTAAAAGAGATTGAGAAACGAAAGGAAGAGGAAGAAACAGAGAAAAAATGTGAATCTGAAAGTATTTGTTTTAAAAAATCCGCTATGATTTCTATTGAGAAAAATGAGGATGTGGAGAAAAATATTTTTGAAAATTCAAAACTGGTGATGCCCGAGTATGTTATTGGAGAAAAGGTTAAAAAAGAAAAGAGGGGCGTTAAAAAGGAAAACAAAGGCTTTGGGGATAAAGAGTTAAAGTTGAGTCATTTGATGCAAGAAGATCAAGATGAGGAAGAAAATACTTAAGAGTTTTAATTGAATTAAGATGGTTTATTTTAGGTGTAAGTTAGAGTAAGGATGTAATAAAATTCAAATTAGAATGTATTTTTCTTTTAAATATATAAATATTTAAGTGAAGACAGCCTTAGTTCCGCCCAGAGTTCTAAATTTATTGTTAGTTCTAGTTTTATTTGTTATTCAGTGCTAGATTATTGTATATTGATATGATTATTGAAGTAAAACTAGAATTAACGCTAGAACTAGAAACATTCGAGATTATCCGTCTTGAGAGACGCAAAGAAATTATATATATAGAAGCAGTTGTAAACACTAAAACTTAAAGCCAACGCAACACGCGGTTTGTTTACTAACAACCGGCCGATTATCGCCGAACATTTCCGAATATTATTGCCCCTAGAATAAGGCATACACTAAAATAAATAAACCTATTTGCGAATCAATAAATGATTCGTTTTTCTTCATTTTTATTTATTTATATTTTCTTTGTAAATATTGTATGTAGAGTATACTAGTACTTTTAGTTAGATATAAAACTTATCAATCAAAATACTACATACATTCTTGTATCATTTACCAAGTATATTGTTTCTACGTCCTCTGATTAATTTAAAAAATTACATTATATTTATTGTATTAAATACAATACTTTCAAGTCTTATTAAAACTTGACAAAGATATAGAAAAAAATGTATTCTACAATTTATAAAAGTGCTACAATAATTTTTCAATTAGTAGTTAGTTTAACAATTAATTTTTAATTGTAATTTTATATAAGAAATTAGGATGCTCTTTGGATACGCCGCTGGATAAAGTCTGACCAATTTCTTTCTGACCAAGGTCAATTTTGTTTCCAAACAAATGCTCTTGCGTTGGCTTCAAACCAGTATACGGGCGAACATAGGCGATGCGGCTTCTATATATACAATTTCTTTGGAGAGACGCATGAACGATTCTAGTTCTTGTGTTAGTTCTAGTGCTAGTGCAAAACTCGAACTAACTCTAGACCAAGAACTAGAAACATTCCGATTTAGCCGCAGCGTCACAAGACGGCTAAACCCGACTGATTCTATGCTATTATGCTAGTGCAAAACTCGAATTAATACTAGACCTAGAACTAGAAACATTCTGATTTAGCAACACGTCTCTCAAGACTGCTAAACCCGAATGATTCTAATTCTAGGCCTTGTGTTATTTCTAGTGCTAGTGCAAAACTCGAACTAACACAAGACCTAGAACTAGAAGCATTCGGATTTAGCCGCACGTCTCTAAAGACGGCTAAACCCGAATGATTCTAGTTCTAGGTCTAGTGTTAGTTCTAGTTTTAATTGTTGTTCAACGGTAGATTGTTGTATATTATCGAACCAACTACTAGAACTAACACTAAACCTAGAACTAATACTTTGTTAGTTTGAAGAACCCAAAGTCATCGTTACTTCAAAAATGAAATGTTTTGAGTCGTTTTGAAAATAACCTCTTCGTATATAATTCAATCAACCAATTATACACGAGATATCTTATTAAAAATGGAAAGTATTTATATCCACGACAAAATTAGAATATTTAGATATCAACGTTCAATTATTGCTAACCTTTCGGAGCTCCAGTGAAGATGATAAAAAATATTTCGCATAAAATAATATTAATCGGTTTATTATTACAATTAGTGACTAATACTACAAATACAAAACTCACAATTGAAACGTTGGCGAAGAATTTATTTAAAGATAATAATGTTAACAAAGTGCAGTTATCAAATAATAGTATCAGTGAGTTATCACCATTTCAATTTACATCAATACCAAACAATACTCACATATATTTGCAACAAAATGATATAACATACATTCCAAGAGACGTTTTTACAAATAACGAGAGAATTTATTATATTAGCTTGGCATCAAACGAAATATCCAACATGGAAAGATTCGCGTTTGCGTTAATGCCTTTATTGACTCTTCTTAACTTGTCTTCGAACAAAATAACGGCGATTGACAAAGATTGGTTTACTGGTTCAAGAAATATACGAGACTTGTATCTAGAAAACAATTTAATTCGAGAAATAAATAAGGACGCGTTCTCGGAAATCCACAACTTGAAAGTAATTAATTTAAGTTTTAACCGAATATATACTATTAAACCTGGAAGTTTCGACGGGGTAAAATCAATGGTGGGTTTGAGTGGAAATTTTTTGGCAGATTTAAGTTTTATCAATTCCACAAAACTGGATTGGATCAGTGTGTCCTTTAATAAAATAAATCACCTCGACTTAAACTACATAACGGAGATAAAAGCTATATACGCTATGCCAAACCCTTTATATTGCAAAAGCTTAATAAATTTTTTGAGGGGAGCACCTAAACGTGGGATTCGTGTCGTACACCCAAGAATATGGAACCCTAGTTGTCCTATTTGTATCAAAGAAGGGGTATACGCAGATGATGTTGTTAATAATATTTATTATAAAATGATAGAAACAGAGTTTGATTTTAAATATTTTAAACAAGAATTATCGTGGCTTAAAAATGTAAGACAAATCAATTATAGTTACTTCAATTATTAATTTATAAATATAAATTTCAATGATGTTTGTATTTTTTTTTTGATTATTGAATCCTTTTGCATCATAAGCTACAACATATACAAACGCTTTCAATAGGGAGCGAAATAAATAGGCCTAGCGTTCGATCTTTAACTGGTCCAGAGTACCAAATGAAGATTCTACATCGAAACTTACAAGAATATCCTGGGGAGTTAATAAAGTGTCACAATAGTATTAGGATTATCAATACTTTTTCATCATATGCATGAAAGTTTTGTTTTATGCAAAGTTATAACTTTTGTGAAAGATGTGGCACTGCTGTTTCCCAGTAAACAAGAAACCTCTGTGAAACATTTCAATTTTAACGTACAGTGAATTAAATGAAACATCTTAGAACTACGTGTCNCTACATACATTCTTGTATCATTTACCAAGTATATTGTTTCTACGTCCTCTGATTAATTTAAAAAATTACATTATATTTATTGTATTTAATACTTTCAAGTCTTATTAAAACTTGACAAAGATATAGAAAAAAATGTATTCTACAATTTATAAAAGTGCTAGTTAGTTTAACAATTAATTTTTAATTGTAATTTTATATAAGAAATTAGGATGATCTTTGGATACGCCGCTGGATAAAGTCTGACCAATTTCTTTCTGACCTAGGTCAATTTTGTTTCCAAACAAATGCTCTTGCGTTGGCTTCAAACCGGTATACGGGCGAACATAGGCGATGCGGCTTCTATATACAGGTGTCTCACGTAACTGGTTCGTTAGAACTTTTTAAGGTTCCACTATTCGTAGTGGTTTGAAATTTTGGTAGCATGGGTTGTTCATTCTAAACTTTCGATCTAAAATATTTTCAAGATGGCCACCCCTTCCGGTCTACCGGAAGTAGACCACAACTTCGTTATTTTAAATGGAATGCTATAGTTTTTATTACACCTTTCAATTATACATAAAAAAATATGTTGACTTTGATAAAAGTTGTTGGTACCTANAGCGAGGAACAAGAACCTGCAAAATTCTTCCATTGAAAGTCTTACTTCCATTGCTAGATTGTGCTACAGTAAGCATCCCAGTAAACAAGAAACCTCTGTGAAACATTTCAATTTTAACGTACAGTGAATTAAATGAAACATCTTAGAACTACGTTTCATATACGTGACAGATACGATTTTTACGAAACGTATCTAAAGATATGTATCAAATACATTTCAGTAGAAATATTTATGAAATATCATTAAAATATGTAGCAGAAACATTTCATTTGAAACATTTCGCTACAAATGTGTTTGAAACATGTCTGGAATATCTTCAGCACCGCCTGTGAACGTATGTACAAACATTAATTAATGTTTGTAAACAGAACTAACCTAAGAAACATTCCTTCACGGTTTAATTGACAGTTCAAAAGAAAACTTCACGCTATGATTGGCATTACTAATTACTAGGGCAACCAAAAATATGCTCAAAAAATGATAGTTTAAGCGCTTAAAAAATGCTGTATAAAAATCAAAATATGCTCTATAAAAAAGAGTCTTTTCCAAATATTCCTATTAAATTTAAAATGTAGTTGTCTTTTAAATCTGTAGGCGAAGTTAAACAAAATAAAGTAGAAATGATTTCTATTTATATCTCGAGACATTTATTAGTTTGACATGTTTAAACTAAAAGACAATTAGAAAATATTGAACAATATACAAAAGACAAATAGAAAGAAATAGATAATAAAACAAATACAGATTCAACTTAAATTTTGATTACAATAAATGACAAACATCTCACCTAAATTATCAAAAAGGAAGCTTTGTCTGTTTGCACGTAAAACATTCTTGTACATTGAAAAACTTCGTTCCACTTCCACTGAAGTTATAGGTGCAAACTTAAATGCTAGTATTTCACTAACAGTGTATTTATTGTTTTTATTTCTGTAGATCCTGTACTTAAACATGTAGAAATTTCTTTCAAAATAGAAAAACCATGATTTTTTGAAATACACATATCCATTTTTTTCTTTACTGGCTTAGCAGTTTCACTGTTTATTCCATTAATTAAGTCCTGAGCTTTTGTCACTATATCAACCTGTGCAGAAAGCGAAAGCCCAGTTGTTTCCAATGTTTTTATTGACGCACAAAGGAAGCCATAATTTGATGCAATGAAAATCAAATCTGATTTTATNAATAACTCGAAAACGAAAAACGCTAGGTACCAATAACTTTTATGAAAGTCAACATATTTTTTTACGTACAATTAAAAGGTGCAATAAAAACTATAGCATTCCATTTAAAATAACGAAGTTATGGTCTATTTCCGGTAGACCGGAAGTGGCAGCCATCTTGAAAATATTTTAGATCGAAAGTTCCGACTGAACAACCCATACTACCAAAATTTCAAACCTCTATGAATAGTGGAACCTAAAAAAGTTCTAACGAACCAGTTACGTGAGACACCCTGTATACAATTTCTTTGGAGAGACGCATGAACGATTCTAGTTCTTGTGTTAGTTCTAGTGCTAGTGCAAAACTCGAACTAACCCTAGACCGAGAACTAGAAACATTCGGATTTAGCCGCACGTCTCACAAGATGACTAAACCCGACTGATTCTATGCTATTATGCTAGTGCAAAACTCGAATTAACACTAGACCAAGAACTAGAAACATTCTGATTTAGCAACACGCCTCTCAAGATTGCTAAACCCGAATGATTCTAATTCTAGGCCTTGTGTTACTTCTAGTGCTAGTGCAAAACTCGAACTAACACAAGACCTAGAACTAGAAGCATTCGGATTTAGCCGCACGTCTCTCAAGACGGCTAAACCCGAATGATTCTAGTTCTAGGTCTTGTGTTAGTTCTAGTGATAGTGTTGGTGTAAAACTAGAACTAACACTAGACCTAGAACTAGAAAGTATTGGGTTTAGCCGTGAGTAGGACGCACGGCTAAACCCGAAAATTTAGTTCTAGTTTTAATTGTTATTCAACGGTAGATTTTTGTATATTATCGAACCAACTATTAGAATTAACACTAAACCTAGAACTAGTATAAAATAAATACCCTCACGTAAATTTAACTAATCAACAACTTTATTGAAACTTCAAACAAAATAACAATGTAATTCAGTTCAGCGTTTATACTTCTTATTAAGATTTTAACAAAACATTATTAAGAAAATCTCTGCAGTTTGACCTCAAGTACCTACCCATTTAGTCTCCTCCGTATGTTATAAATCACCCTGTATAAAAAAAATGAATACTTTGAATATTATATTGCCATTATTGTTGGATTTAGAGACGATTTTCCGTGTGCTTGATTTTGTCCAAAGTTATTCCGGTGCAAACACTAGTTCATTAAAAGATAAGAATGCAGGCTCTTCTTTTGACACAACAAAACGATAGGATAAAGCATGCCTTTTGAAAAACTTAATGTCGTATCCATCACTTATCTTTTCAATTACTTGAGTGACATACTGCCTCATTGAAGTCTTACCGAAATCTTTGGCAATGATAAAATTATCGACGTCAATGATTTCTCTATCGTCCTCAGATTCATTTGAAAAATTTAAATTGTCATCAAAACTGAAATTCATCATCCAAAACTTTCCCATCATCAACAATTCGCCTTTTTGCCTCTTCGTCTTATGGTTTTAATGTCTTACGCAACTTCTTCTCTTTTCTACTAGCTATTTCATCTTTTTTAGTCGTGTCAATGGCGATAATACTTTTTCATTTTTGGGATCCACTTGTGGCTTTTCTTTCATCTGCTTTGGGAAATGGACGAATATCTTCAGGGGAGACAAATGGTGTAGCTTGAGATGTTGTACTGGTTGAAGGTGTTGAGCTTGTTGCTGGAAGATTTTCATCATTCTTGTTTTGTTCATCAGTTTTTCCAACAGGAAAAGGTCTATCCGTTATATAAAACGACAAATAGTCATCCTCTGTAAAAAACTGTTCTATCAAAAGGCGAAATACCGGTACATTTGCAACCAGATGTTATATTTGCACGATCCCATGTCATACAGCAGATTACTGTATGGTATGGGTTATTGTTATAAATTGTTTAGCATATTTGAAGTATGTTGCGGTAAATTTAAGATCACTCATACCATTGGCCTTACTATAATTAAGTGCTTCAACTGACAAATAGGATTCAGGGTTATCCATTATAAAGAGTACATTCTTTTCGAGTGTTTTACAAAACTTTATAACACTTTATCAAATTGTCATCCAGCCTAATTTATGTATCAGTCCAATAACGCCGGTCGTATTTGGAACACTCATTCTTTTTTGGCCAAATCTTTGTCTGGGAAAGACCCACACAGGTGGTAGAGCTATGCCATTGGCACCTATTATTCCCACTTGGGTTATTAGTTCGCTTTCAGTTATTTTCTGAACCGTGGTCTGCAAAAAACACTCTATGACATAAAGTTTGCTTCTTAAAACTAAAACTACCTCATCTAGATTGTGAATTTCAGATGATGAAAATCCATATCGGGAAATAACTTTTTCTAATTTATCAAAAAATATTTTCACATTTTCTGGATTAGAAGTTAGACATCCTAGCTAAACTTGTAGCATCATTGATAATGACGAACAAAAGTTACAACTTTGCATAAAACAAAGCTTTCATTTGTGAAGTAAAGACAACTTTGGGTTTTTCAAACCAACAAGGCATTTAGCTTAATAAGTCCAGAACAGTCCCTTAGTACATACATTGGAGGGGTTCGATCCAAATAAAATTTGATGTAGCCAGGAATTGGTTAATTTGCCTCATTTTGAGTAGATTTTGTTTAAAGTCACCGATAATTACACTGTAATTAAATGAATCACAACATTTTAATATTTATAGTTGTTATATTTCAATTTCCAATCTTTTTTTTAATATATAACAGTAAAGACAAAACGACATTGCGTCTAAAACATTTTACACATACATCTCCAATTATTATTCAACATTTTACATATTACTTTAATTTAAATACTTTATAACGATTTTTTTGGTGTTCAGAGCATAGAATATCTTATTCGTAGCTAATACGAAAATAAATTATGCCAAATTTAATTTATAATCTACTTTTACATATTTCTCTTTCATCGTATTAATTAATAAATTACAGGCATATTTGCAGCTTTATTGTACTTATTACAAAACCGTTGTACTAATTTCATATATTTAAAAGTCTCTCAAAATGCACAACAATTCACATTTTGTTAAACAAAGTCTTACACGTTTAAGTTACTCCTAAAAAATAAATATCCTTAATCATAATGAAAGTAATAACAATAAAATAATCACAACCGATTTTTCTATAAACACAAAAAATTCAGTCTCATTCATTTATTTTTAAATGAGACGATTTCCTCATTATTTATCATCAAATTGCGTCTTCACAAAATACGTCGTTAACGTTCCTTTTCCTTTCACGTAAGTTGGACCGCGACATTCGCACGAATATCCGGCGTTCATGAGTATTTTTGCCGTGTCTTCTGTCACTTGAATCCTCCCCATTATGCCGCAGGAATCCATTCGGGAAGCTACATTCACCGTGTTACCCCAGATATCATATTGAGGTTTTTGAGCCCCAACTACACCGGCTATAACTGGACCATGATTAATACCTAAAATATTTGTTTGGAATATGTATAAGTTTGATGATAAACATTTTAAGAAAAGATTGCTATTGATCTAAGCTGGTGAAATTGGGGAATTTTTAAATGTATCAGAAATTATGAAGATTTAAAAAAATCGCTGAAATCTTATTTTTGGGAGTTAGGAAATAGCTTATATCTCAAATTAAAGCTAAAATATTCTATTTTATGAATTTGATATAGAATATATAAGTTTGATAATAAAAATTTTTGGAAAAGAATTTTTTAATCTTATGCTGTAAAATTAGGGTTTGTTTGATTATGTCAAAAATTATGGAGATTTAAAAAAATCGCTGAGATCTTATTTTTGGGAGTAAAGAAACGGCTTATATCTCAAATTAAAGCTGAAACATTCTATTTTATGAATTTAATATGAAATATATAAGTTTGATAATAAAAATTTTTGGAAAAGAATGTTTTAATCTTAACCTGTCAAATTAGGATTTGTTTAATTATGTCAAAAATGATGAAATTTAAAAAAATCGCTGTGATCTTATTTTTGGGAGTAAAGAAACGGGTTATATCTCAAATTAAAGCTGAAACATTCTATTTTATGAATTTAATATAAAATATATAAGTTTGATAATAAAAATTTTTGGAAAAGAATTTTTTAATCTTAACCTGTCAAATTAGGATTTGTTTAATTATGTCAAAAATGATGAAATTTAAAAAAATCGCTGTGATCTTATTTTTGGGAGTAAAGAAACGGGTTATATCTCAAATTAAAGCTGAAACATTCTATTTTATGAATTTAATATAAAATATATAAGTTTGATAATAAAAATTTTTGGAAAAGAATTTTTTAATCTTAACCTGTCAAATTAGGATTTGTTTAATTATGTCAAAAATGATGAAATTTAAAAAAATCGCTGTGATCTTATTTTTGGGAGTAAAGAAACGGGTTATATCTCAAATTAAAGCTGAAACATTCTATTTTATGAATTTAATATAAAATATATAAGTTTGATAATAAAAATTTTTGGAAAAGAATTTTTTAATCTTAACCTGTCAAATTAGGATTTGTTTAATTATGTCAAAAATGATGAAATTTAAAAAAATCGCTGTGATCTTATTTTTGGGAGTAAAGAAACGGGTTATATCTCAAATTAAAGCTGAAACATTCTATTTTATGAATTTAATATAAAATATATAAGTTTGATAATAAAAATTTTTGGAAAAGAATTTTTTAATCTTAACCTGTCAAATTAGGATTTGTTTAATTATGTCAAAAATGATGAAATTTAAAAAAATCGCTGTGATCTTATTTTTGGGAGTAAAGAAACGGGTTATATCTCAAATTAAAGCTGAAACATTCTATTTTATGAATTTAATATAAAATATATAAGTTTGATAATAAAAATTTTTGGAAAAGAATTTTTTAATCTTAACCTGTCAAATTAGGATTTGTTTAATTATGTCAAAAATGATGAAATTTAAAAAAATCGCTGTGATCTTATTTTTGGGAGTAAAGAAACGGGTTATATCTCAAATTAAAGCTGAAACATTCTATTTTATGAATTTAATATAAAATATATAAGTTTGATAATAAAAATTTTTGGAAAAGAATTTTTTAATCTTAACCTGTCAAATTAGGATTTGTTTAATTATGTCAAAAATGATGAAATTTAAAAAAATCGCTGTGATCTTATTTTTGGGAGTAAAGAAACGGGTTATATCTCAAATTAAAGCTGAAACATTCTATTTTATGAATTTAATATAAAATATATAAGTTTGATAATAAAAATTTTTGGAAAAGAATTTTTTAATCTTAACCTGTCAAATTAGGATTTGTTTAATTATGTCAAAAATGATGAAATTTAAAAAAATCGCTGTGATCTTATTTTTGGGAGTAAAGAAACGGGTTATATCTCAAATTAAAGCTGAAACATTCTATTTTATGAATTTAATATAAAATATATAAGTTTGATAATAAAAATTTTTGGAAAAGAATTTTTTAATCTTAACCTGTCAAATTAGGATTTGTTTAATTATGTCAAAAATGATGAAATTTAAAAAAATCGCTGTGATCTTATTTTTGGGAGTAAAGAAACGGGTTATATCTCAAATTAAAGCTGAAACATTCTATTTTATGAATTTAATATAAAATATATAAGTTTGATAATAAAAATTTTTGGAAAAGAATTTTTTAATCTTAACCTGTCAAATTAGGATTTGTTTAATTATGTCAAAAATGATGAAATTTAAAAAAATCGCTGTGATCTTATTTTTGGGAGTAAAGAAACGGGTTATATCTCAAATTAAAGCTGAAACATTCTATTTTATGAATTTAATATAAAATATATAAGTTTGATAATAAAAATTTTTGGAAAAGAATTTTTTAATCTTAACCTGTCAAATTAGGATTTGTTTAATTATGTCAAAAATGATGAAATTTAAAAAAATCGCTGTGATCTTATTTTTGGGAGTAAAGAAACGGGTTATATCTCAAATTAAAGCTGAAACATTCTATTTTATGAATTTAATATGGAATATATAAGTTTGATAATAAAAATTTTTAGAAAACAATTTTTTAATCTTAACCTGTAAAATTAGGGTTTGTTCGATTACGTCAAAATTATGAAATTTAAAAAATCGCTAAGATCTTATTTTTTGGGAGTAAAGAAACGGCTTATATTTCAAATTAAAGCTAAAACATTCTATTTTATGAATTTAATATGCAATATATAAGTTTGATAATAAAAATTTTTAGAAAAGAATTTTTTGATCTTAACCTATAAATTAGGGTTTGTTCGATTATGTCAAAAATGATGAAATTAAAAAAAATCGCTGAGATCTTATTTTTGGGAGTAAAGAAACGGCTTATATCTCAAATTAAAGCTGAAACATTCTATTTTATGAATTTAATATAGAATATGTAAGTTTGATAATGAAAATTGTTGAGAAAAAAATTTTTTTAACCTATACTTGTAAAATTGAGGTTTGTTCGATTATGTCAAAAATTATGAAATTTAAAAAAATCGCTGAGATCTTATTTTTGGGAGTAAAGAAACAGCTTATATCTCAAATTAAAGCTGAAACATTCTATTTTATGAATTTGATATAGAATATATGTTTGATAATAAAAATTTCTAGAAAAAATTTTTTTAATCTAAACTTGTAAAATTAGGATTTGTTTGATTATGTCAAAAATGATGAAATTTAAAAAAATCGCTGAGATCTTATTTTTGGGAGTAAAGAAACGGCTTATATCTCAAATTAAAGCTGAAACATTCTATTTTATGAATTTAATATGGAATATATATTTGATAATAAAAATTTTTAGAAAAGAATTTTTTAATCTTAACCTATAAATTAGGGTTTGTTCGATTATGTCAAAAATTATGAAATTTAAAAAAATCGCTGATATCTTATTTTTGGGAGTAAAGAAACGGCTTATATCTCAAATTAAAGCTAAAACATTCTATTTTATGAATTTAATATAAAATAGATAGGTTCGATAACGAAAATTTTTAGAAAAAATTTTTTAATCTAAACTTGTAAAATTGGGGTGTTCGATTATGTAAAAATTATAAAATTTAAAAAAATCGCTGAGATCTTATTTTTGGGAGTAAAGAAACAACTTATATCTCAAATTAAAGCTAAAACATTCTCTTCTATAGATTTAATATAGATAAATATTTATTTAAATATATTTTTGCAATAATTAAATCACAAATGAAATTTAACTGGTAATTTAAACAGTGCGCTTTTAATCAATTAAACATATATGTTGTTCGTAATTGGAGTGTAAACAAATCGGGTGTTTATCCTTTAATGTTTACATCATTAATTGGCAATATCTAGTTAAAATTATTTTTAACTTACCTACTCTTAATTTAAAACGTTGGAATGAATCTCTATTAATTTGTTCGAGGTTTGTCATTAAAAGTAAAGCAAAATCGACTAGAGCCGTTATTATATATTCTTCTTTTCTACTAGTTTCCTGAAATTAATTACAAAAAATTATGAGGTAACTTTAAACAATTTTATCTTACAGCTTTATCACTTTCTTTTCCAGGTTGTAACCCTGAAGCTAACATGTAAGTACTTCCGATAGTTTTAATTTTTTCTATACAACTAAACTTTGGTTTAAGTAACAATTTATCAAATTCGCAAATGATTTCGTTCAACAGCCTCAAACATTCCAATCCTTGTTTATTGACGTCGCTTTCATCGTAAAATTCTTTATAATTCGGAATTGACGCGAACATAACGCCTATGCACGAATATCTTTCGTGGTAAAGTTCTTGGGTGTTTCTAGCTGTTAAAAACCTTTCAGCTACGTGAGCCGGAAGAATATTTTCTAGCAATATCTAAAAATAAATTAAATTAGTAATAATTTAATGTTTTATTATACAATACTTTATTAATTCCTCTCATTGTTTCAACTTCATCTTGCTCAACTTTCAATTTAGCTTTCCATAAGAAATCCGTTCTTGAAGTAAACTCAATTTGTCGGTCGAGGATGTGAAATAAAGTAACCGCCACGGCCAAAACTAAAGCCGTTTTTATTTCAAAATTAATTGCAGGAAATCTAAAATAATAAATATAAAACGTTTTCTTTACTTATTTTTTTTTTGTTAAAAACTTACTCATCATCGTGGACGTCGTGATAATCTTGAAAAAATTCGTAATAACTATAAATAATAATATGGCAAATAATTGAAGTTAACATTAATCCCAATTTGAGTAGGAATCCAATTCTCAAAAAAACCGATATTGCTGCCAAGGTCATCGCTGATCCATAAAGATATGTCTTAAATGTTGATTATTAAGAAAGTTAATAATAATTATAATATGTGGTGCTTACCGGGACATATTCCAAAACGGGGTTATCCGAAAACGTTATATTTAAGTTTTTATTACTCACTATCGAACCATTAACATTAAATAGTTCTTCAGGACTATAATCAACCTTAAAAATGAAGAAAATCAATTAATTTAAAGTAATAGAGATCGTTTCCTGAATAAAACCGTGTAAGTACAAAATAGTCCAAGCAAAATGGAATAAGAAGAATAAAAAATGTGTCTAAAAACAGTTATCAATAAACTCAGTGTGTTGAAAGATGTTTTTAATAGCAATTTAATTATATTGTTACATTAATATTTAATTAACATCTTTGATTGTTTAAGATTCCATGTTAAAAGTAGGAACAACACAATAATTAATCTTTCTTATAGTTAGTGTAATTCCAGGATTCTCTTTCAACTTGGAGATTGATTAATGTAATTGAAATTTGTTTTCTTAATGTCTATGATTTCGACATGAGACGACACTAAATCCTAAAAACCGCTATGTCTCTGGTTGAGATGCTGGAATTAGCTGGTCATGTCAATAAAATCAGTGTTCCCAAAACCTTGCGTGCATCTTGATTAACATCAAAGAGGAATTGAGGGTTTTAGCAAACATTGCAGATACACGTCGTTCACGACAGTTTACGATTTAAGTTGCCATTACTGTGGTGTTATAGGGTTTCATAAGAAACTTGATGAAAAAAGGAGTAGCGTAGTTCTCGGGCTGCTAGTTGTCGAAGATAATGGATTTCGTAAATATGTACTACAATTTATTTATAATTTTTTGTAATATGTATAATGAGTGATTGCAACCACACTACGAAATTCTGCTTGATTGAGAAGTTTACCATACTCCCGTTCCTTAACAATCATCAACACATAAATCTAGAATGTGATAACACATTCTAATGTACCATTTTCAGCTTTTCAATAATATTTTGTATCTTTCCATGTGGCTGTCCATAAGATCTACCGAAAATCTACTAAAATTCCTTACAGTGGACATAGGAAGCTTTTCGGCAAATGTTGACAGCGTAGTTAAATACTTATTGTCTTTCCGCACTAAGAAAGACCTTCAGAGCATATATTCGTAGGCAATTTGCTTCTTCTTTGTACAATCTAAGGAGTATATTCCAGTTTTTGCTACTTGGCCAGTCACATAACTACGTTTGATGTAACTTCTAAATCTGATTCTTCTATAGGTCGAGGTGCAGAACTTTCCTGGTCCAAGTATACTTCAAATTTATAAGAAAACCGGGTGTGTCTTCTGAAACTCCTGAGGATGCTATTATGCTGGAGAACGAGTATTTCACTCTTCTAGGCCAAGGAAAGAATACGGCTATAATAACATCTCGAAGAAGGTGTTGAGAAGCTTGGACCTTGATATTCATTCCTACATCAGCGAAATAATTAACTTCAGCCTCATGACTCAACATTTCCCACGAGACTTTAGGACCTCTGTCATAATCTGCATCCCCAACAAGGATTCCTCACTTTCCGACCAAGCAAACTACCGCCCCATCTCACTGCTGCCAATGATAGGAAAGCTTTTCGAGACATATCCAAGAATAAGCTCCTGGTCGTCGTCTCAAAGAACATGCCACCCTACCAATTAGGATTCCAACCCGGCAAATCCACATCTCAGCCATTTACGGTATTGGATTCCAACTTTCAAGCGGCAAATCAAGTAAATCGGCGGCTGTGTTTCTGGATGTCCGAAAGGCTTTCGACTCAGTCTGGCACAAAGGTAGTAGGCCTTTCAAACTGGATAAGTTAAATGTTCCATATTATCTCCTAAACTTGATAAGGCAATTTCTTTCAGATCGTTCTTGTTTTGTGAAGCTGAAAAACCACCACTCCCGCAGTTTCACCATGCAACAAGGCCTCCCGCAGGGATCTCCCATCTCTCCTTCTTTATACAATGTTTTCTGTCACGATATTTACGACAACAAACCAGATGACACAACACTGATTTCGCACGACAGTGGCGTTGCTTCTTCGGTCCGAAAGCTACAGGTGCTTATCGATGAAACAGAGGGCTGGTACCGAAAATGGCGCATTCAAATCAACTCCTCAAAATCACAATTCTTCATCCTTTTCCTCCTAGACCACGCCTCTTCTCCTACAATCACAGTCCAATCAACTCCCCTCTCAGTCTCACCAATCTGCAAATACCTAGGCTTAACACTCGACAGAACCGTAAAATTATCTGCCCATCAAAGTGAAGATGAAAGTGAAAACTCGCGCCAAGCACTTCATATCCCTGTCATCCAGCGGTCGCGGAATTTCCACAAAATGTGCTTTGCACATTTACAAATCCATATGCAGACCAATTATAGAATATGGATCTATACTTCTAAACGATGCGCCTAGAACATCAAGATTCCATTTAGAAGTGGCAGAAAGAACGACTGAAGCCAATTTGAAAACTGTTTCTTTAAGTGATCCTTAAAGGGGTTATTGACTACAACGTCTAAAAGCTGCAGTTGTGAAGCCATAACACCAGGAATAATGACTAAATCTGTATTTTGCTTCTTCATTTCTTCCCTCTAATATAAGCATTGCTCTCTCCCCATCATTCCTTTGTTGATTTGCTCAAACACTTCTTATCCAGTTATTCAATCTATAACCAGCGCGTGATTCATCCATCCTTTCTCTTGTACCCTATTTATAATTCCATCTGGAAATTGGTCCCTTGGCATGATTTTTCTTTTAAGTACCACATAAGGAGAAAGTTTTGTTCCGTCAGTAAGTACTGCTAACATAAACGTTGTCCTCGATTTTTCATTTCCTGTTGTTTTGATTTTTCTCCTTTTTTATTTATGGTATAATTTGAAACCAAATCAAAATATACGGGTGTTTGATCCGCATTACATATCAAGTTTAAAGGATATTTGTGCTATTTTCTTAAGTTTATTACATAACGTTGATATTCAATTAGTTATTCCTCAAAATCTTTAGGAAGTTTTTGGGCTGACGTTGTACGACGTCGTAAACATAATGCACTCCTAACCATCATTGTTCTGCACCATCCATAACTTGCCTTAAATGTAGTTTGAGGGATATTTTTGCTTTTAGCTATTTCTTGCGCTTTTAATTGAATTGTTTCTCTTGTTTGTGGAAATCCTTGTCCACGCATTTCATTTACAAAATCAACAACAATTTCATCAATTTCTGGAAATCGACCTTTTTTGGGTCCTCGAAAGGATTCTCGTGTTGAATGAGCATTCAAAAGATTTTCTTATTGCAGTCGCCAACGTCTAATGTTGTTTTGTGTTGTACCATACTTTTTAGCGGTTGCACAATTGTTTGTTTTTTCTGCTTCACGAATAGCCATAATTTTAAAATTGGCATCGTAGCTTGTTCGCATATTTTTATCTATTTGACCTTTCGCCGTACCCCGTTTTTCAACTCGATCACACATAACTGATGCGGCATAATTCTCAACAAGTCTAATTCGTACAAGAGTTTGCTAACGAATAACAAAAGCGCGCCTTATCTACCTAACTTCACATCGGCCGTAAGCGTTTAGGAGCTTCCCCTATTTACATAACTAGCAGGCTGGAAGCGAATCACACTCTTTGAGCCCGCTTATACTTGCTTCTGCGCAAACACATCATTTTTGATTTGTCGGTAAAATTCCGAATATAAGGCGAGTGGTAATTTTGTGCCTAATTCTCTTGAAAAAAACCTCGCCTTATATTCGGGCAAATACGGTATTTCCCTCATCCATGCTGCGCTTTTAGTTTTTCAATGTTAAGTTTTCCACTTCTGTGCCTCTTTTGCTGGGCTTGGCTACTAATTTTACACCTTAATTTTGTCTGAACCAGAAGATGATTCGACCCGCAGGAGGCTCCTCTCCTTGTTTTTACGTCTATGATGCTTGAGGCAAATCTTCTGTCTATCCTATCATCACATGGTCTATTTGATTCCTAGTATATGTCATCAAGTGAGCTCCATGTCACCTTGTGTATGCTCCGGTGTGGGAAGCAAGTTGAGCTAATGACCATGTTCCTCCAACCCTCCGTTCTCGTTAGTCTCGGCGTGTGCTGAGAAGCTGTGCCTTCCTATGGTCCCCCAGTATTCGGCCTCTCTGCCAAAGTACTTTTCAAAGTACTTACCTCTATATTGCACAACACACTATTTTATCTATCACAGAAGTAAAGAAATGTTCTTATAACTTTACATTTAATATTCTGATAGTTGATAGCAATACAGATGAGACTGGCACAAACAAATAACTACAAATTGCCAACTCCTCTGCATACAGGGGATCCCATTGCATTTAGCAGAGTTAATAAAACATCATAGTAAAGTACTAACTTTAATGATAACTTCACGAGGCGTCCTAGAACTTGTAGAGTTTTACGAGTAATATGAGGGAGCAGTTCATAAACCATTTTAAATAGCGAACCACTCAATTCCTCGGTGATGCGTTAATGAGCAGAATCAACAAATATATTAATAAAAATACTTACCACTGTTATCACTGCACAAGTTGCTATTAAAACTATTGAAAGTAAAAAAATCGCTATTCTAAGACATCGACTTTCAGCGACGATTTTTCCAGGAGGTGAACAACCATCGATCGTATCCGTTGGAGTTTCCGAAGATGGTTTGGATCTGCAACATCCTTCCAACCAACATAAATAAACGAAAATTGATAAAACAACTAACGTAGGTCCGATTGTTCCATAAAGAATGATCCCGCTAGAAAATAAGATTTAATTAAAAGATGATAAAAAATTTATTCTGATAAAATTTTTAAATCCTCCCTTAATGGAAATAACGAAAAGATTAATTTGTTGATCTATTAACAGATAAAGTCGTGGAAGACGTAATCCAATCGGATCAACCGAGATTAGCATCCAGGACGGAGAGAACTTTTCAATAATTGCCTCATAAAATATTCAGAATAATTAAGGATTTCGAATTTCCTGAAACTTACCGTGGAATCGTCGATATTTGCATCACGCACATTCCGACGAAAATCAAAGTCGAACAGGCGATGTAATACCGGAATTCGTTGTCGTTTTGGTGCCGATACTCATTCTCTTGTTGCGTGCTTTTGAACCATAACAACATCGGATGAAAATCTTCATTTTGTAAGTGTTTTCTTGGGAGAAAAAAATTAATTTATGTATCTTTTTGTTATTTTTTTTTGCTTACTTGCAATCCAAACAAGAACCTTTATCCGGGAGTAAATTTGACTCAATCATAGCCATGCTCTAGAAATACATAAAAAGTTATATACAATCATTTAATCGTCTTAATTTTATTTATGTAATTGATAAATTCATAATAGATAATAAAAAATCGTTTTCCATCAATTTTACATGTTACGACATCAATTAACACTCGGCACGTGTGAGATTATTAACTCCATCCCGGGCTGGTAGTAACGGACGTCCATTGCAATTAAACAACTAAATCGGATTAAGCTATGTATATGTATCCTAAACCACTAATTATGTCCGTCCTTTCCTCTATATGCATAGTATGAGCTTAAATGGATTATATTACGTGTTCATGCAACCTCCGGCGTTTGGTTGCCGGATTTAGCATTGCTGTTTTAGGGATAAAATTGTTTTATTAATAACAAAATAAACACGATTAAAACTATGAAAACGTGCATTTCAAAGAATACTTTATTCCTAAAATGTACTCTAAAGTTAAAAAAAATTAAACCAATTTTAAGTGAGTTAGTTCAACAAAACCGGGAAACCCAAAAAAAAAAAAAAATAAAATAAAAGAAAAGAAAACAAAACTAACCTGTTGAACAGGAAGCGTCTGAAAAATTAATAATTTCTTTTAAAATAATAAGTAAATTTAATTAAAATAAATTTAGAAGTTTTTTCAGTTTTATTTGGCGAAAGGAAATTCATTTCCTTTATATTTCAGCGTAGAAAAGAATTCATAATATCTTAATGAATAATTCAAAAACGTAAATTTTTTTCCGATTCGAAATGAAAATCGAATAAAATATGGCGAGTTTTATCGAATCGACTTGATTCCTTATACAATATTCTTTTCCCTATATTTTTTTTATCAACTTCAGCTTTACTTTATTATACTTACAGTCAACTCAATATTCTTCGCCAGAGTGGATTCGGCAATATTGGCGAATGGTTTGTCGGCACCCCAACATTCAACGTATTTGGTCATTTTACTTGACGGTCTCGACCTGGTCGGAACTCCTCCGGGAACTGCAGTTCCTTGTCCACCACTGTTTGACTGCTCTGTTATGCTGTTATTTCGTTCCGATGTTACAGAAAAACGTCCGGTCTTTAAATTTCCATTTTGTGTTTCCTTATCGGGTTTCTACTCGAAACAAAAAATTAATAACATTAAAAGTGAGATTTTTGAAAATTTTTAGTCAAAATCCAAGTGATTTTTCAAAATGGGTTGGTATATTGTTTTACATTAATCAATGATCTTGTGAATATACCGAGAATTTTATATAACTGGCAATATATGAATGTAGTAACCATAGTTGCGAAACTACTACGCATTTGCACTGTTCCACATATGCAATGCAACATAGCTTTATTCTCGGTTCACATTACTCCAGTAGCATTCCAGCGTAGGTTTCCGGTGCTGGACTGGAATGCTACTGGAACAATGTGAACCGGCACAGGAATGTACCCATTCCAGTAAGCAATCCACTCCAGTGACTGGATCGACAGTCTACTTTTTCATTCTAGCTCGCCCTGGAATAGTGTAGACCGCCAATCTAGTGCTGGATTGCGAATTCTTAACGAATCAATTAAAAATCCACTGGACTGGATTGACTCGCTGGATTACTGGACTGGAATAATGTTGAACGATATGATCCAGTCCAGCACTGGACTTGATTGACTCGCTGGAATACTGGACTGGAATAATAGTACAGGCATTGGGTAGTTTTGCAAAGGAAAAGTTTTGCTTGGAAAAAAGTGACGTCCTTATAACAACCCTGAGTTTTCGGCCGTCTAATGAGACGCACGGCTAAACCCGAATGTTTCTAGTTCTAGATCTAGTGTTAGTTCTACTTTTCGCTCAATAAAAATATACCACAATCTAACGCTGAATAACAATTAAAACTGGAACTAACACTAGACCTAGATCTAGAAACATTCGGATTTAGCCACACGTCTCTCAAGACGGCTAAACCCGAATGATTCTAGTCTAGGTCTTGTGTTAGTGCTAGAGACAGTGCAAGGTAGCACTAGTTAGCATTAGATATCACTTTGTTGCATATTTTTATTGAATTAAAACTAGAACTAACACAATACCTAGAACTAGAATCATTCGGATTTAGCCGTCTTAAGAGACGTGCGGCTAAATCCGAATGATTCTAGTTCTAGGTATTGTGTTAGTTCTAGTGACAGTGCTAGGTAGCGTTAGTTAGCATTAGTTATCACCGTGTTGCATATTTTTATTGAATTAAAACTAGAACTAACACAAGAACAAGAATTAAAATCATTCGGGTTTAGCCATCTTGAGATACGTGCGGCTAAATCCGAATGTTTCTAGTTCTAGGTCCAGTGTTAGTTTTCCTTTTGATTCAATAAAAATATACTACAATCTAACGCTGAATAACAATTAAAACTGGAACTACCACTAGACCTAGATCTAGAAACATTCAGATTTAGCCGCACGTCTCTAAAGACGGCTAAACTCGAATGATTTCCCTTCTAGGTCTTGTATTAGTTCTAGAGACACTGCTAGGTAGCACTAGTTAGCATTAGACATCACTGTGTTGCATATCTTTATTGAATTAAAACTAGTACTAACACTAGAACTAACACAAGGCCTAGAACTAAAATCATTCGGGTTTAGCCGTCTTGAGAGACGTGCGGCTAAATCCAAATGTTTCTAGTTCTAGGTCTAGTGTTAGTTTTACTTTTCGTTCAATAAAAATATACCACAATCTAACACTGAATAGCAATTAAAACTGGAACTAACACTAGACCTAGATCTAGAAACATTCGGATTTAGCCGCACTTCTCTCAAGGCGGCTATACTCGCATGATTCTAATCCTAAGTCTTGTGTTAGTTCTAGTAATAGTACTAATGCAAAACTAGAACTAACACTACACCTAGAACTAGAAACATTCGGGTCTTCAGGCGCACGACTAGACCCGAAACTTCGTCGATCTAGGTCTAGTGTTAGTTCTACTTTTACTTATTATTACACTAACTAATTACAGACTATCAATCTGGTTTCCGACCAGGCCACAGTATCAAGGTTACTGATGATATTAAGCGTAACTGGCATTTGATGCTGTGGATCATAGCCTACTGGTGTCGTCTCTGTCTGCTATGGGCTTTGCCCCTGAGTGCGTTACTTGGTTTAGGTCATACCTTTCTCAACGTTCCTTTTGTGTGCGTGACACTTCATCTTCTTTTTCTGTGTTTCAAAGTCATAGTGGTGTGCCTCAAGGAAGTGTATTGGGTCCATTACTCTTTTCAATTTTTATAAACAGTGTTACCAAATTCATTTCATGCAATTATCACTTATATGTATGCGGATGATCTTCAAATCTATACATCAATAACTGTGAATGAGCTCCCGGTGTCCATGGCGCGGCTTAATGACAATCTGTCCAGGATACTTCACTGGTGTAAATGTTTTGGCCTGAGTTTGAATATTGCCAAGACACAATATAGCATTCGGTTCAAAACCTTTACTTGCAAAATTTTACTCTTTCAATGATACGCAACTGATACTTGGTGACAATGTTATACATTTCACCAATACGGTCAAAAACTTGGGGGTAAACAATGGACTTAGCGCTGTCTTGGCGGTGTCAAATTCAGTCTGTCTGTAGGAAGGTCTATTTTTGTTTTCATTCCTTGCGTAAACTTGGTTGTTTCCGCCCTCTTGCTATCCGTCGTAATCTTTGTTACTCATTATTCTGCCCCACATAGATTATGCTGATGCGGTGTTTCTCGACATAACAATTGCCCTCCGTAACAAATTGGAAAGACTGCAGAACAATTGTCTACGCTTTATTTTTGACCTGGGTAAGTACGACCATGTGACGCAATATCGAAATCACCTTCTTATGTTGACTGTCGAAAAGCGCAGATCCTTCCGTATACTGACTACATTATATAAAATACTTTCTTCTCGGACCCCAGCATACTTGTATACGAACTTTTAACTTCTTCTTCTGCTTTGGAATAGTTTACCCACGGAAATACGCAACACTCGGAGTTTTCTAACATTTATAACACTGCAATTATCTGAATCTAACTCTTGATGTCACCTGCTTCTCTTCTCTTTTCTCTTTTTTTTTCCTCCTCTCTATCAGTTGATAGAGTTAGTACAGTTGTAGTACAGTTGTACTCGTTGTGTTTCTTCTTTTTTTTCCTTTTCCTCTGCTCTTTGTCTTCTTTTTTACTTAAATGTTGAATTATTTAATAATGCCATATTGATTATTTTTTTTTACATACATTGCTGGTTGGGTCTTTTGGAAGACATCGCTCTTGGCGATAAAGTGACCTTTTATCAACATACACTATTAATTAATTCATTTATGTATACATATATATTATTTTTCTCCTGTATAAGCTATGTGGCAATAAACTTATTATTATTATTCAGTGCTAGGTTGTTGTATCTTTTCATTGAACTGAAAGTAGAATTAACACTAGTACCTAGAACTAGAAACATTAACACATACTTGTACAGAGACAAAAGAAAGGAAAGCGAGCAATGTGTGTATTGTGGAGACAAAGATAATGTGGAGCACACTTTTTTCGGATGCGAATGGTGGAAAACAAAAAGAGAAAGAGCGAACGCAGTTTTGAAAACATCTTATCGCAGGAAAACTTTGTAAATGTTGTTAGAAGAAGAACAAAACTGGAATATCGTGGAAGGATACGTGAGAGAGCTGATAGATATTAAAGAGATGGAAGAAAAGACAACACAAAGAACGTAAGGAAGATCAAACGAGAGAAGAAAACAAAAAGAAGAGAGGAGAGACAGACACTCCGACGAAAACCCGCAAGGGTGCTTACGGAGGAGATGAGGAAGGGCTTTAGTCGATCGGTAACTCAAGGGGGAAGTCCACCCGACACCATTCGACTTCAACTGAGTTGGGTTGGATTTTAACGGATTGAGTTCCTCCATGGTAGAAGAACTTTGAGATGCACTTTGTTCTGAGAAAGTTAAGTGTCTACAAGTGTACATGGACAAAAAGCACGTCGTGGAATGTAACAAGACCATGAAGATGGCAAACGTTCTAATGAGGGTAATACCGAATTTGGATGGCCAAACGGCCAGGAAAATGAGATTGCTGTCTTCTGCAGTCACGTGGGCGGTTCTGTATGCAGCACCAATATGGGAAAGAGCTTGGCAATACAAAACATTTAGAGGATTACCAGTGGCTGTAAATACATGTTTGGCGATCGGCATTTCATCAGCCTACAGAATTGTGTCCGGCGTGGCTATCATCGCTGGTATCTCCATTGGATCTCCTGGTTAGAGAGAAATCAGAGCTATAGATGTAAGGAAAGATTTATAAGACCAATGGAAGGAAAAAATTGTTGGAGTGCTGATAGGCCAGATGGATAAAGACATGAAGGATGGACGAGGTCCTTGATAGCGAATGTATCAGAATGGACCACAAGAAGCTGGGGAGAAGTGGATTTTCATCTAACACAGGCTCTATCTGGTCATGGTGTTTTTAGAAGTTATTCTTTTTAAGATAAAAAAGTTTGATCGGGTTGGGTTGGGTTCGATTACTTTAAAGTTGAGGTAAATTGTCAAAGCCACTCAACCCAACCACTTGTTCAGTTACTCTCAACAACTTGGGTTGGGTTGAGTTACTATGGGGTTTAATTGGGTTGCTTATCAGTTGAATTACTTTGAGATTATGTTCTGAAGACGCACGGTTAAACCCAAAATTGTCTAGTTCTAGGTCTAGTGTTAATTCTAGTTTTACTCCATTCAGTGCTAGGTTGTATATTTTTATTGAACTAAAAGTTGAACCAACACTAAACCTAGAACTAGAATAGTATATTAAAAAACAAGTTTCGTAAGACACGCTTGAAATGCACGAATTCAAGTTGAAAAACGAGTGGCGAAGCCACGAGTTTTTTAATGAATGAGTGCTTTAAGTCTTATGAAACGTGTTTTTTATGCTATTTTTTTTGTAATTCCCGTTTTTATACTTTTTTTTTTAACAAAAATAAAGTAAATTTTGGCAATGTAGGGAAATAGGTATGTAGCAGTTGGTAACACCGGAACACTTGAAAATAGAAACTTTGAATTGACAATTAGAAACTGTCAAAACACAAAATATATTCACCTGAAAAAAATGTTTGATGTACACCTCCCAAAATAAGAGAAATTGCTCGGTGTTCAATGCCCTCATCATTGTGGACCTTGTATTCGATGCTAAGAACGTGTTTAAACATCCATAGACAAATTGTCACATTGACAACTAGAAAAATTAATGACCCAGTGTCACCAACTTGAACTGGTTCCATAAAATGTTACTAAAATCTCATTACAGCATCGGATGCTGTAAGGAGTCTCATTACAGCACCCGTTTGAGTACTGTTATAGCTTCCATTACCGTAGCGAATTTCAAAAACATTCTTAAGGTCCACTTTTACCACCTCTTGATAAATTTATCCGATAGATAAATCCAGCTCTTAGCCAATGAGAGCGCTTAAAACCGCTGTAACCATGGCAACTATCCTCTAGATAGTTTATCAGGAGGATGGTAAAAGTGGTCCTAAGAGACGCGCGGCTAAACCCGAATGTTTCTAGTTCTAAGTCTAGTGTTAGTTCTAGTGCTAGTATTAGCTGTAGTTTTAGTTGTTATTAAGCGTTAGATTGTTGTATGTTTTTATTAGATTATATTTTAATGCGCAAATTAAAAATTTTTCATATAACGAACTTTTGGCTATAACGGATACTCCCTTATTACTTCCCGTATTAGTCCGTTATATCAAAGTTTTACTGTATTTGGATTTTATAAAATTAAATATGTTTATTAAATTAATGATATAAAAAGTTTTATTTTTATTTAACGAGACAGTAAACAAAATAAACCAGGACACAAAGCATGATCGTTGGCGATATAGGCGGAAGACCGTAAAAAAGGGGGACGTAAAAGTTGATTTAATTAAAGGCTGGGGGGAACAACGGAATCTCGACGATTTTGTAAACGATCCCAACAGTAAATATTGGGTTCGGCGTACTTCGTTTGATGAATCTGTACAGAAAACAGGACCGCCAACCCACTTTTTCCCTTTCCCATTCGATTCTGGACCTGACTGAGAGGATAAATTCAATGAATTGCACGTTTTACAGTTTGCAAAAACAAAACGACAATGTTTTTGCAAATAATATCACGCAGACAATTGGGTGTGCTGCAAAACCGAGATATCCCGGACAAAACCATTTTCTCCCCTAAAATAATAAACCTTTTTGTTGATAACTTTTTATGTTATTTCCCGGAAAAAAGGGATCGATAATACGAAACCTATAAAATATTATTTTAAAAAAATGATAATAGTAAATGGGACGAATAAAAATTTTATAAGGATTTCTTTATGGAAGCTTAAATTAAAAAAAAATTACAGGATGTTTATTGTGGGATATAAACGTGGTGCCAACAACAATTAAAATTGCGTTTTATAAGTTCGTATTTTCAACCCTTTTTACTACGAAATGACACATTTGCAATGCAGATCCTGCTCTAGTTCCTTCACGGCTCATACGATTAATAAACATTAATCCCATTTGGTATAAAAAGATTATATCTAAAAAAAACTGTTTGAAATTGGTTTTTTTTTCGAAAATTAGTATGGAAATTCCATAAATTGTTGATAAAAGTATCCACTTTTTATTAAATAAAACCTTTGTGTTTTGTGAAATAAATTCTGTCATCATACACTAATCAGTTTACAGAATTTATATCAAATAATTCTTTCTGTATATGCTATTTATGTATAACACAATATATTAATGTGTTAAATAGATAATATTAATAATATGACTTGTCCGTTATATCCGAATTCTGTTATATCGAGGTTTTACTGTATAGAAATTAATATTAGTAAGATCTACTGATTTACTTAAACGCATTAATTCTTAAAATTAACTCGAACTGGTTCATAAGCCATAAATATAACCCCATAGCGCGACCTTAATCCCGTTCTGGTCATTCGAAATTATTGCCTTCCAAGCTACTTTTAGTAGAAGGAAATCCCATAAAGATTCCCAGATTTCATGATAGCGTGTGATTTTGACGACCGACTCGAATCGAGGACAAGAATTAAGCGAGGGGACGAAACGCTTCTGCAATTTGTGACAGAAAGTTCATAGAGACACTTTGGAATCTTTTCGAGAAAGATTTTGTGATACGTACCTTAGGGGGTATGATAAGAAATGTCTCGATTTTATGGTCTGCGAGATAACCCTCTCTGCTTATTCCATCTCCTGGCTCCACTTCAAATTTGTCCCCTAGTTGAAGTTGAGTCGCTTTAGTTATGTGTACTCTTCTGTAATAGAAATAAATTAAGTTATATAACAAAATTAATTAATTAAATATTAAAAAAATCTTATCAAAGTTTTTTTTTGGGGACTAATCGATATTCTTCGTAAATAAAGGGTTCTAACATCTTTCTCTGGCACAATACGTGCACTTAGTAAGCTTTTGCGAAAATTGCCAAGTTCCGTGGAGTTTTTGTGGCGAACGTGTCGCAACTTATCAAGCAACATCCACTTTCTTGGTAAAGGATGTAAAAGCAAAAAAGACAATTTGGATGAAAGGCATCCAATCAATTCAAGAGTTAAACAACTCATGTTCGGAGTAACACTTCAACCAATTAAACGTTTCAATAACGAACTTAATAAGTTCTAAAAGTTATAAAATTGTTAGCTTCAGTTTTAAGTTTTGTGTTAGGAATATCGGGTCGATATGCGAAACGCTCGTGAACTTTAAAGTTCTTTGTTATTAAATACGAGATTTTTTGTTGTTTTGACAAAATCTTCGTTGGGTGTTTATCAAGTCTCTAATACTAATGTTGTTGCTAAATCCGAAGATGCGTGATTCAACTTCTTTTTGCAATCCTCTTGCTCTAACAACAAAGTAGAACTTCCACATCCGCGAAACAGCTTGCAACAACACAAATCTTGAATCATTCACATTGTTTTTTTCTCTTTTTCCCTAGAATGTGCCATACCAGTATAAATTCGTTCATAGATTGGATAAGACCTAATTGTGTCACAACCTTAATTCCATTCTTCGTCGGTTTTGAAATTATATATTGAGCGAATTCAGTGCCACAATGATACAGATAAAGTTGGTTATCAACGGTGACGTTTGTTCTAGCTACATAGTTGTCCTAGATATTTCCTAAAGCCTAAAAACTTTGAAGATCCATTAAAGAACGAAACGAAATAACGGATGTGAGTTAGTTTTTCATAGATCAGTTATGTGCACAAAGTAAAAGTACTCCCAGATAAGTGTCAAATGCAGATGTAGTAATGAGTCTGCATTTACGAAATGGTTTTGTTAGATTTTCTGCATGTTCACGTTCTTCATAACACAATTGTTTTTTATTGATGTCGCGAATTATTATATTACACATTTCTGCTAACATCAACATTTTGAATGTATGTTGAATACTAGGACCATAGGTTACCTCCTATGAACAGAGAAGGCTCTAAACATAAAAGATCCATCTCAATCAGATCACAGCCAGCCTGGGAGGCGAGTCGTTGACTATAAAGCCGCTAAGAGGATGTCCTCAAGTGGGAGTGCTATCACCTTTATTATGATGCCTGGTGGTTGATGAATTGATGAACACCCTAACAAAAAAAGGATTTAAGAATCAGAGGTATGCTGATGACCTGGTAATCACAATCTGAGGTAAATATGATGCAATCATAACTCAACTAATGTAGAAAGCCCTGCAACTCACCAGTACCTGGTGTAGAAACAATGGGCTCAGCATCAATCCAAATAAAATCAAAATAGTTCCTTTTACTCGGAGAAGGAAGCTACAAATAAAAGCATCCTCCATTGAAAGCAGAACTATTAACCTCAAAACAGAAGTTAAATACGTAGGGGTAATACTAGACAGTAAGCTAAACTGAAACTCACACTTAGACAAGGTGAGGAAAAAGGCCACCATGGCAAACCAGATCTGCCGCAGGCTCCTAGGATGGGACTGGGGTCTCAAACCACGAATGGCTCATTAGGCCCACGTAGCAATAATCAGACCCATGGTCGCCTACGCCTCATTGGTTTGGTGACCAAAAACAAAACTTAAGACAGCACAACAACAGCTGGCACAAATCCAGCGGTTAGCATGTGTTAACATAACGGGTGCAATAAGATACTGTCCGACAGCTGCTTTGGAAGCCCTACTCGGTCTCACACCGCTCCATTTATATACACAAAAGGAGGCACTGAAAACCTTATCACTGAAAACACACTGAAAACAGTTTCTTCACTCAAGTTGCTGCAGGGCAACCTCAGAGGACATCTCGAAATCCTCAATGACCGATGTCTAAATCACCTGATTGAAATTAAAACGGACCTTATACCGACAGAATACAATTTCAACCAGCCGTATAAGGTCATATTTAGAAGCAGGGATGACTGGGCGAAACTAAAAAGAGGAGCCCTAGCCTGGTACACCGATGCTTCAAAGACAGTTAGATCCGGAGTAGGCATGGGTGTGGACCAAGTGGACCAAATAGCCACATTAAACTGCCCATTGCAGTTTGCCCATTGGACATAACAATTTTCTAAGCAGAAGTTCTTGCTATAAACTTCTGCACCGCTTTGAACCTACAGAAAGGACAGAAAGGTGCATCCATAAATATTTTCATAGACAGTCAGGCCGCCTTAAAGGCAATTAAGGCCTGCACGTGTGACTCCGCACTGATCAGAGAGTGTATGATGAGTGAATGATGTTACCCTATGGTGGGTTCCAGGTCATAGCAACATTGAGGGCAATGAGAAGGCGGACAAACTGGACAAAGATAAGAGAACACGCCCTTCATTGGACCTCAACCTGGTTGTAGACTACAAAAAGGCCACCTAAAACAAATAATCAACAATTGGGGGGTCTCAATGGTAGCCTTACGCTGGAAAGAACTTCCAGGTCACAGACAAGTGAAGAGTATGATAACTCCGTCGCAAAACAAAACCAAAGAGGTTTTATGCCTCAGCAAAGAGGATATAAGGACGCTCTCAGGTTATCTGACCGGCCAAGCGCCCCTAAGATACCATCTCTTCTACATTGGACAAGTTGAGGATCAAATTTATCGACTTTGCAACGACGAGTCAGAAACAGCTGAACATATACTGTGCAATTGCGTCGTCAGAGGCCGTCTAAGACACAAAATTTTCGATAAAACTCTCTTGACACCTACCGACATAAAGGTTCAAGACCTCAGGGCAATACTAAGGTTCATCAAGGACCTACATTTACCCTAAACCTTTGGAGGGCTAAAGTTAAAATAGATCTTATAGGTAGCGGTAACGAGAGGGGCCACTCCTCTCAGCCCGGCAGCAATAATAATAATAAGACATTATTATTGTTTGGTTTTATGTGTTGGTCTAGTGTTAGTAAATCTGAGAATATAATATGGCAGAAATCTACGGGGTTATAGTGGTTGATCTGTCCAAATTGTAATATTTGCAAGCTGTATAATTATTTGCACAAAATTCAACTGGTTCTAATGTTTCCAATTCTTCATTTGAATTATTTGCAGCAGGGTCATATTCTGGTAACTGTAATTCCTCTGCATCTGAATCTATATGTAAGTATATATTTATAATGTTATTTACAATGATGTTATTTACAACATTGTTAATGTATATTTATATTCACTTTGTTGTCTGCACCATTGCTTTCTTTTTCTATCTCACAATAAACGTTCATAAGAATATTGTCCATCTGGATTATCAGCTTCTAAAATTTCCTCCATTTATCGATTCGTGGGTTATAAAAATGGAAATATCCAAAGCTAACAAAGACTTAACACCAGTTTTTGATGGAGTGTTAACCCTTTGCGTCCAAAGAAGTCAAAAATTTTGAAACTTTGTGACAGAATTAATACGCTATCAAAATACACTTAGTAAAGGCTTTTGGAATAAATTTTAGCAAAATATGACAATCCCCATTGCAGGGGGGCTTGAGAGTATCGTCAGGCACTAAAATATATTTTAGTGATGTTGCAGTATACAAAAACTTTTATTGCTAATATAAAAAATAATACATTTTTTATTACGTTCGAAAATAAGTAACACTTGCTTAAGTTAAATAACATTTTGATGTTCAGAAAAACAGGGCTTTCTTTCATTACAACATAAATAAACATTGCACGCAGTACATTTTGGGTGGGGTGTGGACTGAATAGCTTTGGCAGAACAATTTTTACACCTTCCTCTTTCTTTTCCAAAAGTAATCCAGTGTGAACCACGGTTCCCAAGTCTTACGTTGTCAGTAATAGAATAGTCGTATTTTCGTCTGTTGAGTAACTGGGCTGGTGAACTTGCGCCACGACATTTTCGTGAACGCAGTAAATTTGTATATTTATTTATCAGACGAGTTTTAGGAGATTTTACGTGATACACATCAAATTTCTTCATGTACCTTTTCTTATCTGCTAAGCACCAGAGCTTATAACCCCCTTTTATGGCCTTCATGGCATTGAATTGTTTCATACTTGACCTCCCTTTGAAGATTATCATGGATTCATCCACAACCGTGATAATAACTGGAGAACTGACGGTTAAGTGTTTCAAAATACGGACGGATCTTGTATAATTTATCCGTATTATTCTTAGGTATAATGCTGTTATCGTTGATATGCAGATATAATAAAATCTCCTGAAACCTGTTACGGGTCACTGTTCGTGTGACAAGTGGTACACCCAAGTCTTCAGCATTACTCCAGAAGAGTTTATAGCTTGGCAAACTGTGATAACCCATTAAAAGATTTATGCATCTACTTTAGCGGTTTATTCCTTTGAGTGGCGTACAAATTACTTTGAAAGGTAATATCTTTCACACAGTTACCCATTACTGTTAGAAAATAATCTGTAGGATTATTGCAAGTTGCAAAAGTATCACCAATTATTTCCTCTGGACAATTGTATCCTGGAATTTCAGTCTGTTTTTGCCGTTTTCTCCATTTTCTATCAATTTCTGTTGTTCTAAAGGTGTTCTACTTCTTCATCTTCCAGCATAGGTATCTCACTAGCACTAGTAATAATAATGTCATCTTCTTTATCTTCTAGATCAGTCTGTTCAGAATTATCCAACGGGAGATTTTCTAATTCAACACAAACGTTTTCAGCCTCAACCAAAAGTTCTTCATCAGTCAAAGCTTTGTTCAAGTACCAAAACGTATCTGTATTCTCTTGGCTCATTTTTTCATCAATCTCAATATTGTACCTGTTATTAAAATAAAATTAATCCTTTACGCTTCTATCAAATACATTTAAGAATATTTATCATTCTGCACATCTAGTAGTAGTTACAAAATCTGCTCATGTCTTTACCAGCTTATTATTAACAATCAGTCAAGTCAGTCAATTAACGGTTAATAGTTTGTAGATAGTATCTTCTTGTTGATAGTTCGATCAAATAAATGAGCAGTAAGTTATAATGTTCTGTCAGTATATTAATTCATTCAGTTATATCGCAGCCTCCATAAGCAATTTGCACACTATCTAGCAGATTAATGATATTGATAGAGTAACGATTCTTTGTTTGTAAGATTTGATGCTATTGACCATAAAACATTTACAGCAGTATTAGGTTGCTTGAGATTTAACATCAAGATGAGTTTCGTTGATAAGATAAGTCATTCTATACTGATCAAACATTTACAACTTCAACTTAGAGGAGTTCAAAAATAAATTTCACTTCACAAAATTCATCCAAACACTCAAAACAGCTCTGGTGTTTGGTTCTATTATCATAACTTTTCCATGTATAGATCAAAATATTATAGATGTATAATAAATATATTGGTGACACAAAAATTCGAGAAAGTTTTTTAATCGTTACCCGATTTTTACAAACTCATACCGTTGAATAAATTTTAGTACAACTTACCCTGCAATACCCCCTGATTCCATGTGATTCGCTAAAGTAACATCGTCGCTCCAAACATCGAACTGCCATTTCCTTAGACCTAAAACCCCGCAAAGAACATTTCCTGTGTGAATCCCAATTCGCATATCCACGTTGAATCCCGTTGCTTCTCGAACAAAACTAATGAACAAAGCGAAATGATAAAATTGATTAAAGCCGTGTACATGATATAAATTAAAAGCTATCTCTTCATTCAAAAACGTAATGCGTGTTTGAAACGAACCACAGAATCCATGTAGTACGTAAAGGGATATTCATTTATATATTTCACAAAGGGTATGAAGAAACAATGGGGTTGAGGAACAAACAAACGATGTAATTTAAATTAATTTTATATAATTTTTTATTTTATTAATATTCAAATATTAAATTGCATTAATTAACGCAATTAGAATAACAATTAATAATTAATTCATTGTCGTACACGAGTTTACGAGTACTTACACAAATTGAATTCAATTACCATAGATAATTAAGCTAGTCAATTTCATGTTTCGAAAGGCAGAGATAAGAGGAGAAAATAGGTGTCCAACCTTGACCGTACAAACACGCGACTCTAATCCATAATGTTTATTTTGAGAGATTTTACAACGCAGGTTGTTCATTTTAATTACAACAAAAAAAAATTTAAACACTCTAAATACCTGTTAATAATAATTATTGTTGTTTTAACGATAATAATGTTTGGTCAGATGTTATCTTTGTTTTGTTGCGTCAAAGTGTTACAATAACGTAGAAAGTTTACATACGTCTCACTCTCATCATCTCGCATCCTCTCTCATCTTGTGTTCACCCGACTAAACTAAACCGACATAGTTTTCAAATTACTACTCTCTACATACTGTGTAGGTTAGGTAGAGTGAATGTATTTGGATTGTTTTAGATGGAGCTTACCGTATTGCATCGATCATTTGCAAACCCATGTTGACGCAGTTATAGGCGTGGTTGGGTCTGGATACAGGAAGACCGGATACGCAGTAGTAACAATCGCCCAGTATTTTGATCCTCATGCACTGATTGTCCTGAAACAACGAGAGGGCGAGAATGTAAATTGCGTGATTCCCTTTTGATAAGGTTATCAGCACCAACAGCGACCTGTGATGTACTTTGGTTGGATGTTGTTTGTAAAAAATTGCAATTACCGCACGGTATCCCCGGTTCATGAATAATGCACATCCGGAACGACCGAAACATTGTGTTATCGTGGTGAGTTGATATTTGCGCTCGAAATTGTCCTGTCGGTGTCCTGTAAACGGACGTGGACGAGGTAGAGGAGTTTTCGACAGTTGCGGGAACTGTAATTCACTTTGCACGGTACCAAGTTTGTCAACAAACGGGAATTTGGGGTTGTTTGATAAAGAAATTCTTACATTTTGGATTTCATTTTGCATTCTTGTTGTAGTTAGATTTATGTTGCAATTAAAACTTTTTATGTAAAAAACTTTTATGAAGAATGTTCACCCAAAAACTTAACTCCAATTATCCCTTTAGATTATGATTTGTATATCAATTTCAATGTGTATTGGAGTAAAACTATTTTTCTAAACCTTATTTTCAAAAAATGTCGAATAGAAATGGGCGATTTTTAAATATTTTATACAGGGTGTCACACAAAAAACGCCCCAAACTGTAATTCTGTCATTTACATACCGATTTTCATGAGCGAAGTATCAAATGCTACAAATAAATTTTTTCCAAGGTCATCTTCAATTTCAGGCGATTATTAACTTTTGTTTTTCAAATTGCTCCATATATTTGTCTTCACGTCATTGGATAGAGATTTTTTTTCTGAATCCATTGATGTACAACACATCCATTTTGAATGTAATTTTAGCAGAGAAAAATTTTAGAGACGTATTTGATATGAGCGAAAGCTCATGAACATCGGAATGTAAATGACAGAGTTACAGCTTGCGGCGTTTTTTGTGTGACACCCTGTATATATAAGAAGTTATTGAACCTGGAAACTTAAGAATTGGTATAATCTAATCTCAAACATTCCTTAATCACCTCAAAAAAGAAATATTTCTTAATTACAAACGGATTTGGGGGAAAAAACTTTTTTGAAACAAGTTACAAAGAGCCAAATTGAAATCAGCTATTTTTAAATGGTTTTATAAAGAAAACTGTTCATCCAGTAAGCTTATAATTTGTTACAAGCAAACCTTAAATACCCTTTTATATCCTCAAAAAGAGCCACATCTCAACTTCAAACTGTATAGGAGTATAACATTTTTTTAATAACCTCAATTTGAAAAAAAAGTCAAATTGAAATGGGTGATTTTTAAATTTTTTTATAAAAAAAAACGGTGTAACCTAGACAATTAAAATTTGGTATAGCGTAACCTCAAGGCTTCTGTTACAAACTTAAAAACGATTTATTTCAAAATTTAAGCTCATTTTGGAGAAAAGATTTTTTTTCTTTAACCTTATTTTCAATAAACGTAAAATTTAATGCGGCGCTTTTTAATTTTTTTATAAAAAAAGTTATTCAACCTGGAAGCTTTAAAATTGGTATAATGGAACCTCAAGTATTTCTTTATCACCTCAAAAAAACTTATTTCTTAATTATAAACGGATTTGGAAAAAAAAACTTTTTTTAACACAAGTTACAAAGAGCCAAATTGAAATCAGCTATTTTTAAATGATTTTATAAAGAAAACTGTTAACCCAGTAAGCTTATAATTCGCTATAAGCAATCTTTCAACATNTGTAATTCTGTCATTTACATACCGATTTTCATGAGCGAAGTATCAAATGCTACAAATAAATTTTTTCCAAGGTCATCTTCAATTTCAGGCGATTATTAACTTTTGTTTTTCAAATTGCTCCATATATTTGTCTTCACGTCATTGGATAGAGATTCTTTTTCTGAATCCATTGATGTACAACACATCCCTTTTGAATGTAATTTTAGCAGAGAAAAAACACCTGTATATACAGGTTGTCACACAAGAACGCCGCAAGCTGTAACTCTGTCATTCACTTTCCGATTTTCATGAACGAGGAATCAAATGAAATGGTTTGATGAATGATTCATGTTACAAATAAACTTTTTCCAATGCCCTCTTCAATTTCAAGCAATTATCATCGTTTGATTTTCAAAGATTTTCAAGATTTTTTCTGAACTCATTGATGTACATACATTAACATTAATTGTAATTTTAGCAGAGAAAAACAATTGAAACATTTTCTGAACATTGTCTTGGTCACTTCTGTAATACTGTAGTGTGCCATGGAAAAAAATAACGCGCAAAACTGTTTTTTTACTTTTTCTATGAAACACTACATTATAATATAACACAAGTAACTTTAAGAGAATGTTAGGAAACTATTTTAATGTTTCTTTATGCTACAATTACAATTAATGTTAATGTGTTGTACATTAATGGTTTCAGAAAAAGAATCTTTATCCAATAGTTTAAAGAAAAACATACCGAACAATTTGAAAATCGAAAGTTGATAAACGTTTGAAAATGAAGATGGCGTTGGAGAAAGTATTCATCAAACCTTTTCATTTGATATTTCGCTCATGAACATCGGAATGTAAATGACAGAATTACAGCTTACGGCGTTTTTTGTGTGACACCTGTATATATAAGAAGTTATTGAACCTGGAAACTTAATAATTGGTATAATCTAATCTCAAACACTCCTTAATCACCTCAAAAAAGAAATATTTCTTAATTACAAACGGATTTGGGGGAAAAAGCTTTTTTGAAACAAGTTATAAACAGTCAAATTGAAATCAGCTATTTTTAAATGGTTTTATAAAGAAAACTGTTCATGCAGTAAGCTTATAATTTGCTACAAGCAAACCTTAAACATCCTTTTATATCCTCAAAAAGAGCCACATCTCAATTTCAAACTGTATAACATTTTTTTAATAAACCTCAATTTGAAAAAAAGTCAAATTGAAAGGGGTGATTTTTAAATTTTTTTACAAAAAAAACCGTGTAACCTAGACAATTAAAATTTGGTATAGCGTAACCTCAAGGCTTCTTTTACTAACTTAAAAACGATTTATTTCAAAATTTAAGCCCATTTTGGAGAAAAGATTTTTTTTCTTTAGCCTTATTTTCAATAAACGTAAAATTTAATGCGGCGCTTTTTAATTTTTTTATAAAAAAAGTTATTCAACCTGGAAGCTTTAAAATTGGTATAATGTAACCTCAAGTATTTCTTTATCACCTCAAAAAAACTTATTTCTTAATTACAAACGAATTTGGAGAAAAAAACTTTTTTGACACAAGTTTGACCAAATTGAAATCAGATGTTTTTAAATGGTTTTATAAAGAAAACTGTTAACCCAGTAAGCTTATAATTCGCTATAAGCAATCTTTCAACATCCTTTTATAACCTCAAAAAGAGCCACATCTCAATTTCAAACCGTATTGGAGTATAACATTGTTTTATTAACCTTAATTTGAAAAAACGTCAAATTGAAATTGGCGATTTTTAAAAATTTGTATTAAAAAACCGTTTAACTTAGACAGTTAAAATATGGTATAACGTAACCTCAAGGCATCTATAATAATCTTAAACAGGATTTATTTCAAAATTTAAGCCCATTTTGGAGAAAAGAATTTTTTTCTTTAACCTTATTTTTAATAAACGTCAAATGTAAATCGACGCTTTTTAATTGTTTTATAAAAAAGTTATTCAACCTGGAAGCTTTAAAATTGGTATAATGTAACCTCAAACATTCCTTAATCACCTCAAAAAAACTTGTTTCTTAATTACAAATGGATTTGGAGAAAAAAAAATTTATACACAAGTTATAAAGAGCCAAATTGAAATCAGCTATTTTGAAATAGTTTTATAAAGAAAACTGTTAACCCAGTAAGCTTATTATTCGCTAAAAGCAAACGTTAAACATCCTTTTATAACCTTAAAAAGAGTCACATCTTAATTTGAAACTGTATTGGAGTATAACATGTTTTTATTAACCTCAATTTGAAAAAACGTCAAATTGAAATTGGCGATTATTAAAATTTTTTATAAAAATAACCGTTTAACCTAAACAGTTGAAATTTGGTATAACGTAACCTCAAGGTATCTTTTATAATCTTAAAAAAGATTTATTTTAAAATTCCAGCCCATTTTGGAGAAAAGAACTTTTTTCTATAACCTTATCTTCAAAAAACGTCAAATTTGAATTCAGGTTTTTTAATTTTGCTTATAAAAGTAAATTATTCAACTGGGAAACTTAAAAATTGGTATAATCCAACCTCAAACATTCCTTAATCACCTCAAAAAAACTTATTTTTTAATTACAAACGGATTTGGAGAAAAATACTTTTTTGAAGCAAGTTACAAATTGAAATCAGTTATTTTTAAATGGTTTTATAAAGAAAACTGTTCATCCAGTAAGCTTATAATTTGCTATAAGCAACTCTAAAACATCCTTTTATAACCTCAAAAAGAGCCACATCTCAATTTCAAACTGTATAGTAGTATAACATTTTTTGTATTAACCTCAATTTAAAAAAAGGTCAAATAGAAATTGGCAATTTCAAAATTTTTTTTATAAAAATACCATTTAACCTAGGCAGTTAAAATTTGGTATAACGTAACCTCAAGGCATCTACTATAATTTTAAAAAGGATTTATGTTAAAATTCAAGCCCATTTTGGAAAAAAGAATATTTTTCTTTAACCTTACCTTCAAAGAACGTTAAATTTAAATTCAGCCTTTTTAATTTTGCTTATAATAATAAATTATTCAACTTGGAAACTTAAAAATTGGTATAATCGAACCTCAAACATTCCTTAATATAATAATTAAACCGATTTGGAAAAAAAACAATAACGTACTTTTTAATGTGATATATTTTGTGGTGATTTAAAATTAAAACATACATTTTTAATCCCCACCTAAAGTTAATTAGCAACCTTGAATTTTTCAATAATCTAAATGGGAATAACCCGGATATTTGCCCCTCCATCTAATATTAAATTGCTTTCCAGGCAAATGGAACCCGTTTAATACACCATGAGTTTAATGGAATTTCCCCGACGACAACGGTGAACGACGAGGTTTCACCAAATAAAACAAATCGGTAAATCCCGCATATTGACATATTCCGGATTGAAACTGTTTTAAGTGTTATATAAAGAGGCGGTTACACTCACCTGCGCTATCTGATCGAATCTTCCAAACAACTCGTTCAAAGTTTTGACAAGATCTGATGCGGACAACTGTTCGGAAAGCGGCGTGAAGTTTACGATGTCTGCATATAGAATGGAGACATTGTTATGTCTTTGGACGTACATCTCGTGGAAACTCTGCTTGTTTGTAACTTCTTGGCAAGCATCCGCCATTTTTAACATGATACTTCTTTTTACCTAATAATTTTTTATCAAAAAAAAATCAAAAAATAAACTTAATTTTTACCTCAGCTGCTATATACGCTGGAATAACACTTAATAAAAGTTGTTCTTGTTGTTCCTTTTCACATTCGAGTTTAACTCGGGATTCTATACAAGTTCTCGTTCCTACAAACGTTTTCCTGTGGGCCGATTCGGTCATATATCTGTAATATAACCCGGTTGCGCTCGCAGTTAGTAACAGCATAGTTTCCGGAATTAACTAGAATAAAGAAGAAAAATAAAGGTCAGACTATTTTATCCAGTGTTTAATCGCCAATTACAATTTATGAAAAGGGTCGAAAGAGTAATTATTTTAATTACGGCCCTTCTTTGAACCTTTCCGATCGAGGGCGTCTTTTCATTTTCTCCCGGATTAAGACTTTTTTTTTAACCTTTGATAAAGTTGGGTTAATCACCAAAGCACCTAAAAAGGTCGTCTTTTTCCTTAAAAAAATAGCAAAGAAGATCGTTAAGGAATAATTAACCCGATATTCGAATAATTTAAATTTTAAAATAATCCAAAGAAAAATTAGAGACTGCAAGAAAAGTAGATAAATTAATTTTAAGAGTGGATATAAAATTGCTATAAAATTTAGAATCTTCTATATAACATAAGAAGACTGTAATTTAATACCCTTCACATCATGAAGCTTGATTAAGTTATTCTCCTACATTTCCTGCTAATCCCGCACAAGGCGAACGAGTCGGATTTTATCTCCGTTTTAGTTCCTACAGGAAACTTTATTAAATTCGACGTGAATCCACTTCTTTACATCATTCAACAAGATAACTCTATTTCTACTGAATAATTTTTATTGACAATTTGAATAAATAGATAATTTTCTTACCTGCATATAATAAGCGTGGTTGTTCGAATCGTGTTTATAGACGATCGATGTAGCTAAATGGGCGACTGTTATAACTGTGGCTAAAGTTAACGCGATCGGTTTTGATATTGGCAACATCGTGTGCACAGCGAGTAATAAAGCGAATAGAGGTAAAGGAGCATGTCTTCCGGCTAGTAGAAGGGTTGCCGTTGCGACCACAACGGTAATTAGAAGGGATGCTGCTAATGACCACGCTTCCGATTCCATTACGATGGGAAATTGAGAGGCGATCAGTGTGGCCACCATAGCCAAGGACACTATCGACATCACTACGATTGGTAGTCGATTATCTTGGCTACCCTGAAATATAATCATAATTAAATTAAAAATTAATATTTAAAATATCTATTACTTAACACCATAAATTCAATTCATGATGGGTATAAGATTTGCAAACTTTTTTTTGTATTGTCTGACGTTGTCAACCATTGTAACAATTATTAAGCTAATGAAATAAAAAATCAAACTTTCTTTCCTACTTATCAAGGATTTAGACAATTTATGGATTAAATAAACTTTTTATGGATATGCAGAGAGAAAAATGTGACGCCACTCAACTCAGCTGCAGCCCGTAAAGTTTTATATCCAGGGAAGACCGGGACAAGCTGGATAGAATAACAATGTTGAAGGCATAACGAGAGTTTCAGAATACAGTGTGTTAATAAATTATGGAACCCGACGTTATCATTGCAAGTATGCAACCAATATCACAGTAATAGTATTGCAATACGCCATTTGCGTATTCCGATATATTCAGTGTGATATTGGTTGCATACTTGCAATGATGACATCGGGTACGGTTATTAATTAACACACTGTACAAAAATGCAAATCAATAAATCCAAGTCATTAGAATATCGAACACAGAAAAAGAAGAATGGGTGTTTACCAATCGCTCTAAATCGAGTGCCAAAACAAGAAATTATGTGTTAGGTTGAGACAACTATTCGCAAGATGCCAGGGGTAAAACTTCAAAATATTCGTCCAGACATCGCATGAGTGTTAAAAACATCCAAACCACCAAAGTCCAAGTTGACAGTTGGTGAAAATGAAGCTTTATGTAGTATAAGTGAGAATTTACATTGTTATCTTGTAGTTATTAGTGTTATCCATTGGTATCACTGCAGACAAAGGTGGCTGTATTGGATTCAGACACCTATAGGAAAATTAAAAAAGATTCTACAAATAAAATAATTAGGACGATGAAGAACTAAATTAAGCCGCCGGATATTCCATCGCAGGAACAGAAAAGCCTGTTTGTATAAGCACCAGTAGCACCAAGGATGTATGGTTAACCAAAAATCAGTTTTGTTTGTCATAGATTTACTTAAGCAACAAGAAGAGGTTTTTCGCCAATATGAAGAAGCAGCTATGAGATTGTTGATAGCACCGATCATCGCCAACTCCTTTAGTCCTTTAGAACCAAAGTTATTGCTACAATATGTGAATGATATTTTTGTTATGTGGTAGCATGCTAAACAAACACTTGACAAGATATCAGAAATTCGTCCACTTTTTCATAGAGCAACTATAATATGCGATGGAGAAAATTTGAAGGATGAAAAACGATTTCTAAATGACGCATTATAGAAGATAGGTCGAAGGATCCAACTGACCAAAACGAGAAGAAGCCAGAGACAGCTAAGAACAGATACTCAGGTGACTAAAAAAGGACGACATTGTGGTGAGATATCTTCTCTATTCTTTGCTCATAGCAAAGAATAAATTTCCTCTATTAAAAGGGTCAGGAGTCTATAGACTATCGCGCAAAAGATAAAATGGGGATAAATAAACCTCTTGAAAAATATGGTCTTTGACTAGTATAAGTTCTACTATTTTTTATAGTTTCAATATTATATATTTCGCTTTAATTTTAAGTAGCTTTCGGCTGATGATAGGGACTTATCCCTGAAACGGGTTCCGATTTGTGTCATAAAATATAAGCAAGTTAGAAGTCAAGAGTTTTCAATCAAGAGTTTAATTTATTACCATTTTATATGCAAGATGAATAACAACCTAAATTAATATAGGGAGTACAAGTCAGTTGTGATTCCGATTGCAGTAATTTCGCTCTCTAATGTGATTTTTTAGGACTTCAAATACTCCGTTGTTAGGATGATGTCATGCTCCGCATTGAATAAAGCTCATTAATTCGAAATCTAAGTGACTTTTTATAACATATTATAGATATATTGCTCAACAGTAGTGATGGATATAGTGATGGGATATTCGGCATCCCCTTCGGCCCGATATCCGGTTATAATTTCTGGTGCATTTCTGAAGTGATACCCTACATTGCCACATTATTGCGATATTTGAAGAAAAATTAAATTAATAAGAAAACTGATAAGATATGTCAACTTATTTGGATACAAAATACAAAATGAATTTTGCAAGTTATCGATGAAAATTGCAACATCGAAAATTGTATCAAAAATTCAAATATTGTTTTCTCAAAAACGAAAAGTTATTTTTCAAAACGTGTTGGTTCATTGGAAAGAGGATGCTTTTATTAATATTTTGGGAAATTTTCATACTCATATTTTAAGAAATCGATTTTATACGAATTTTTAAAACTTAATCGGTGAAAATTCTAAAATTCGAAAAAATTGTCAAAATTGTGATGAATTACAAGCGAAGAGAAGAAAACTAGACGAAACTGCAACAAGGGATTTTATATATAGTATTGGAGATTATTACAATGAGGTTGCTGATGATAAATAAAGTTGTATTCAATGAAAAGTCCTATTGGGGTTGAACTTGATTATTATCTGCAGTGTCCAACACCTAAAAGAGATACTAATTCCTGTGATTGGTCGACTACTAAGTAATAGATTTTTAATATTCGGCCAAAGCCGGTTATTAGCTATCCGGCCGGATTTTAAAAAATGGCCTGATAGGCCGGATACCGGATAGTTGCCGGATATACGTTCCATCACTACTCAACAGGCATAGTGCCTTCAATGAATATGGGAACAATGAGAGTTCTCATATGAGTTTGAATTTAACAAAGAAGAAACTCGGAAAGTATCATGTTGTCTCTACTTGTTGTGAAGCTCGTCTAATCGATGTCAACGTTAGCTTAACGACCACAATTGCCAACATTATTATTACAAACGCTATGACCATAATTACGAATCCGCATGCTCAACAAAAGTCTTAATATGCAGTATCTAGTCTTTTGCAAGCAGTATCAAGTCTTTTGCACGCAACATTTATACTTCTACAAGCTGTATCTTTTCTTCCATTTGCAGAATCTCGACTTGCACTAGCACTTTGAAAACAGTAAATAGTCTTCGGCAAGTTGTTTAGTATTCTGTGAGCGGTGGTTAGATATTGCACGCAATATCGAGCCTTCTACTAGCTGTATTTTGTCTCCCATTGGCAGTATCAAGTTTGTTGCAAGTAGTATCTAATATCCTGCAAGCAGTAAGTAGTCTTGTATAAGCAAACTCTACTCTTGCATTACCAGAGGTTCTGGACTTCCATTAGCAGTGAAAGTGTGTAGTTTATTAAAAGCAGTATTTATGTTACTTTACAGATCGATATCTTCGTAACCGTAAAAAATATCGCGGTAAAATTTGTTGTAATTACTGAACATTTCTACGTAACATATGTTAATTTGAAAACTTTCAGATCCGCGGTTTTCTTTTCATCGCGAGTTAAATGAAAAAGTACACGATTTTTTACAGTGCCGGCAACTTTATCCACTTTGCGATTTTTTTTCTCAAAAACTATCTGACGAAAAAATTTAAATTTTGAACAGGTTTCAAATCAACATAGGGTTACACAGAAATGTTTAGTAATTACAACAAACTTTACCGCAATTGTAAGTAAAGTAAGGGGCCTTGAATTTTGGCACCGATAGTACTTTGAAAGTAGTAAATCACCCACTGCAAGTTGTTCTTAGTCTTCTCTAGGCAGTATCTAGTTGAATTTCAGCAGTATTTAGTCTTCTAAGAGCATTGGCCTGCTTTTTACAAGATGTATTTAGTCTTTTGCAGAAGTATTTTGTCTTTTGCAAGCAGTATCTAGTTTTCTACATAAACAATAAAAACTAATTATAAGTAAGTTAAGTATTTATACTTTTATAAACTGTATTTTCTCTTCATTAGCTGTATTTAGTATGCTTCAACTAGTATCTAATACTCTACATGTAATAAGTAATCTTGTGCAAGCAGTCTCTACTCTTGTATTATCGACCACTAGATTTCCATTAGCAATGTATAGTCTGTTACAAGCAGTATCGAGTACTTTGTAAATAGTAAATAACCTTCTGCAAGTTATTTCTAATCTTCCATTAGCAGTATCTAGTAGTATGTCAACAGTATTTAGTATTCTGCGAGCGGTGTGTAGCTTTTTATGCAAGCAATAAGTAGTCTTGTGCATGGAGTCTCTAATCTTGTATTACCAGTCTCTCGTCTTCCATTAACAGAATGTAGTCTGCTGCAAGCAGTATCTAGTTCTTTGCAAGCATTATGTAGCCTTCTGCAAGTTGTTTTTAGTCTTTTACTAATGGTATCTGGTCGTGTTTCAGCATTATTTGCTCTTCTGCGAGGAGTGTCTAGCTTTTTAGAAGAAGTATGTTGTCTTTTGCAACCAGTATTTAGTGATTAGGCCGCAATAACTGATCTGCGGCGGGCAGTATCTCGCACTCTACAAGCAATAAGTAGTAGTTTGCAAGCAGTCTCTAATCTTTTATTACTAGTAAGTACCTAATCTACAGCAAACAGGATCTAGTCCAGTACAGCAGTATCTTTTATCGTCTCTCATTCGCAATTTCATCTATCATGTAGTCATTTGTTAGCAACTGTTAATCTTCTGCAAGCAATATTTAGTATTCTGCAAACAATATCTAGTTTGTTTCTAAATAATATCTAGCCTTACTCAACAGTATCTAATCCTCTGACATCGGTATTTCAAATTCTGTTTTTTAAAAAAAACTTCTGTTTCAATTTTTATAGCTTTAAACATATGTGATAAATCAAAATGTCTGATGATGACCTACATTTAGGTCGAAATAATAGAAACGTCGAAATAATATAAAAAGTTATTTTGTATTAATTTATAAGATACAATCTTTCTAAATCCTCATTGAGCTGGTTATAGCTAAATATACCAACATAAATATAACATTGATTTCTTAATTATTAATCATAAACCCAGGTAGATATACGCAGAGAGAGAGATATAACAGATTATGTTGTTGATTATAACGTAGGTAATTTAGGGATTTAATCAACCTTCACACGTCTTACACCGGAGGGGTTATCCAAGATTACTTTTTAATGAACTTAGAAGAACATTCAACGGGCGAAGACAACCTCCGGAGAATTTAACCTATTTATGGCAGTTTAAAGTTTTCGTTTAGTATTAAAACGTCCTCTGTGAGAGAAATCGAACTCGAGTTTGATTCCCCAAACGTAAATTGTCGAAGCTATAATTTAATTCCCAAGTCCATAACGTGACCTAGTGGTAAAGATAAAGAGAGATGGTTCATTCCCAAGAGCACTCCAAATTATCCATCCCCGGAGTCGTGTGCTATGTTCGACGTCCAAAGAGGATCAACACAAAGACGATGGCGTCGGCCGGTTTTCAACGCAAATATTTGCAAGACAATTTGGTTGAATAATTGCATAATCGATTCCGCGATGTTAACCTGGCGGATTATTTGGAACTGGAAATGTTTGAAAATTTGTTCGAAAATCGAACGCAAATTTCGACCGCAAAGGGTAATTCGGGATTAATCTCTGTTTGGGGAAGTGTAATAAAATGGAATTTCGAGGGTGGAACTTCATTTCCTCTTTGTATATCGACTAGGATACCAATTAAAAGTTTTTAGTGTGTTATTTTAATTAAACGGGATAAAGATAAACTTATCTATCGTATTTAAGTTTAAGTTAAAATTATTCTTACCTGAGCATATAAAATAATAGTTGTGATTAGAAGAGCAACACAGCTGAGTGCGGATACAGTTAAGCAGGATAAAAAGAGGGAATGCTTCAATCCGACGCAATACCTCCGGTACAAAGTTTCCAGTTCCATGACGTCTCCTAAAATAGAATACAGGACGTACTTTAAAACAAATAAAAAAAGATTCTGTTGGCGATCGCACGACATGTGTGTACATACTGCGAAACACGCAGTTAAAATTAGACTTAAATTAAGATTTATTAATCGGATAATGTTGAAGAGGAGACAATGTGACGTGAACAATTTTTTTATTTCTTAATGGCGGTTATGTTCCTTTTCTGACCTTTATCAAAAGACTAAAAAAGAATCCAAGCAATTATTTTTCATTAATCAGCTTTTTTGCATAAAGATTTATTTAAAAATTTAAATTGGAACGACTCCAAATAAGAATTTATGATAGTAATCAACCGTAAAAGTTGGTGTTAATGTAAAAGTAATAAAATGTGTCAGCGTGTATATCAGTTTTATGGGTACTAGGTTAGATAAAATGGAAAATCTGTTAAATGAGTCCAAATATACCTCAAAAAATAAGTTATCTGTTTTATCAAATCAATACCTCACACCAAAAACAACTTCAATTACTAGAGTTGAGTGGCAGCGGTGGGATTATTCAAATTAGGTCCGCAAATTCATAACGATTTCTTGATTGGTCGTGTTACCTCTAGGACGTGGTAATCGATCGTACATGTTTAGAAACGATACAACTGATTCTGACATATATTCATGGTAAAGAACACATCGCAGAAGCACACGAGATGTAATTCCAAGAAGGTGATTTAGTTCGAAAGCTGATGGCAAGTTCTAAGAAGTGAATTAACAACAGTTTCTGATTGCAATACCAGAAACTAGCCGAAAAAGACTCCACATTAAATACCATACTAGGAAAAAATGTTTATCTATAACCTTATTTTTAAAATCTTTTTATTAAAAAATCTGTTCATCTAGAAAACTTAACATTTGGTGTAATCTAAGCTTAAACATTCTTATATAACTTTAAACAGTTTCATTTCTTAATTCGAAACCGGTTTGGAGAAAAGAATGTTTATCTAAAAAACTTAAAATTTGGTATAAAGTAAGCTTAAACATTTTCTTATAACCGCAAAAAGTTTCATTGCTCAATTCCAAACTGGTTTGGGAGAAAACATTTTTTTCTTAACTTTAATTTTAAAAAGCGTCAAATTCCAACTGGTACATTATAAAATTGCCTTGTAAAATAAACCGCTAAACCTGGAAACTTCAAATTTGGTATAAATTAACTTCAGTAATTTTCTTTCAACCTCAAAAACATTTATTTCTCAATTTCTAATTATTTGGGAGAAAACGATTTTTTCTTAAGTTTATTAAAAATAAAACATTAAATCTTTTTAAAAAATATATTCAATCTGGAAACTTAAAATTTGGTATGACCTAACCTCAAGTAATATCTTGTGATATTAAAGAGGTTTTATTATTCAATTCCAAAGCGTTTCAGAATAAAGCGAAAATCTCTGAAATATCCAATTGGATAGCTTGCATCAAAGAATTTATCATTGCTCCAAAACTATAATCGATACAGAAAAATGTTGTTCATAAAACTTGTACATATTGAACCAAAAAAGCATCCATTATGACAAAGTTTTAGTCTACTCTCTATCACCATTTTTCAGGAATATAGCGAAATTCTACAAAATGTGCAAATGGATGGCTTGTATCAAAGAATTTATCATTACTCCATAACTATAAACGATGAAGAAAAATGTTGTGCATAAAAATTGTTCATATTGAACCAACAAAACATTCTTTATAATAAATTTAGAACCTAGCTGTTATCATTTTCTAGGAATAAAACGGAAATCTCCAAAATGTCTAAATGGATGGTTTATATTAAAGAGTTTATCACTACTCCATAACTATAATCAATAGAGAAAAATGTTGTGTATAAAAATTGTTCGTATTGAACCAACCTAACATTCGTTATAATAAATTTTCAACCTAGCTGTTATCATTTTCTAGGAATAAAGTGGAAATCTCCGAAATGTTAAAATGGATGGTAATATTAAAAAGTTCATCACTACTCCAAAACTAAAATCGATAGAGAAAAATTTTGTTCACAAAAATTGTTTATATTGAATCAGAAAAACATTCTTTATAAGAAACGTCTAGCCTAGCTATTATCATTTTCCAGGAAAATGCGGCAATCTTCAAAATGTCAAAATTGATGTTTCATACTAAAGAGTTTATCACTACTCCAAAACTAAAATCGATAGAGAAAAATATTGTTTATAAAAATTGTTTATATTGAACCAGAAAAACATTCTTTATAAGAAACTTCCACCCTAGCTATTATCATTTTCGAGAAAAAAATGCAGAAGTCACCAAAATGTTAAAATTGCTGTTTCATATTAAAGAGTTTATCACTACTCCAAAAGTAATATCGATAGAGAAAAATTTTGTCCATAAAAATTGTACATATTGAATCAAAGAACATCCTTTATGACAAAGTTCCAGCACACTGATCACCATTTTCCAGGAATATAGCCAAATTCTACAAAATGTCAAATATGATGGTTTGTATCAAGGAATTTATCATTATTCCATAACTATAATCAATAGAGGAAAATGTTGTGTATAAAAATTGTTCATATTGAACCAACCTAACATTCGTTATAATAAATTTCCAACCTAGCTATTATCATTTTCTAGGAATAAAACGGAAATCTCCAAAATGTCAAAAGGGATGGTTTATATTAAAGAGTTTATCACTACTGCAAAACTAAAGTCGATAGAGAAAAATGTTGTTCATAAAAATTGTTTATATTGAACCAACAAAACAGTTTTTATAATAAATTGAGAACCTCAGTGTTATCATTTTCTAGGAATAAAGCGGAAATCTCCAAAATGTTAAAATGAATGGTTTATATTAAAGAGTTTATCACTACTACAAAACTAAAATCGATAGAGAAAAATGTTGTATATAAAAATTGTTCATATTGAACCAGAAAAACATTCTTTACTAGAAACTTGCAGCCTAGCTATTATCATTTTCGAGGAAAAATGAGTAAATCTCCAAAATGTCAAAATGGATGGTTTATGTTAAACAGTTTATCACTACCACAAAACTAAAATCGACGAGAAAAATGTTGTTAATAAAAATTGTTCATATTGAACCAGAAAAACATTCTTTATAAGAAATTTTCCGCCTAGCTACTACCCTTTTCTAGGAATAAAGCGGAAATATCCGAAATGTCAAAATGGATGGTAATATTAAAGAGTTTATCACTACTCCAAAACTAAAATCGATAGAGAAAAATGTTGTTTATAAACATTGTACATATTGAATCAAAAAACATCCTTTATGACAAAGTTACAGCACAGTCATCACCATTTTCCAGTAGTATAGCGAAATTCTACAATATGTCCAAATGTATGGCTTGTATCAAAGAATTTATGATTACTCCTTAACTATACTCAATAATAAAAAATGTTGTGCATAAAAATTGTTGATATTGAACCAACAAAACATTTTTTATAATAAATTGAGAACCTAACTGTTATCATTTTCTAGGAATAAAGCGGAAATCTCCAAAATGTCAAAATGAATGGTTTATATTAAAGAGTTTATCACTACTACAAAACTAAAATCGATAGAGTAAAATGTTGTTTATAAAAATTGTTCATATTGAACCAGAAAAACATTCTTTATAAGAAATTTTCCGCCTAGCTACTACCCTTTTCTAGAAATAAAGCGGAAATCTGCGATATGTCAAAATGGATGGTTTATATGAAAGAGTTTACCACTACTCCAAAACTAAAATCGATAGAGAAATATTTTGTTGATAAAAATTGTACATATTGATCCAGAAAAACATTCTTTATAAGAAAATTCCAGCTTAGCTATCACCATTTTCTAAGTATAAAGTAAAAATCAAGAAATTATCAAAATTGATTATTTACATGAAAGAATCTATGACGACACAAAAACTATAAGCGATAAATAAAAAATTTTGTGATTAAAACTTGTTGATATTGAAGTAAAAAAGAATACTTCGTAACAAAGTTCCAGCTCAGCTATTGTTATTTTCTAGGAACAAAGCGAAAATCTCTTTCTATCAAAATTCTTTGTAACAAAGTTCCAGCATAGTTATCAGCGTTTTTTAGGTACAAAACAAAATTTTCAAAATGCCAAAATTGAAATTATAAGGCAATAAAATCAATAAAGAAAAATGTGTAGAAAAGTTATTTACATTGAACCAAAACAGCATGCATACTTCACGTTTATCGTGAGTTAATTTCACTTTCTAATAAGCACATTTTTATATTCAAGCTTTGCATTTTCTAAATATTGATGTACGTTCTATAAAATTATTGGATACTTGAGATGTTGACGATCAAGATTGGGGACGTGATGACACCGTTCTTCCTTGCAAACGTTTCGATGTGTTTGCTAATGTATTCTTGGGAAACGTTTCCTTCTTGGCCACTTTCCAAGGAGTGTTATAAATCCGATTTATTAAAAAGTTACACCAACATCAAAAAATTTTCATCATCAAAATAAAAAAAACGAATTCAATATAACCAATATAGTAGAGAATATTAAATAAGCAATTACCGATACATCAATTATATTCCAATATAACGATACCAATAATTGTTTTTGGAGTAGTTAAATTGTTTGCCAATAACGCAGCGTTAACATTCGTTTAATAAAAACCCCATTGCCAACAAGCAATAAACAGAGCATAATATCAAAACGTGTAAACGGGATGTTTGCGTTGTTAGATCAACAAGGACCTGGTTTTTAGTAGCATGTTTGTACAAGCGACTTTTATCGTCCACTTGGCCTTTATTTTTATTGACCATATTCGAACTCCTACTACCTAGTACACTTATTGTGTGGAGTATCCCTACACAAAAATGATATCACTTTTTAAAACCACGCTATACTAATATAACGTAATATATAAAAATTCCTTTCAAATTTAACATCGTTTCGTGCTAAAACCTTTGCGTAAATGTGAGAATTTCGTGTATCTCCATGTATAGTAAATAATTCATTGGGTGATGTGTCGTGAAAAGAAAGCATGACCTTAAGACCGAGACC